CTTCTACAGAAATCCCTCAGGCCAAAGGAAGGGTTATAGCGGCATGAATTTCCATGGTTTTTTAGTTGAAAAAGGTTTAGTATAAATGGGAGGTGAACCCGAAAAATAAATGTCTGAATTATATACACTAACGCCCCTTAACGGTTAAACATGAATGCGCTTAAACATGCAGTGTATAGAAAACCTGAGATAACTTTTTATTTTTAATTATACACCGAAATACGCCATAGCAAATACACCAAAATTTTCTGGGAATTCATGAATCTAAAGCATTCCAAATCTCTATTTAAATACCAAAATTGAAACATTTGAACAAAACATGACGACAGTGCAAATTTATTTATACAGAAAATAAATTTATTTATTTTCATATGTTTTTCTTTTAAAGCGTGAATGTATTTCTATCCACGTTGGTCAAGCCGGTGTACAGATTGGTAATGCATGCTGGGAATTGTACTGCTTGGAACACGGTATTCAGCCTGATGGACAAATGCCAAGTGACAAGACCATTGGAGGTGGTGATGATTCCTTCAACACTTTCTTCAGCGAAACTGGTGCTGGAAAACACGTACCCAGGGCTGTCTTTGTCGATCTCGAACCCACAGTTGTAGGTAGGTGTTGCCTGTTCTATCTGCTTCAACAAAAGATTCGACTTCAGCGAAAGATTCGACTTCTCATGAATCAAATCTCATTTCATCGAGTTGTGACTGGATTTTAATTATTTTTACTAAACTACTTTGCCTGTAAAACTTATTTCCTACTTGCTTTCCTTTCAGATGAAGTCAGAACTGGCACATACAGACAGCTGTTCCACCCAGAACAACTCATCACTGGAAAGGAAGACGCAGCCAACAACTACGCTCGTGGACACTACACTGTTGGTAAAGAAATAATAGACCTTGTCCTGGACAGAATCCGAAAATTGGCAGATCAGTGTACTGGTCTTCAAGGATTCCTGATCTTCCACTCCTTTGGTGGTGGTACTGGCTCTGGATTCTCTTCCCTTCTCATGGAACGTCTCTCAGTTGATTATGGCAAAAAGTCAAAGCTGGAGTTTGCCATCTATCCAGCACCCCAGATTTCAACAGCTGTTGTTGAGCCATACAACTCCATTCTAACCACTCACACTACCCTAGAGCACTCAGACTGTGCTTTCATGGTAGACAACGAGGCCATCTATGACATCTGCAGAAGAAACCTTGATATTGAGAGACCAACTTACACCAACTTGAACAGGTTGATTGGCCAGATTGTGTCTTCCATCACTGCATCTCTGAGATTTGATGGTGCATTGAATGTTGACTTGACTGAGTTCCAGACCAACTTGGTGCCATACCCACGTATCCACTTCCCATTGGCCACCTATGCCCCTGTGATCTCTGCTGAGAAGGCATACCACGAGCAGTTGACTGTTGCTGAAATCACCAATGCCTGCTTTGAGCCCGCTAATCAGATGGTGAAATGTGACCCACGTCATGGCAAATACATGGCATGTTGCTTGCTGTATCGTGGTGATGTTGTGCCAAAGGATGTGAATGCAGCCATTGCAACAATTAAAACAAAGAGGACCATCCAGTTTGTGGACTGGTGCCCAACTGGCTTCAAGGTTGGCATCAACTATCAGCCACCAACAGTTGTGCCAGGAGGTGATTTGGCCAAGGTACAAAGAGCAGTGTGCATGTTGAGCAACACAACTGCAATTGCTGAGGCATGGGCAAGGCTTGATCACAAGTTTGATCTTATGTATGCCAAGCGTGCCTTTGTGCATTGGTATGTAGGTGAAGGTATGGAAGAAGGTGAATTCTCAGAAGCAAGAGAAGATTTGGCTGCCCTTGAGAAGGATTACGAGGAAGTTGGAGTTGATTCGATTGATGCCGAGGGAGAAGAGGAAGGCGAAGAATATTAATGGGGACATCTTTGTTGTTTTGTTATATGTTTGAATGTTTGTTGTGATTTGAAATGTTATTGTCTGTCGTTTATGCTCAAGAATGTCCAAAGATCACTTTGCTTGCCTCCTTTCTTGTAGTTACCTGGCCATACACAATATTGTCGATATGATGCAAGATAATGGATAGCAGTATTTTGCAATTAAATAAAATCACATAAACTCATTTGAAGGATTCTTTTATCTTCTCGAAAGCAAAAGTAGAGGGCCATTTATAGAGGTGATTAGAAAGCGTGGTAAATTAAAACACTTTTTGAATTTCAAGCCGATGTTAATGGATCCAAAACGCTTTTAAACTAAGAGTAATACGTTGATGGCTTCATTTTTAAATTCTTCTTAGAGAACCATCAATATTGTAGATGCTACATTAAGTTTAGAATCATGTGTGGAAAGAATTCTAATATTACTTGGACACTGTACTGTTTTATTTGCACATAATTGGATTATATCGATTTCCCGAAAACAACAGCTTACAAGGTGACAGAATCAAAAGTACATCATATCGCTGTCAAAAGTATTTACTTCCTCTGCCATAAATATATGCAATGCAGCAAACTAAATCAGTGCAAATTCGTCTAATCTCATTTGTAAATATAATGGCTCGGAATATAGACAGAGAAGCAACTTTGTCCATGTAGATCTGTCAGTCGGAACATCAAATTCACACAACGATGCGATACGTATCTTGGTGATTAAATGGTTTACACTTCATGATATTGAAGATTTTTCTTTACCGTGTAGAGGCCGCTTCAGATTCTATGATCTTAGTATCACAGATTCCCAACAACATTAAAAGAAATTACTTTAATTTTGGCCACCAAAACAGATTTTTAATAAAAATTTTAAAGCATGAAGTTTAATTTGAAATAATGAATTTTTGGCTTGTACAATCAAGCCAGTCTAGATAGAATTACACAGTTCAAAAATTCTAGATTATACGCCCCCCCAAGTGTCCGCCACTGGATGTATGATTCCAAGATTCTTTAACATATAAAATAGTGTTGACACATTATTTTGACACTCTAAAGTTCAAAATGAAATAAAACCTTGATGTTGACAGGGTTGAACGTAAGAGCATGATGTCATATTCAATTCAACCAATTGTAAACAACCAATTGAATGCCCTCATTATAAACTGTTTCCCACTGAAATTCCACATCTTCGTCATCATCTTGATCTTGCTCAATCCCTAGTACTTTTCAAGTCATCAAAATACTCTCTGGTCAAGGGAAACTCGGCCTTTATGCCTAAAATTGACAATTTTGCAGCCTCATTCCACGTGACAGATGCTTTTATTGGAATCTCCAACACACCTCGACTTCAAGTTTTTTTTGCTATCATTTTGTTTTTCCCTGTACTGAATTTGAATGTATTTTAGTTGAAAAAAGTTTGCTGACATCCAAAATTTCTGTTAATTAAATACCATTAGAACATTTAAATTTTGTTCATCCGCGTTAATTACCACATGTTTTGAAATCCAATCTCGCAATTCGAGTTAATTTGCTATCGCATTAATTTGTTCCGCGATATTTGGTATACCGCGTAATTTTCTTGAAATAAGGTAGATTTTCTCTTGAAACGCTCACAACAGAAACATCTTTTTTCGAGAAACGAGAAAGAGCTATGTTTTCATCTGAAACTTGGAATTCGAATTTTCTCCCGTCAGTTTGTGATTCTCACTTAAGTAAACCAACGCCAAATCGAAAACAATCCCAAAAATGGCTCTGTAACCGTTGTGAATGCGTGCTCATCGCCTGTGTTTGTGCAAATCAGCTTTGCAAAATGAAAAAAAAGAATAAAATCTATATTCTGAATAGTTTTTGTCCTGAAATTGTTTAATCATAAGATGATTCAAACGCAACATTATTCTAAACACTTTTCCTTGCTACTTTGATATTTGGCAGATCCAAAGGTATCTTTGACAAATACATTAACAGTAAAATTTGAAACAGGGAAAGGAGGGTTGGAAATCTATGTTAGGAAGAGATTTTCTAGGATTTAATATGTGACATAATAGTAGATGAAAATTGATTTAAAAAAAAATAGCTAAGTGCAGGGCTAGATCAAATTGAATTGAGTTATCTGTATTCATCGTAGCTATTGGGTCTAGATAACGACATAAGATCGCCAGCAACAAGCAGAGACAGGGTTACAAACATTCAAGTTCGATAAGTGCCCTTCCTGCAGTCACAAATACGCTTGGAATCTTTTGTGTGATATGCACACTGTTGTTTGGAAGAATCTTTGTATCTATGTTGATTCCAAAGAATGTTAGATAGTGAGTGAATAGGGAACCCGCTTTCGAGCATGCGAATTGGCTGGTCAGTAGCCATGAATGCCCCCAATCAACCGCGCGTGCTGTAGCCAGTGAATTTTTCTGCAAGTCAACCAAACAGTGTAATAATCGTTTTTCTGCATATAAACCAAAAACGTCTGATTCATTCCTATGAAAGAGCCTATCCAGATGTGCTTATGGTTGAATTCCGTTAAGTCGTATGTTGGAAACTCGGACTTTTACTCAGTCGGGTAATTTTCAATTTACATAGGATTTTCCTAACGTATTAATGTCAAAAGACTTTCCCCGAATAAGGCATAAGGCGGACATTTGTCCCCTTGAGGTCCGACTTAACAGGATTCAACTGTATATTTAGGATTGGGGAGTTGGCCGGTTTCCTGTGTCATCCTGGAATAACTTTTTATGACAATTTATCAAACCAGTATCGAGCTGGACTCTCAATGAGAGAGGTTAATTTTTGGTTTATATTTGAGTTCATTTTAAAAAGTTCAAAGCACAGGCGATTAGAATTGTATCAAAATTTATATAGCCTAAAGTTTGTATGTTTCTTTTCTTGCTTATCTTAAACATTATGCTATGAAAATGAAAACAAAAGCATGATTGTTGTAGTGCACACAAATTTTTTATTATATGTGAAGTTTGACTTGATTTTTTAGGTCTGTTGAGCAATTTTAAAGGATGCTTTAAATTTTTGGAAAATATTGCATTACTTTCTTATCATTTTGATATCAGGAAGATTGCACAGCTCCGGGTCCAGGGGCAAAGGCCCTGTGCGTCTGTGCAGCAGATCTCTTTATCAACACGGCAACCATGCATTCAGTGTTGTTCCCGTGATTCATTGACTGCCGTGCTCACAGGCGCACGTGGTAACACGCTCATGCGAGTTTCACTGGCAACCACAGCTTCTTCGCTGTCGTATGCAATTACATCATCAAGCATGAATTAATTCATCCTTTCTTTTTGAAGCAGCTAGGCTTTTTCTCCTCGTGGCCTAAGTAAATCCCTTGCGATATGGAAATTTGGCCCGTCGTTAAAGCGGCTATGAGCAGATGAAGAATGTGTATGGAAGATTTGGCACACATTTGATGGGAAGATGTGAACGTGATGATCTTGTTGCGTTGGTTTGCAATAATTGCAGCTTTAGGTTTTGCTTGCTCGTTCACTTCTGGCCAGTATTCTTACCAGTCACTTAAGCCAGGTATAAACAAATCATTCGATATTTTTATTTTTCTCCTTCAAATACTTCACGATATATTCTAGTTACGTCGACATTAAATGTTACTTTTTCTTAATCTGCTAATTGTTTCAATGTTTCTCATTCATGAGTAGATGCGTCTTTTACTATTAACTGCAATATTACTCACTCAAGATGCAGTTGATTTTATTTCCACTTTGCTTCCCTCCTTTTCACTCTGTTGATTATTCAGTGTATATTTGATAGATTTATTTTCTAATACACTCAATGATGCAGAACCTCTTCGTATTTGCAGAAATATATTCATGTTTAAAACTTAAATATATTCATAATCTTCCAAAAATCGAAGACTCCTAAAGTGACTTAAATTCTTACAAGAATGGAGCTGAAAAAGACCACAAAATGACTAAGGATGTGCAAGTGAAGAGCGTTACGTTTTTAGACTGAAATCTAGCTACCTTTATTGTTCGTCAGATCTTACTTGCGATGACTTCAAATCCATACTTGAAGCCAATGGTTTTTATAAAGGTAGAAAGTCGCAGAAATAAAGCCAGTGCTGTTTAAAAAATTACAAAGATCTCGGAGCAAGCCTAAAGGCGAAGAAATCTTAAAATATCAACTAAGAAATTATTTGATTCTTTGTTAGATTTGCTGCGTCGTGAACTACGAGTCCGAAGTCCGTCATCTTTGAAAAGCAGTTCTGAAAGTGAAGGATCTTGTGGCCAAAGTGAGATAGAGCATAATGTGACACTCCGTGGGGGAATAAGGGCAGGATATTTCAGGAAATTGGCCCAGTACGTAGCTATGAAATTGTGTGTTGAGCTGTGCTGTGAGGAAAAAGGCTGCGATGTTGCATTTATGACAGGAAGAAATTGTTATGGCGTTCAGTGTTTCAGTGAAGAGCAGTGCCAATCTATTCCGACGAAAGGTTTTCCATCGGAACAAATCTTTGTCTCTCATGTTACTTTTAAAGGAGAAGGAAGTAAGTCCTTAGGAACAACAGAATTTCTGATTTCCTGATTTACCTACAGAATTTCTGTAAATCAAAGTTTTGTTCACAAATTGATAATTTTTTCATTATATGGTTGATATTATCGAGGATATAAAGGAAAATGGTGTTAATGAGCTTTTGGTAGTTATGTTTTGTTTATGGAAAATTGCAATCAATCTTCATACCAATCAATATCTGCGATACTTTGAGATTATGGCAAATTCGCTTTGAGATTATCAATTTTGTTCTGGGACTAACTCCGCTAGTAAGAATATTTGCAGTGGCATAAAAGATTGTTAAAGTTGAATTATAAATAGGCACCAATCCTGAGATTTTTATCTCTTTTGATAAACATTAATTCTTCTTTCTGATTAATATTGTAAATTTTGAAATGTTCTTTATCTTAGCCCAAAAGGTTCATGAGCCGAAAAACCTGAAATGCTCTGCGACCAGGATGAAAGTTGGAGTGACTCTTAGAGGTGGCCTAAAGGCTGGGAATTTTACTGATGTAGGAAAGGTGGATAATATGGTCATTTGCACAAAACTTTGCTGCGTGGCTGAGAGATGTGATTTGGCAATGATGATCAACCAAAGCTGCTTTCTAGTGGCCTGCTATACCATGGAACTATGCCAAGTAGTCAAGGCAATAAGCAACAGGTACCAGCCCAGTGTTGCGTATGTTATGAGACACACTGGCGACCTGCAAGAAGAAACAGGTATGCAGTTGAATTGATATGTTTAACTTTGCGACGGACTTCAAGGGGGAGGGTATTACTTATGCATAAACAACAGACAAGATTTTTCACTGGTGTTCATGCCTCGTAATGCTTTTTATTGGAATTGAGAACTTGGGGGAGGGATGAATCTTTGTTCATCGTTCTCTCATTATCATTCGAAATTTGAAAATAAAGATTTTAAAATAATTTTTTTGATGATAGGCCACAAACGTAACAGCTTTACTAAAAAATGTCGATTAATTTTCAAAGTATTAGTCCAACTGCCTCTTCAAAAACCTGTTATTGGCAACAGTACGCTCAGTCAGGGTTTTTAAGAATGTTTCATGTTTTGCAGCTACAAAACTTCAGGCATTACACACACTGGACTCTAAGTTAATGTGCAAAAACAGCCAAATCTTTTACAACTCAACTCTCCGTGGTGGATACAAGGCAGGGAACTTTACTGACCTTGGAAAAGTACCCAACATGTCAGCCTGTATACGCCTGTGCTGCGGAGATAAAAATTGTGACGCTGCATTCATGCTTGAGAAGAACTGCTACGCAGTGGCCTGTGTACAAGAAGATCTATGCACCCCAGTGCATGCTAAAAAGTCAGGTGCATTGATTTCTCTTAATCCGAGGATATCTTACATTACCAGCAGGACTGAAGAAGGTGAGCTGATTGGCTTCTTTATACTGATGCATGGCTAACATGCATAGCTATAGATTAGTAATTACAAAATGTATATATTGTGTCTCATAGCGATGATTTCTAGACGCAGAAAGGACAATCTAGGCTATGACATTTTGTGCATCGATCTGATGAAACCTTCAAACCCACAAACTCTTTTAAAAGGCTGAAACCAATGATTACTGATTGAGAACTGAGTTCGTCTTGTCTTTCGCAACCTGATTCCTCCCTTTGGCATTAAGTGATTGCAAAAACTCGGTTTTTTTTATTTGAGTTTGTATGTTTATAATAATTTGCATCTTGCAAAAAGGGTTTAGCCTCGCCATTGGGCATTATTAGTTGCGACAAGAACCCTACATATGAAAATCTCAATTTTTCTCCATACTCATAAAAAAAGGAATATGTTACCAACATAACAAAAGGTATATGTATATGTTACCAACTGCAACTTTAATATATTGCTTCTTTATGGATTCAAACTTCGCAGCTGACATCAGAATCTGACCTTGCCAAGTCTTACTCCGGCAACAGATTTTCTAAAAATCATCTATCTTTTTTCTCAGTTGCATCAAAAAACCTGATATCAGTCGATGGCTCTTGCCATGCAGGAGTTATTTCATATGACGTCACGCTTAGAGGGGGTATGAGTGCGGGAAACTTTACTCCTCATGGCAAAGTTGGGAGCATGGAAACCTGCATTGAAAAATGCTGCAGACAAGGTGATTGCAATGCTGCAATGATGCTGAAGGATGCCTGTTTTACGGTATCATGTCAGAAGGACGAGCTGTGTGAGAAGAAACCAATACCGACATCTTCGAGCTACAATCCAAAAATCGCCTTTGTATATAGGGATAGAAAGCAGAAAAAGAAAGGTACTTGTATATTCGATCTCATGTTGTTATGTTTTATGCTAGTACATTAAGTACTGGACAAAAACGGGCGGGTTTAGAAAAGAACATAAGAAACATTTTAACAAACTTAATATTTATAAGTTTAGTATTTATGTGATAGCAATATTTGAGTTAGCAATATAGTGTTATTACAGCCACGACTTCCTGCCTTTATTGCAGTTCTATTGACCACTGTTATTTGCGAAACGACAATATTTAACTTAAGGACAAACTGCAATTTGTTTGAAACGATATGATAATTTACCTTTGCAAATACCTTCATGTGTACCTTGTGAAAAATTATTGACTGCATATTATCTTGTTGATATTGTTTGGTATTGGACCTAGAATACATTTGCTGCATGTTATACATCAATTGAATACATAACATGTATCATCAGCGGCCTAAGATGACAGCGTCTATTTTCTCTTGCAGCTACAAAGCATCCAGTGCCATCTTTCGTTAGGCCAATGTCGTTGACAAAACCAACATACAAACACGGAACGGGAAAAGTAAAGCAGAATGCTGGTCTTTTGATAAATGTTCTTCCAACAAAGAATTACCACGTCAGCATAAAACCTCCAGGGCTGGCTGACGGGACTTTGATGAAACATTTCGAAAATAAACCTGATACTTTTAAGGCCTCTCTGAAGGAGACTAGGCCCTCAAAGAGTGTATTTGCCTCCCAACATAAACCAAGTTCCCTTCATGAAATGGTGGAATTCATAACAACAGGCCTAGCGTCAAAATCATACACTCATCATACTAATAGACAAAACAGTTCACTGCCAGTAACAACTACGTTAGGACAGTTGACTGGAAAAAAGTCAGTAGAGCGATTTCCAATTAGAAACGCAGCTGATAAGTTTGTAAAAATGAATTTGAAAATGCCTGGGTCTGGTCTTGACCATTTAAAAGGTACTGAAAAGAGCGATATCCAATCATTGCCAATAGAAGAAAATGCACCTAAAATTCCAGTTGATGCTAATACTCAGCTGGGAGAGGCACCTACCAGAGGCGATGTTCAAGAATTAGTAAAGGAACTTGAAAAGAATAACTCAGACAGCTCGGTTATTGCATCCGAAGAATCTGGTGATGGTGAAAGTTATATGACTTCAGAAAATCCAAAAAACGATTCGAGCAATGCAACTTTGGATCTAAGTGAGTCGAAACATTTTGCTGGTAGAGAAGAGGATTTTCAAGCCCAGAGATTTCCAAGTCTGAGTTTGATTGGAGATGATGTTGGCTGCACGAACAGTGAGATCATCAAAAACGTCACTCTCCGAGGAGGGATTAAGGCTGGGAAGTTCAGAGACCGCGGAATCATGGAAGATTTTCGCCAGTGCATCAAAATATGTTGTTTGTCAAAACTTTGCGATCTGGCATTTATGCTTCGCAATAATTGCTTCACGGTCGAGTGTAAAAGTGAGGAGCTGTGCGAAGCAGTCGCTGTCAAAACGACCAAAGAATCACCTCCGATGCTTGCCTATATTTACGCACGCAGTTCTGCGCATGCGAAACGTGATACCCAGAATAATAATATCAACGACGACATAATATTTGGAGATCTGGACCGGTCGAGAGCTGACCTCCATGTCTCTAGAAGAACAGTAGAGGTTTCAGACAACAAATCCTCGATAATCTTAAAAAAGCGTTGGACTGCCAGTGATTCAACGGACAAGAGCGATTAATACAATAAACACAGTTTATAGAAATAGTTATTGGCTTTTTGTAAATATAATTTTCATCCCCATAACCGTTAATATTTGTATAAACTGCCAGTTGACGAATTGCGGAGTGAAAAATCTCTGAAAGCAAGTCAAACTTTTTGCCTTTGCAAGAAAGAAAGCATTTGTTGTGGTAAATGCATTAAAGCATTTATATGTAGTACATTTTTCTGTTAAAATCAGGGATGGTTTTTTTCTGAAAATTATTTATGCATATTTACTGCTTTCCTGAGAATTCCTTTAGAAGAGCGTAAAGTATAAAATTATACGCATTTTAGCAAATTCTAAGAGGCTGAGCAATATAGTTTGCGATGAAGCTCGTCCTTCAAGCTTGACACCCGACTAAAACATAAAAATGGAAGGATCTTTTTCAAGTTAAATTTTTTTAAGGCTATAGTTTAAAATGACGTCATCATGCATCATCATAATGAATATCACGCGGTTAAAGTTAAAAGCAACTCAATCTGAATCAAATTAAAATTTCAATTTGATTATTGAGTTCAGTTACAATTTGAGCCAAGTTGCCAGAAACTTCCCCTATTTGTTTTTATAACAAGCCTTCCCAGCTAGAAGGTAACATCATAAGTAGTTTCGTTGTCCTATTCATAGTTTTTCTAGTCTATTTTTGCTCCTCAATCTTTCAGTGACTGTATATCAATTGCTATCTAATTTTTTGTATGTTGTAATTTTTGTAAAAAGTTCTGATTATAAAACCAGAAAGCAGATTGTAGAGAATAGCTTTTTCTTACTTTGAGCTCTTGTATTAATCTCATTTCGTCTTTAATATAAATTTTTGATGAGTTAATCGATTTAAATTGTTGTAAGCCACAACAGTCGGGTTTCGGTTGAGAAATATGACTTGCTATGTCTTCATCATGTATATTCTTGCCTTGCTTTTTCAAATCCACATCGAGAGATGAACAGAGCATTACTTTCTATACAAAATCCCATTATCCCTTTCCATCAGGGCTAGGAGCTATCAACTCTACTACAAAAATTGATAGACAAGCTTTATTTTCACTATATCTTCGAAGCAAGCAAGGTTTGCGATTCTTGTAGATGAATATCTTGAAATCAAAGCTTTTTTCAAAAATTTCTTGAAAATTCAAAAACTGTTATTACTGCCATTTTTGTCACGTGACTCCTTTGAAGCGGGAAACCCAATTGTGAAACGCGATATTCGTCAACTGGAACAGCCCGCCATTTTTGGAAAACTTTGATGTTTGAGAACTAAGTCTTAATATCTCAGTTTACAAATGAACTGACCATAAAAACAAATGTTCCGCAAATGAAGACTACCTTCAAGCTCCCGGAAGATATTTGAAAACTGTTATTGGCTTGGTTTTCAGGTAAATATCGTTATATATACTGTCAGAAAACTTTGTCTAGGCCTATAAAGCTTGGGCCTAATCGTTTATGGATTAACACAAGACTTTCGCGAATGACGTTAGTATAATGTTTTAGATTCAACAAGAATAACATCTTAATTTGTATAGAAATACGTTGCATAGGAAGCCTCAATCAATAGATTTGCTCAGTCTCAAAAATGCCCTCCAGGGTCAAGCTCCTTGTTTTTGCTCGTTTGCTTGTTTGTGGAAAGGTTACTCCTTGCAGAGGCGGATTCAGACTACAGCAACCTATGCAGAAGCATAAGTCAGATTTTTGCAGCAACAAAATAAAATGGAAACTATCAACATTTTTAATCAATAGTTTCTTTGGCAAATTCTTTAGCAACGTCTGACCTAGATCTTTCCCCATTGATACCAACAACATGCAGAAGACAGGGCATAGAGTCACGTAGCCCCTTATGTAACGATTTAAGTAAAAATTGTTTCCTCAGCTTTTTGGTACTTCCTAATAAAATAAAAGTACTACAAGCACATTCTTTGCTGTATAATCTACATGCTTATGTAAAGACAGTCTTATCGGCTTTTCTCTCTTTCTGCACGAGCAACATTACTACAGGCTACTTTTCTTTGTGAAAATTTAGGCCATCGCACCTCATGGAACGACTCAAATTTAGGCATGCAGAATAGCGCACAATGGAGAAAAAACCGGGAATTATTATCTGCCTTCTTTCCTTCTATCTTTATCATTCGTCAGTATCAAATCAGACTTTCGTTAGAGCCATTTGTTTTCAAATTCAGAGTAAGGAAAAAAAAGTTATCCCCCAGTTTGGTTTTCTTACTTGAATGAGACTTTACCAAGTGTCTCAAGTTAAGCCACTCATGAATTGTTGATAATCACAACAGGAAGCCCGCTGTTCCATCGAAGAAGCCACTAGGCCAATGAAAGTGCTCCTGATAAAAAATCTTGGTGAATGAAAATTGCGCAAGCTATTGTTTGGGTTTCAATGAATATTCGTTTTTGGGAGATGAAGAAACACGCTGTCGGGGTTGGTTTTGTTTTAGCTAAAAATCCGACCGAGGGAATGACCAAGAAAGTTGAGGTGCAGGAAAAAAAGAAGGGTTGAAAGCCTAATGACAATTTTTTTGTTTACGTTCGGCTCACTTTCAAAATAATTTCCTACCTTTTAAGAACTAAATGAAACAACGATAATTAGCAAAAAGTTCAAGGAATGTCGTCAGCGAAATAATTTCGCACGTTTTTTGAAGATAAACAAACCTAAACTCCTTCATATTTATTTTTATCATTGCACAGTCAGAATTCATGAAAAAATTGAATAGTTCCCTAAGGGGTGACGTGACTCTATATTTTGCTGACTATATATCTTTCGGCCCATGCACAGAATAGTTGAGTTTAGATTCTAGGCCTTTATCTGGTCCGTATTTTCTGAATCCAGAAACTTTGTTGTCCTTCAGGAGCCTATCACCACTTGTTTGACCTATGCAAATGCCTTGTAAGACAATCAGAGTGTACTTCACCTCTGCAATCTTTGGGGCAAGCATAGGTGAGATTTAATTTATCAAATCAGAAGCTGAGCTTACCTCTGCAGCAATACAGCCAACCAATAGAAATCAGAGCTGACCTATGCAATTGTTTACAGTGGACCTATGCAACTGTTTGTTGCAACCAATGAAATCGAAATTGACAATCACTGCTCTCCCTGTTAAAAAACCTCTAGCTAAGTCAGTCAACCATGCAGTGTCTATTCTGTAGTGTTAGGGTAAGACAAATGTTTTCAGAATGTGGGGGATCCTGTTTCGAATCCTACTGTGGACAGCTACTCTAATAACTGTTGCAGTGATAAAAAATTTGAAACTATAGTGAGGATTTATTTTATCATTAATAAAATAGAGCTTTTACAACCAATACCAGCAAAAAATGACAAAGTAAAATTAAATTCACAGCAAGGGTATTTAGTTTGGTATTAGCACCCTTCTTTTTTATAGGAAAATATAAACGTAAAGCCTTGCATTGCAGTTAGTGTTAGAAAACTTGCCTTAGCTAAAGGAAAGGTTGTGAAATTTAAGCAAGAAATTCTACCCTCATCTCCTAAGGCCCAATTAATAGAAGAAGGCTTTATAACAACTAAAAAACCATGAGCTTTCATTGACTGTCTTATTCCAGCCTTTTACTCAGTAAAACAAGACACTCATTGTCAATTTTTATACATCTGAGTAACAAATATATATTTATCTATAACTTGCTGTGTACCATTTGTCATTTTACGTTTTGCACACACAATTATATATATTTATTTCATATCATAAATTGCTCATTATAACTGTATATATGTCAAATGGTCATCAGTTATATATCTTTTTACTTAGGGAAATTTAGGTTTTATGAAGTAAAATGTTTGTGCTCCAATACATAATTTGTTAAGCTCATGTCTCTTTCTAAGAGAATGTTTGTTTTTTATTTCCAGCCATCTCGCCTATTTATTTGTTGCTGGTGAACTAAATCAAAATGTTTTATGCCAACTTTATTCTGGCCAAAAAGGGCCCTTTGGCAAAAATTTGGCTCGCTGCACATTGGGAAAAGAAGCTTAGTAAGGCTCATGTCTTTGAAACTGATTTACAAAGCTCTGTGGAGAGCATCATTGCGCCAAAGGTCAAAATTGCCTTGCGGACATCTGGTCATCTTCTGCTAGGGGTAGTGAGAATCTACTCAAGAAAAGCAAAATATCTGTTGGCAGATTGCACAGAAGCTTTAATAAAAATCAAAATGGCATTTAGACCAGGACTTGTTGACCTTCCTGAAGACAGCCGTGAAGCCCAAGTTGCTGCTATTACTCTTCCAGAGATCCAAGAATGGGATGCTATTGTTAATGATTTAAAGTAAGTAGACTTTTTTCTCTTTGTGGCTTTATTTTTTATGTAAAAAGAGATTGATAAAATATTGAGCTAATGTTAGTTATGGAATTTGTGTTTCTTGATAAATTCTTGGAACAACTTGCTCCATTTTGAAATATTAATACTTGGATCCAACATGCTGCTGAAATCCTTGTATCATAATGGTAATTCCAAATTGATATTCACCTAGGAAATCTATCTGGTCAGCTGTTTTTTGTCTTGCATGATAATATCCTGATAATCAGCCTGTCAATAAAAAAGTAATTATTGAAACACTTTTGGAAAAATGCATAGGCTTCCACCAAACCTCAACCACTTATCCAATGCAATGACTATTGTGGTATAGTTGTTCTCAATCCTTGGTGTTGTGAGCAGCAATGTGAATATTCGTACAAGGTTTATGCAATGATATCAGTTCAACCGTGTTGAACTGGGCAAAATAAATGTTGATAGATAATTTGCAAGCTGTTGCTCTTTTTTAATAAGTGAAGTGAGCAGGCACAATTAGACAAAGGTCCGCTGGATTATATCAATGGTTTGTTGAATTGGCACTGAGGTATGCATTACTTTCCAACAAAATATGATATTGGGCATGGCTTAAATAGAAACCCTCTGCTGTGTTATATTTTAGAGCCAAAGTGCGGGAAAATTTTCCAAACATAGATGTCAAATTAATTTGGTTTTTTGGCGGCAACAACAGAAGTAGAATTTAGCTAGATGTACTTGTAGTGTAGTATATTCTTCTACCTAGCAAATACAAGCACCTATAGACACTATCATGACGCCATGACACAAATGGGGCAAAAACCACAATAAAAACAATGGCGTGGCCTATATCATCAAGAATTGTAAATTTCTTTGTAGCTCGAAAAATGTCTCTGCATTATTAATCAACAAAATTTAGATATTTTTCTTTACTGCAAAAAAGTTTCAAAACCAGAAAGACAAGAGAGCATCCTCTATCACCATGAATTTTTTGCTGGTTCGTCCCACCTGAAGGATTAAAATTTGATATAGAAAAAAAATTCTCTCATGGCATCGGGAACTCTGAGACAGTCTTTTTTAACCTGAAATAGCTACATGAATATGATGCTTTTAATCTCTGAATTTAATCTCATGTTTTTAATTTTTAATATTGATATTGAGAAACTATTTGATATTGGTTTAAAAAGGTCACCTAGCTTACTGCTTAAACCACAATTTTTCATTTTTGATAATTTTTTCTCCTTTTGTTCCAGTAACTTTGATATACAAGCACAAATAAATCGTAACCAAAGCAGAGTTGAAGAGATCACCATGAAGGAAGATCTTGTTAGCACAAATTTTATCACCGATGACAACTTCTTTGGTGACACGCCATTTGGTGAGACAAACGAAAAAGAAATCCTTCGATCCGGTTCGGCTTTAGATGAATCTGTGTACAAAGAAAGTGATGCATCAAAAATTACCATTGAAGATGAAAGAGATGAAACTGGGGACAAGTTATCTGCAAGTAAAAGTGTTTTGGGTAGGTTGTTATTGCCTGCACCTTGTTGTAACGTTACAGTTTAGAACTTGCTTCAATTTAAACAGGACTAGGATTTAAGCAAGATTTTATTTTGCAATCTTGTTCTTTCTTCCTTTTGCTTCCTTTCTTTGTTTCTTTTTCTCTTTCACTTCTTTTCCTTTGTTATGTAAAGATCTAGAATTGAGCTGAAATATTGAAGAAATATGTTAACATGTTATTGTTAATATGTTAATATGTTAATATGAATAAATTTCAGATGGATTATTTAGATGCTTCCAATAGCTCAAACCTTCAGATATTAATATTTTAAAGACATTCAACCAGTGGTAAAGTATATACCGTATATTGTGCCAAGAGCCATGGTAAATTAGAAATAGACAACCAAAGAGGATCAGTTATGAAATTTTGCATGTAATATTTGTGATGCATTTTCATGTCAGACTTATGTGACAAATTATGCAGCTTTTGTATGCTGGACAGTGTAGTTTTTGTGACTTGTTTCTAAGTACATTCAAACAAACACAGCTGTTAGGTCTTTAAATATATATATATCTATAAAATTCAACAGATATAGCTCTTGATGAACCAATCAGGGATGATGGCTTTGGTGGTGATGCTTTTGGTGGAGAAGGTATGGACTTGTTCGATGGATTTGGTGCAGGCGAGGGAATAGTTCCTGGATTTGAGGAGCTAGGTGGTGAGGCAGCACCTGTGTTAGAGGAAGAGCCATTGGCCCATGACGTCACTCTTGAGCCTCTGGATATAACACTTTCAAAAGATGATGAAAAGGAAAAAGAAGCAACAGAGGAGGAAAATGCAGAAGCTGAAGTTCTTGTGGGTGAGTAGTTTCTTTTGGCTCTTATTCAAACAACTTGATTTGACCTAATTTTTTTCATTTTTCATCTTTTTGCTTAATCAAAGGTAAATGCTTTTTGCTGTTTGAGTAATGTCTAATTTTCCTCCCAATCATGCTTTACCAAAGAAGAATTGTACAGTTTCCAAATCTTACTTGTTCTGATACCAAAATATTCAAAAACAAACTTTTTTGAAAGTAAACATCTTATTGGAAATCATCAATGTTTTCTTTTCAAGAAGCTGCTTGTGTTTTTTAACTTAGCTTTGTGAATAGATTGTATTATCTTTTAAAAAGAAGTGATAGCATTCAACCATCAATACGCCTGTAACAGTAAAAAGATTTGTTGTTTTTTTAAAAGACTGAACATTGCTAGTAATCAGTGTGTAATTCACTAGGCATTTATAATCATTTGAAGGAAGGATTTTGTTGACTTCATGCAAAGTGCAAAGTGTATCTGCAAGGTAGCCCAATTTTTGCTATCCATTTTTCCAATCATCAGCATTTCCTTAAAGATCACCTGAACTTTTTGCCACTTAAATCCTTTTTCTATTTTCTTGTCATTGCTGATTGCTGTTGTTTTACCAGAAGTTCATGATTTTTTGCAGATCTCCTTAACAAACTTTTATATAATATTCTTCTCCGTCTGCTAATCGCAACTCGTATATCAATGCCAAGTTTCTTTTTTCAGTTTAGCAATGACTTTCCCATATCGATCAACGACTCTTCTTACAAATTTTGTCATTTCTTAATAATTAGCTATTAAAACTGCTGCGGTGAATTCGTCATCTGAAATGCGAAGAAAGCAACTGAAATGATTTAAGAGAAACTTTGGTTGCAAAGAAATAAAGAAGAGCCAACACGAGAATTATTCAATGATGCAAATGCGAATCCATGACATAATGTGTTTCGATTGGGTTAATCAAAACAACGATTTAGTTACTTTCCATAAAATACCTAACGTATTCTAGCCTGACACAGTTCATCGTATTTTAAGACTAAAACTGATAATTTCCCTTTTATTTTACTCAGAAACAGTAAATGAAACGACTCTACTTCCAAATGACCAAGAAGCATTTGCCCTTGAGCCAATTGAGGTTACTGTTGGGAAAGACAAAAGGAAGCGACGAAAAAGGAAGCTTGTTGTAGATGACAAAAAGAATTTGACTGGCGACCAGATCAGAGCACAACTAAGTGATACATCTGATATTGTTCAGGCTGCAAATGTTGCACCACCAACAAAACTGAGGTATATCTACATATGTCGCTATTGTTTTGTATCAACAGTGTGAAATCCCGAGAATAGTATGCCATTCGAACATGATATAATCTTTAAGCATTGAAAATTTAATACAGTCAACCCTGTTTGGAATGCTAATCTGTGCAACAAAGCATCTGTGACATTTTTTGATCCAGCCATGTCTGAAATCGATTGAGAGTTAAAGCATATTCTTTGAAAGAAGCTATGGGAAATTCTTTTTTTATAATGTAGGATGAGGCTGAAAGATACTTCAACAGTAAAGTCCCTCTTCTCTCTTCCTGGTGTCGAGCTGCACTCTAACAAATTGCTTGAAGCCTTCAGAAGGAATTTGACCACTGAGGTCAATGTTGATGATGCTCCCGAGTCATCATCGCAGGAGGAAGAACCGATGGAAGTTGATCAAGGCCAAAATGATGCTGTCATTTCAAATTATCCAGGTAGACCAAAGAGATTACAGCTAGATTTGTATTAATTGATTCATTACAAGATCAATCCTAAGTTTTGTCTGATCACTTTTCTCAAGATAAACGAGTTTTGGTGTATAAATGCAAACATTTTCAGCCTAATCAGCTATCCAAGCAATATATTGTCGTTGGTATATAATTGGTTTTAACCTTTAATGAACATGAATGTTTCATTGTTGGGAACTAGCCTAACCTTCAAATGGCCTCGTTTTTCAGTTCTCAGTCACTTTGGTAGTCTGTCCTACTTCAGATTCCATATCTAGACTTAACCTTTTATCAGTACACAATGCAGAGGCAAAATTCACAGTGATACCCTGGCATAGAATCTCTTAATATCATCGAAACGTCTGTTTTGAATTTAAGGTGACGCTTCACTGATTGATGAGCTGCCTCCTATCGACGACTTGCCTCCGATTGAGGATCTTGGGCCTGTTCCCGAAGCTGAGCAAGATTTCGAGTTAAACTTGGATGAAAACGACATTGGCAACAAGGAAGATGAGCAGGAGATATTGGAAGAGGCTGCAGTGGAGCAGGCTACTGAGGAGGAACAACGCGATGGGGAGGAGCCAACAGCGATGCTTGATGAAGCACAGGAGCAGAAACGATGGACTAAGAGGGCACAGCAAATGTTGCATACGCTAAACAAGGAACTAGCCAAAAAGAAACAGGCTGAGTTTAAGAATTTGTCTAAGAAGTGCAACCGAAAGCAAGCTGCATACAAATTCTATACACTGCTTATTTTGAACAAAGAAAAGGCAATCAAAATTAGCGAAGACGATTTATATGGTAAAATCATGGTAGAAAAAGCAGACAAATTTGATGAAAGTTTTTAGTTTGCGTAAATTAACCCGTTTTAAGTAGCGTATCTTTAAGGATTTTATTTCAATCCACCAAGAGCCACTATTGGCCCAGAAATAGTACCAGTCTTCCAAGTGCACACCGAGGAACAGAAATTGACAATTTCGGCTCTTTTGACAGGCACGTATGGATAATTGATGGTTATTGCATCAGGTCATTTGTCTCTCTACCCGTTTAAGATAGGTGTATTACGTACTAAGACATTTTATAGAAACTCTTATCTTAACAATGAAGGTCATCTAAATGGCAGCTTTCGCTGATGTGGACAGGCCCTGCAGCTGCCTTGAATATTATAGACGTCTCTTTGTGGGTAGCATTCAGGTGGATAAACCCCTTAGCTAATATCCAAAGTGACTGGAAATCGTTTTATAGGAAACACATTAGCCAGTATGATTGGTCGGCAAACATAACTCCCTGATCTCATAGATATTTGCCGTGCTCCAAACTTAAATTCACATTGTACAAATTTTAGGATCTACGGAGGTCCTAGAATGATAATCGCGTCTAAGCACCAATCTTTTTTGTTCAAACTATTAAGAACGACTTCTCGTTTCCTACAGCCCAGTTTATTAGCTGAAGTCAGGCCTAGCTGTCTATTTGTACAAAGTTTCCAAAGCGCAAAAAGCTTAAGTTGAATGATATAACCCTAGTTTTAACCGACACTTGTAATTTCAAACGAAACGAAATGGATTCATTTTAACCCTTCTATTTAATTAATCACCAAATATTGGGTATGTGCTAGTTTGAATTTTAAAGAAAAATTTTGATAAATGGACGGCTTAGGCTAAAATAGTAGGCCAAGTTGGTATACTGTACCCATGGAAGCGCTATCTGATGATAGCAAAGATTGCCTCTGGATTTTCAACCTTTCTTTTGATAGGTTTTCCTGATAACTTAAAAAATGATTCTTCCCTCTTGTTAAAGCGAGCAAGGCACTTATAATTTGCAATATAAGTTGTATTTTCCTTTTGCTGAGTTATCCAAAGCACTGACTCACAATGTTATCCATCTTAAACCTTAACCATAGTTAATATTTTAAATTTTCATTTGATGTTTTTGAATAATTATTGATTAAGCAGGTGTCTTTTTAACTAACTATCTTCTTTTTGGGCTGATTGCCTGTTTTATCTTCAAAGTAGATCTGTGATTCTTATTCTGCTTCTTTCCTGTTTTCTTTAAGTCGTTTTAAGTCTGTAAATATAATTTCAAGGCTAGACATGAACTGTATCATACTAAACATCTAGTTCGTGGTATTTTAACTAATTATGTGTCATTTCAATGTTTTCTGTGGCTTTTTATGTGAATCTGTGGCATAGTTATTTTGAGTTTATTGTTTTTATTGAAGGTTGTTCATTTATCACTTTCTTTTATGATACAGTGTTGTTGCATAAACTCGCCTGGAAATCGCAACACCATCGCTTTTGTAAAAAATACGTTTGTAAGATTTTGGCCAAATAAGTCATGATTATCAGTTAAGAAGTCAAAGATAATCAACGAACAGTACACATGGTTTGAAGCATTGGTTTGGGGATATTTATGAATCAGACATATCAGGTTTCTTGGGAGATAATTTATTGCTATTGGTACCATGACCCGGTTTTCAAACTTGAACCCTAATTTTCATGTCAAACAGAACACAATTTTTCTGTCAGATAGAAGAATGGCAATGGGAAATGAAGTTTCTTGTTTTAAAACAAAAGCAGAAATTTTCAGAAAAAGAAACTCGTGTGTAAGGCTACCTATGAATATGAAAATGGTAATTTTTTGTGATGAATTTTTGAACAAACGTGCAGTTTGGAAAAGCAATTAATTAACCAATATTTTGCTTCACGAGAGGGTCGATCTTTCTGTGTTCTTAGTTCATTGAGTATTGATACATGGATATTGGACGCTCTATAATTACATCACATTTGCTATTAATAAAAGGACTTTACGTTAAAGTGGATTTACATTTAAATGCTAATAGAATAATGACACCAAAACAGAATAAACCCATTAACGCTCTGCTCGCAAAGTTGTGAAACAGCTCCGAATACTGGTCATTTTCAAAAGTAGTGGGGGGGGGGGGCTATCACGAGCAGTGGCGTCGCTTGACCTTCCAGACTAGGGGGTGGAGGGTCAGCAATATAATTTTTTTACCGACGAAGACATAGATTGCGAAGAATTTAGGTACTATTTTACCTGCACTTGATAGGTGAATTTACCGACAGACTAAGGGTTTTTTAAGGCAAATTGAAGATTTACTGACAAATGCGTGAAGTATTTGGGGGTGTTACACCCCCTGCGCTAGCTACGCCCCTGCCCCTCGAGACAGCAACACCGGGACTTTAATGAATAATTCTATTTTTCTTTTTTAACTATAATGTTCCTCTAACCTTCATGATTGTGCATGACTTTACATTTATTTGTGGCAGATAACGAAAATATTAACATTATAATTCGCTTCATTTCTACTTACAATGATTACATATGGGAAATTGAGATATAACGTCGTTGTACCCCTGTGGGGAGTTTGTTATGGCCATGGCGCTGCTTAGGCCAGGAAGACGGAGCCCAAGGAGAGAATTATAAATCAACATAGTGGACAAGTTCCCTATTTTCCAAAACTACATATGATCTAGTTTGGGAATCATTACTAACTGCCAATGAAATTAAAATGTGATTTTATTGTGAAATGAGCCATGACACTTTGGAAACGTTTAGGACAGAATGGGTGAGTGAAATAAACAAAGACATTCAAGATACAAACAACTGGGATGCTCGTCAGACTGTTTGTGAACATTCCAGAGCACATGAAGAAGAATGTCATACAAGAGAAAAACTAAAAAGAAAATATGAACCTGGTATAGAAGCTGATGGCTTGATAAAAGCAAAAAGTTTCAGTTCAAAAAATACAGACAAGCTTAATCTGGAAAAAAATGGAAAAAAAGAGAACTTGTTGGACATTTTGATAGCCGATATTGACGAACTGGTTTCTCTTCCATTCTTTGATCTTGAACTTCCCAAGGAAATTGCCATCAAGATTTTTAGCTTCCTCTCTATAAGAGATCTTATAAATTGCGCCTGTGTGAATAGCAGCTGGAAGATTCTTGCAGATGATGACTTGATTTGGTACAACATGTGTAAAAAATATGGATATGCTGATGACACAACATGTGTTTTAGATAGAGAAGACTGGAAGAGTATTTTCAAATTGGAGTTTCAAAATGACAAAAAGTTCAAACTGAATTGGAAACAAAGAATATGTCAGACATCTGAGCTTGAATATGAAAAAGGTGTGCTAAATTTCTTATTAGGAGTGTGATTGAGGTTGAGCTTTGCTCAGGCTTTAGCTATTGATAAGTGAAATCTAAGCCTGGTCAGCAAATCTTTTTACAACCAGTCAGGGACAACACACAGTGGTATAAGCAGTATGAGCCTCATTTTATTTTGCTTGCAAAGGTTGTCTTAGAAAAAAATTTAAAATTCATGAGCTCTTGGGGGATATCCCTTCCAGTTGTTTTGTACTGCATTGATGCAGTAGCAGAGGCGCACTACTTTGTTTGTCAATGGTAATTCAAATGTCAAGATCAACAATGTGGTTGAATTGCTTTGACAAAAGATTTTTAATTATCTTCTAATCCATTAATGAATCATATTTTATAGTACTATTGATACCAATCAAATCTCAAGGGCGGTTATGGCCACGGTATTAGTTTCTCATTTCTCATACCGTGATGTCACTAAATTTTGTCTAATCGGCCCTGCTCTATAACATGACCTATCTTGTAAAGAGGGAGACAAACAATGAATTTTTAATTCAACGGAAAGATAGAAAAAAGAAACAGAGGAGCCGAATTGAAAACAGTAGGGTCTGCACACAGTCAGGCTAATTGTTATCCTAACATGAAACAAAGCGGCTTGTCTGCCATGGTATAAGCTTTTGATTTCTCATACGGTGGCCAGACAAACTGTGGCCTCTCAACGTTACTTTGAAGTTTCACTTGCTTGCATCTGCAAACTGTGTTTTTATCAGGTTTAGAAATTGAATATCGTTGGGATGGTAGGAGTAACTTTTGTTGGATAGGTTGCTTCATGCATGACTTACCGAAAATGAATTTTTTTACTTAGATTATTTAGTATTTTCAAGTTAAAAGATAGTTTCCCTAAGTAGCATTTTTTCCAGATTAGGTTGTCAAAAGTTAAAAAGGGATGGTGATAAGTATAGGTTGACAGGTCCAATTGTTGTGTTTTGGTTGAGGTGAAGTACTTTTCACCAAATTTTCCTAGTATCGGCTTTTCAATTTGCGATCTTGATACCCACAGCCCTTGCCGTATTACCACCTCAAGTGCACAGTATCAGAATCACAATTCTAATACCATGCTCTTGAGATGGTGATACGGCAAGGGCTGTGCGCCAACTTTGTTTTCTAGTAGCACCATTCTTCCTATATCACCAGTCTTCCCCTAAGCCCGCTATTAGACCAAAGACCCTGTAAGTGTAGGCAGTTAGACAGTCCCTTGAAATTGGAAACAGAAGGGATGTGTTAACAAGACACCTTTTTCTCAATGGTGATAAGATAAGTTTTCTGAGAACCCTTAGAACCAACTTTTACTAAGCTGTAAATTGTTTTATATAAGTTTTTCTTATTATAGATAACAAAGAAATAGTTGACTGGATCTAAGAGTTATGAGATTTTCTAATTAAGAGTTTTTGTCAAAACTTTTCAATTAGGATTTTTGCTTTACGTATTGAAATTTTCAATTGATTTTTAGGAGGCATTCTATATGCAGCTTCAATTTTCAATGATCAGGTCATCACAGGCTATGCCAATGGATTGATTAAACTATGGGATATCTGCAAAGACTCACCAACAGCCTCATTTGGATCCCTTTTGGCTGACTCTGAACCAGACAACACTATTGATTCTTCAATCAATTGTGTCACAATGAATGGTTTTATATGTGCTGTTGGCTATAATAGTGGTAAGCATTGAGTTTTAGCAATATTTGAGAATCAGAATCATAGGCTGACTCAACGCCTCTTTCTGGAAATTAGCTTAACCCGTCATATCGCATGAAAAGGTTGCTTTTTCTAAAGTAGATTGCTCTGAGGCTGAATATCCATGTAAGATAGAAACCTGATCAGCTTCTAGACTACTTTTTCCAACTTTTCCTAGACTAATGATCTTCAACATGATTGAATCCAACATCTTTAAGACTATTGATTTCAACATAGGCTACTGATAACAATATTTTCCAGTCTATTGAATCCAACATCTTCCAGGCTATCAAATCCAACATCTTCTAGACTACTAATTCAAACATCTTCCAAACCATTGAACCCAACATCTTCCAGACTATTAAACCCAATATCCAGACCATTGAAGCAAACATCTCCAAGACTACTAATTGAAACATCTTCAAGCCCATTGAACCCAATGTCTTCCAGAATATTGAATCTAACATTTTCCAGATAATTTATTCTAACATCTTTCAGAAAAACTGACTACAACAGGTGATAGTTATTTTGTTTTTTTATTTTTGAGAAGCAACTGATAATACATGCATTGTTGCTTCCATTCTCCTGAATTTTATACTTCTGGCTGCTTTTTTTAAAAATTTCCTCTTAGGTGACTTTTGTAGCTTTATTGCTATCCTCTTTATTAATTACCCTTTAAATAAGCATTCACCCTGCTGCGAAAAAAGACTAATTGTTTTTACCAGAGATTTGTCACTTTTATTTATTTCATTATCTTTTTAAGTCCAAATAAAGCCCTTGTTCTTTATCAAGTCCTAAGAGTTATTTCATATTTTATGACAAGACCTTAAAGAGAAAGGGGCCATTGTGTGAGATATGCAAAGAATATTAAATCAATATTAAGAATTTATGAAAAATTAAAGCCCTTTTAATTCTTAATTTCAGGAGCTATAAAAATCTGGCAAAATGGACTGAACTTCTCATTGATTGATTCATTCAGATTGGATTCAAGGATAGCTGCTATTCATGCAAGTGAAAGGTCACCATCAGTTCTTTCAGCATCTGGTAACATATTTAGAATAGATGCATCTGATCAAAATGGTCAATGGAAAACTGTTTGCCAACAGAAAGTTGATCAAAATGTATGCGTGTTTGTTTATTTTCTGCCACATATTTCTATCAATGTTTGTTTGAAATTTCTATTATCCCAAGTGATAAATCAAGAATGAAGTGTCTTTGGAGAATGATCCATGTAAAATCTTTTGATGTCTTTTCATGAGTGACCCTTTGAAGATGTGACTGTCTCTTGAGGAGTGATGAGTCAAATACATTAACAACTCTTGGTGAGTGGTTGATCAAAGATGTTAATGTATCTGATGAATGATCAATCAATACTGTGGATTTCTTTCCATAATAAATCAATCAAAGATCTAAATGTGTCTGGATAAATGATCTGTCAAAAATGTTAAAATGTATTCTGATGATCAATTGCCAGTGTGAGTATCTTTTCATGAGTGGCCTTTTTAAGATGTGACTAGTTTGTCAGGAGTGATCAATCATAGATGCAAATGTGTCTTGTGAATGTCTTTTTTGTGAATGACCCTTTAACCCTGCTAATTTCTTTTACCAATTGGTGGTTTGTATATCATATGATGAGCAATTGGTCTAATACTTGATGAAAGATTTTGATGCTTTTCATATTTTTCTAATTAAAGATAAACATGTTTATTGCTGTTTGCTTTATCAGAGGTTTAATGCCTGAATTTAAATGTGATTCTACTATCAAACCTGCTATTTCCGAGGTTATCTCCTCATATTATGAGATTATAAAATCCTTTCTTGTTATTTTTGACATTCCCTCCTAATTATAGCAGGCTTCGTTTTTTCAAGTGGCAATAGCCATTTCAGAGTAAAATCGTTGGAAAATGATCTAAATTCAAGCAACAGAAATAATAAGACCTTTAATTAGATTCCTTTTTTTGTAATTTTGCCTCATAAATATAATGTCTGATAAAATGACTCATCAAAATATATAGTCACCCTTGTTGCATGACACATTTGGAAATTTCTTGTAGATAAAATCTGTGCACTTGTATGGTGGTTGTGATGATGTATCAGTGATTCATACACAGAACTATGTTGAGATATACTGTAAAGATGGCATGAAGCATCAGCTTGAAAAAACCATATCTGCTGAAGTTTCTTGTATCTGCTGTCAAGAGAGCACTGTAGCTGTTGGCATTACACCATTAGACTTCAGTATTCTTGAAGGATACAGGGTAAAGTAGTTTTTTATGGTTACTTTTCCAGGTTCAATATTATGCGGTTTGTACTTCATTGTTAAACGGTGTAAAGCGTTTGCCAGCTCGTTGAAGTTATGATGAAGCTATCATATTTTTCTTTATATCTGTCACAGGTCAAGACTTATTCAATTTGTGACGGACGTATGCACCATCTAATGAAAGGACCACATTCTAAGGTTTTATGCCTGTGTGGATTTGCAAACGAAAACAGTTTGCTGGCTGTTGGATGCTCAGATAAAAGAATCAGGATTCACGACGGCAGACTGGAAGAACCTGTCATTACTCTAAGGGGGCTTTCTGCACCACCTTGTTCGTTACAGGTGCTTATGTTGACTTTTTTTGTAACACGTAAACAGCAAAATGTCGATTCTAATTCATGTCTTGAGAAGAATCGTGAGATAACGAACAGAATTTTTTTTCATTCGTGCTTAGGCAAGCTAATTTCTTTCATTGTTATGTAAGAACTACTTTCAGTAGCAAAGTTTTATCCTTTATCCCTGCCACTCCGCAAGTTTTGTCAACTTTGATCCAAAGCAATGGAAGTAAGCATAACTAAGGACATGAGTTTTATTCTATTTTATCTGAATGGATAATGATTTTTAGAAAAAGACAACGCTGTTTTTTAGTAATGTTTTGAAGTCATAATAAGAGTTTCTAGAAATTTGTTTATAAGTTGAAAATGCAAAAAGCTTTGTCGTAGCATTCTTCTTGGAATCATTTTTTCCATAGCCGAAAATTTTCTGTAGCGAATGGAATTTTTTGACAACGTACTTAATTACGACTTCAGACTTTGGTTTGAAGAACAGTTCGAAGTTGCCACTCTGAGTTTAATCATAGTCCTTTGAGTAAAATTTTCTTTGTTTAGCATCAGTTGATAGTCCTTCGATCAGGATTGTTTGTTTATGCACGGGGATTTTTGCATTTGGTCCCCCACATTTGTGGAGCTACCAATAAATGGATAGAGAAGATCTTTGTCACCACCCTTGCAAAATGCTTTAAGACCAATAGGCGCAGGGCCGCGGAGAGGATTGATGGGCCCCGGGTCACGACGAAAGACAATGCATGTAATGCATGCCTTAGGCAGAAGCTTCTAGGGGGTATGGGAATGCTCCCCAGGAATTTTTGAAATGATGGTTGCTGAATTGCTCCGGTGGCTATTTTGGTTGCTAAAATTGCTATGGTGGCTAAACTGTTCTGGTGGCAGTGGCGTAGATAGAGGGGGGTCAGAGGCGGCAAACCCTCCCCCCTGTACAGCTAAACTGCTATATTGTCGGAAAACTTCTGGTCTTGTGGGAAATTCAACGCGGTTGTCAATGTTTACCTAATTGCTTTGTTTTTATATGAAAGAATTTGAAGTTAAATAAACATAAGAATATATAAATATATCAAAAGATATATTTTTTTTAATTCCAATGTTGTTATATTAGGTTGATATTTAGGGGAACAAAAGTTTCTCACCCCTCCTGTGAATTTTCCTATATACGCCATTGTCTGGTGGCTATTCATTACTTCTGTTTGCTGTTTGATATAATTTGAGCATAGCTGATATCTTCACACCATAATGCATAAAAATGAAATTTATTTTAGAAATTTCAAAAGTCTTAGAAAATGGAAAACGTTTAATTCGTTAACTAAACTCGATCACCACCGACACACTGTTGCAAGTGGATGCGCATGCCATAGTAAATCGGTATGACATACATATTGTTGTATGTTGCCCTGTTGCAATCACATTTTTTGGTTACATTCAGTAGCTTTTAAGCTTCTTTAGCCCAAGCCCACAAAGATAAGAAATTTTTAACAAAATATCTTTATCATTCAAGCAATCAAAGATTCAAACTGCCTCTACCTTATTTCATTCAGAAACTTTTGCATTATTGTCTCTATTAATGACAGTTTGTGGTAATGGAGAGGCTGGATTATTACTTAGAAAATTTTTTGATTGAGTTATTATTTATAGGCCTTATAGCCAAGGGCCCCCAGGTCAGTGACCCCCCTGACCCCCCCTCTACTCAGCACTGAATAGGCGAAGCACTGACCACTTTGGGGGTGTGAATGGCGCTCCTGGGGCTCCTACCTGTAACTGCAACAACTTTGATTATATATGTTTCACTGTTGCACCAATCCACGAACTAGTTTGATTGTCTGTTCTTTATTACCAATCCTCTGGAGAAAAGCAAGGTATCATTTTTAATCAAACCAGTTTCGTTTTGTTGTAGATTGACGAATGGAAAGTTGTATCTGGTGACACAAAAGGGTTTATTTCTGTGTGGGACCAGCGCAGTCGAGCTTTGCTGTGGCAAACAAGTACCAGGCATCCTGTGCGGATTTGCAAACTGAGCGGGCCTTGTCTGGTTTGTGTAAGCATACCAACCGATAAGAACCCAAGGGAGACATTGTGGTATGCAGATGATTTGATACAGCACAGAAGGCATCGAGGAAACATCCGCATCTTTGACTTCGCAGTTGAGAATAACACAATGGGTATACCCGATATATGCCAGTCGAGTTATGATAATTATGAAGGATACAATTATAATATTAATTTAGTAACGCCATATGACGAAATTTCTGAAATTTATATATGATATTTATGATAAAAAGCACTCAGAATTGTCTGCGTTTTGCCTCTATATGTCTCTGTTTTATCTCTTTTTGTCATTTTTAAATCCCATAATATGAATAAAGATGATATTTTGAATCCAGATTGTTTTGATCGATTTTAGAAAAAATTGCCTCTTCCTAATCTATTGACTGGTATTTTTGGATCATGTTGCAAAAGAATAGAGAGAAACAGAAACATACAGGATGTGTTACTTTTATATTGTTTTAGGTCTGCAAAGTAGTGCTTGAACTAGGATTCTCGTAGATTGATTTTTTTGACCTCGATTTCTATCATTAAGTTGCAGCAAAAAATTACCGCATTTAATGGGGCCTAACACAAAAGAACTTATTTTTGTTCAAGATTAGGATGGAGAAAAATTTTATTTCTAATTCTGAATATTTTAACAGAGAGTTCTTTTAAGTATGAAGTCATCAGAAATTTATTTCGGAATTTTGGCTTTGACTGTACAAACTTTAAACCACGAAAAACTCTGGAAGTGAAAAAACATTTGGACATAATGAAGATTTGATGAGATACAGCAAATGTAAAGTTCGGTTGCTAAAGAGTAGCTGCTATTTCTGGTATCATTTGTGATGTTCAAACCTCATCTACATTAACAATTTTTCCTTGACAAGTTTCTTTGACACGTCCCTTTTTGTTTAGATAGGTAACAAGCTTTTTGGCTATTTTTGCTTACTACTTAGCATGCATGAATTGGTTTGACTCAGTGAAATCTGTATTTTCATGTGCCTCAAAGATTTTTCCGTTAAACCGCGAGAAATTTACTTTCATTGTGCGATGGCAGCAACTCTGTTTATGTATCACAATTAGATGACCCCCTTGTGAAAATGAAGAGAGAGTGGAGAGCTCAGCTCATCCCTTAACAGGCCAGTACATTTTTGGCTTAGCCCTTTATTATGCCGCTGATTTTCCATGAATGAACAATTTCTATTCGCCTTTTAGCGTCCGCGAGCAGTCTTAATGATTTCATACGCAAATGCAAGATCAAGAGTGTGATATGGGGTGTGGTCCTGGATGTTGCTTCTGCAGAACAGTCCCCCTTCCTACTTTCTTAGGACGTTACCCCTGTGATTGTGATGTAATAATCTGTGACATCTGCATAATAATCAGTATGACTCATAAGGCATCACACTGTTGGAAATGAATCTACCCAGATGCACCCCCAGCATATATCATTGAGGTGGTGAATGGAAGATGAAGAAACTCTAAGGGAGTGGACTTGGAGAATACTTTGGAGAACTAGTATGGAAGTTTGACTAAAAGAAGTGAGAAGATTTCAGTTGGAGAACAAGTCTACCTTAAATGACGAAGGAGAAGAAAGGAAAATGAAATGAATTAACAAATGAGAAGATAAATGAGTAAATAAATAGAAGTATAGTGTAGCGAAAAAAAATTATATGCAAACTGAAAGACAGTGCACTACACACAAACTATCATGATATCATGGACTCAGAAATCAGCTATATGATATAAATAGCAGATATGGTTTCTCTGTCAATACCAGCCTAGCCGAAGCGAATACACTGATTTAACGCGAAAAAATACGAAATGATTGCTCCAAGTAATAATTATCAAGTGCTATTGCCAAGTTGTCTACACGAGAGAGTTTTTAAACTGACAGCTTTCCACTTGTCAAGCGTAGTTGTAAGGTGAAAAATCGTGAAGTTTGCCCAATTTAACCCATTTTAATTTGTCAAGGGGAAAAAGTCAAGAAAGTCAGTAAGAAAAAGTTAGAGGGATGGAAAAAACTGTGCACAACTTCTCAAGTTGACATATCTTATACATTTTGTAGAACATGTAATTGATATCGGACATTAAGAAGTATTTCTTGATGTTTAGAAGGTTTAAAAATATTTTTTAATGACGTCGTCAGCTTTATGCGGCTATCACGAACGAGGCTGGGAAATATTATGAGGCTATATATTGCACATGGAAACATGGCGGAGCATGTGAACCAGAACCAGTGATACACAGAAGTAGAGAAAAAACAGGCAAGTTGTGTGATTTTGACGAAGAGTATCTTTCACAGAGTTAAACGCCTGATATTTAAAGGTGATTCGAATTTCGTTATAGTAGGCCTAACGCAGTATCAAGCTGCCGTTACTTTTCATGGTGACATTTCCTAGTAACGTAACGTACAGGCCTAACTCAGTCATCAATGTATTGTAATATATTTTGTAATAAGTGACCTTATATATTGTTATATATATTGTAATATATTGTAATACGTGATCTTATATATTGTAATATATAAGGTAACGTATCACCATCTAAGCATATAGCCGGTTATAAAAGTTTTCTAGATAGAACAACTTCAGAGAAAACTTAACACCTAGCAATTCAGTCAGTACAGTTTTTTCTATTAAATTTAGAGAAAGTTTCAATAAACATCTAATAATACGAAGACTAGTTTCAGGCAAGCACACTAGGCAGTAGTAACTGGCAATAAATTGTAGAAGGCAAAATAGAGAAAAAGTAAGATTTCAGAAACCAAGGAAGAATCATTGACATGGAAGAATCCCAGACTGAAAAATTTGGGTATGTGCTGGGAAAGCCCATGGGCTTACAAATGCTATTTAAAATAAAATCCTGCAGCTTTTTAGATGTATTTTGCAACATAATTTGTTCAAGCACAAACGTAAGCAACAGAAAATAATTCCCCTCACACAAAAAGTACATTGCACTCTGGGAAGAATCTGTGGGCCAATGATTTTTGTACTAAAATGTATGGTGTGCCATGGCCAAATTTTTTTTCAGTACCAATTCATATACAGTATTTTTTTAAAACACCTTAATTCCATCATTCCATTTAAACAATAATGAAAATGGCTACATTACAATAAACAAGTATGTACTGATTAATAATCTTTAAATGTTGAAATGGTGTTGCTCTTGAAAAGAACAAAATGCTACAACAAAGTCAGTCAAAATACTCTGCACCAAAGCTTTGTGCCAAGAAAGTATCTATCTGATCCTTCAGAAATAGGCAGTAGGATTCACCCAGAGTAGAAACTCAATATATGAATAATTTTAAAACGTCTATGGCTGTAGATGGCTTGGCCTTTTTAGCTTGATAGCTATTTTCTTGATCAGCACTATGCATAATATGAGAGACAATGACAAGGTGACTGCTAAACTAAACATTTCTTTGCAGTATTTTCAATAACAGAAATATGTTTCTATTTTTATTGCTGTATTTTTATTGCTGTGTTTGTATTCAATAACAGAAATATGTTCTTTGTATTTTTAGAACAGAAGGTGGGTGTTGTATATAGGATGTATTTTGATTAAATGAGAAAACAATTTTTGGCATGAGCCTAGAAACATACTAAACATAATTCTGACAATTTTTGTAATCTCAATTATAAGAAAAATCACAGCTGAGCTACTGAGAAAAGCAAAACACAAGCAGGGCTAGAATATGAAACCTAGTGTAATTTATTTTGACATCATGTTTTATCTTGATTTAGATTTGTTGGTGTATTGTTTAGTCTGCTATAAAAATGAAAGGATTTGAATCAGAAGAAGATGATGACCAAGTATTGGAGTCTGATGTGCGTAGAATGGTCACTGCTCAAAACAGAAAAAAGAAGAAGTCTGGTGGATTTCAATCAATGGGTAGGTTTGCTTTCTTCCTTGTCTTTCATTTATATGATGGCTTTGTTGACAGATGGAAACAGACTAAAACGGCCAGCTCTATGACCAAAAGAAGAATTTAGTTTTCCATTGAAGATTTTTAAACTTAGATTATCTTTTTGTTTTTGAATAAATTCTTTTTGATAAATTGCATATTTTGCCCGCATTTGGATAAAGCCAGTACAGAGGGTCATTTGAGATTTCACGGCTCAAAATTCTACAAGTCTGTCTCAGAATAAGCAAGAATTTCTAATTTTTAGAGATTTATATTTGTGTTTATGCAAATTTGTATATCAGTAGGGCTATATCTTTGTTTTGCAGAAAATAAATGAATAATTTTTGTAACTTTAAGCAATCTCAAGCCAAGTTTGCTGGTGAATAGGCCTGAGCCAATAATGGGAGTTTACTTAAAAAAGCTTTAGAGGAATTCTTGATTGCTTAATAAGTTTATTTAGCCATTTGACATTGTTGGGTTTGGTGTGCTAAATCAACCTTTTACTGTTGTTTCTTCAAAATTTTTCAGATGATATATACCTTATTTGTTTTTGAAATTTCTGATATTGTTCTTCAGTATCTCAATCATAGTCATCAAAACTCTTCTTTAGGATTATCATTTCCAGTCTTCAAAGGAATCACCAGAAAGGGGTACAAAATTCCAACTCCAATTCAAAGAAAGGTAATTGTTAAATGGAATATTTGCCAGTATTCACTCTCAACTTTTGTTTTGTTCCTAATCACATTTTGTTGCTTACCTATAAAGACATGCCCATGTATCATCATTTATTTTGTCATTTATCTTCTTTATTGAAGGGGAGTCTCCTGTCTGGTGGCTGGCCTGGCTTTTTGTTTTGTGCTTGGGTTGTGCTTGGTCAGCCTTGGCTGGTTGGCTTGGTGCGGGTCTGGCGTGGGGCTGGGGGTTGGGTGGGTTGCTGGGTGGTTGCTGGAGGTTTCCTCTCTATTGTATTCTATTTAGTTAATTGTATGGTTATTACTGTGATTTATGTTAGTTTATTTTAGTGTATGTATTTTTTGTCATTCATTTGAATTGTGTATGTTGTGGGATTAAAAATGAAATAACTGAACTGAACTGAATTTAAACTACCATCAATCTTCTATTTACAAGTTGGTTGTTAATTCTTCAAGTACAGAGTTTATGGATTCTATTATGTTTTGTGTCTGAAAAACAAAATTTTTCATATAAACCAATAAAGTCCATATTGTTTTGATTGATTTTCTGCGCAGTTGTGGAAATAAGGCATTGTTAAACTTAGTTCAAAGTATACCTGGTTTACAACATAGAATAGGCAAAATCTTGAGGATCATTTGTTAATAATGGGACAATCACTTTTCTTTGAAAGAAATCTACCTGCTTCATTATAATAAAGAATTTTTCTTATAGACCATTCCTTTGCTTATGGATGGCAAAGATGTGGTTGCTATGGCAAGGACAGGTAAAAATCTTTATTGAAAGGAGAACAGCTCTCTGAATCATAGATGAAGTTTCTTAATCATCAGCTGATTAGTTTATATTGATTTTGACCTGTTTCTTTCTGTCTATAAGAATTTGTACACTAATCTTTGCACCTAGTCAGCCCTGCCTGACAGCATTTGAATGTAAACATAAAGTAATGCAGACCCTGCCTACAGGGACAATACTAGTTCTTAGCTAGCACTTTCTCCTCCTCCGTGCAAACAGGATCCAAGGGAAAGGTTAAAACTCATGAGAAATTTGGTCTATTGATTTTCACATTTGCAGCAGCCTTTTTAAGCAAATAAAGTTTAATCAATTTTTTACTTTCAAGGATCCGGAAAAACAGCAGCTTTCTTGATCCCAATGTTTGAGAAATTACACACACATAGCACAAAGGTATAGCATACATTGTTGGTTAAGTTTTGGCAGTTGAGCAAGCTAATTTATGGTCTGGTGATTTAATCTAGCAGGTTTCATCAGCTCCGATTGAATGGAAATCTTTTTGAAAGTTTCTTCAACTTCAGCAAGGCGTTACCTTCCCATCACTCTAGCACTTGTAGTCATGGGAACAAACCATTATTCAGATTTTTATCTTTAAGAACTGACACACCGAAAATCTAAAAAAACCATTTATTCAATATTTGCCTTGCTCTGTCTTCAATATTTCCTTTTTTAATGTCAGTAAGACCTCTTTACCTGCTTTTTTTACAAATTCAATCTTTGTCATATTCCCATATTCCTATTCATAGATTTTTTCAAATCTCTCTCTGTAAAAAATGACATTGACCGCAAATCCTTGATTGAGCCACTCCACCTATTCGAATAAGCACACGACCTTCTTAGAATGGGCACCATGCTGGAATAAGCACCTTCCCCCCCCCCCAGAAAAGTCGAAAATTTAATGCCCAGGAAGCTCACTAGAGGATTTATGGTATCCTTCAATTTTTTCATAGTTTTGCTCCCAAACAAAAGTCGTAGTCAAATTTTTTCATAGTTTTGCTTCATGGTTTTGCTCCCAAATTTTATGTTTTGAGCATTTCATTTTTGTAACATTTTATTGAAAACTGTTTAAAGCTTTCGTATCTAATAAGTGGTCCGTAATTTTTTAGGGTCCACGAGCACTAATTTTGTCTCCAACTAGAGAGCTTGCTATGCAGACGCTCAAGTTTACAAAAGAGGTTTGTGCAGCCATCTTTGATGTAAACTCATCTTAAACATTGTTAAGCAGAATTGCTATGGAATATATTTTATTGTATCAGGATGTACTCTAATTGCAAAAAATAAATTTTAATTTAATTGTTTGATTGGCGATTATTTTTATTGGTGCTTTGGTTGGAGTTGCACATTTTAGGTTTCTGGTATTTCCTTTCTTTTCACTTTAATAGATAATTTCACTTTTAGTGGAAAATATAGCTATTGATCTTGCCATGTAGCTTACCTCGTGAGAATTTTGCTTTAAATAGTATGTCATATCGTTTTTTGTTAAACTGTTGAAATTCTGTAGCTCTGAGGAAGTTCCGTAGGCCTGGGCACAACATCAGCAGGCACATTTTCGTTTATTTACATCGTCCTTTGTCATTTTGCGTTTTCTCCCGTCGAATTATGGTGTCCTTGGGCCCTATTTCGATCTCCACTCTGTTACAAATATTGGTTTGGAACTAAAAAACCAATCCTGTTACTGTTGTCTTTACATTCTTCCAAAACATTTTGTTGCTCTATCGAGCGTAGTCATAAGAAAAGAAATAAAAAATGGCGTCTCTATACCGTATTTCGCAAGCGTTATCGCGCACATCTCTTGTTACTTCTTTTACTCTACCACACGTATTGAGATAGTCAGCTTCTGTCCTTAAATTTGGAAAGCTTCCTACCGTAAGTCCTCGAATAGGCCCTCACCTGCGAATAGGCCCCCATCCTTTAATAAGCCCCCTCCATAAAGTAATTCTTGTGATATAAGCCCCCACCCTCGAAGAAGCCCCCACCCTCGAATAAGCCCCCTTGGGCTGAGGTATATTTTTGCCTGCTGCTAAATAAGACTCCACCTGCCTGCTGCTAAATAAGACTCCACCTTCGAATCAGCCCCCTCTCAAATAAGCCCTCACCCTAGAATATTTCTTTGCAAATAGGTCTCCTGGGGCTTATTCTGGGACTTACGGTAATGACCAGGAGTCGTGTCTGTATGCAAGCATATGTGTTTTCCCCACAAGGCTCTGTTTTAATTTGTTGTACCCGCAGCATGTTTTCCAACCAATATCCATCGTGTTTGTAATATTTCCTTAATTTTTTATTTAGCTTGGAAAGTATACGGGGCTGAAGCCAACTTGCATTCTAGGAGGAGACAGGTATGCATTAGTTATTTTTAAGCTAGTTTTTTTTATTTTTTTGGATTAGATCTGTGAACCTTAATCTGAGATTTGGATTTTGTAGCAGTTTAAACGCGACCAATCACTCTTGTCTGTATCAAAATTGACCCGTAGCGGTGGAAACAGGGCATTTGTATCTCGTTTGGCAAGTTTTCAGTATTTCATATTTATTGACATGGTGGAGGAAAATAGAAATTTAAAACTAAAAATATATACAGTGTATCAAGAATATGAAGCGAAAAAATTGAGTCATTGACGATTTTCCTGAACGTTTTTCAATTATTATTCTGTTTGGAATTTTGATTTTCAGAAGACACGGAGTTGTTAAGGAGGCAGCTGCTTTCCTTAGAAAATGTCAATATAGACCAGAAAAGCTATTATAAGACCAATAAAAATCGGCCTTTCTTTGCTGAAAAGATTAGAAATTTTCAAAAGTTACTATTACTTATACCAGATATCCTGTAAAAGTTGTGGTCTCCTGTGAAAATAAAGATTATTGTTAAAGAAAGACTTACTAAAGATATTTATAACTTTTCTGTTACATGTTAACTATTTTAACTATGATAGTCCTTTTGATTGTGTTTAGAACTTTTAAGATTTAAATATATTTCTGACAGTCACCTCCGAGCGCATTTTATTTAATGTATTAAACACTTTATAACTTATGTACATGGAGACAAATTTACTCTTTTAATCATTATTCTTTCAGTTCCTCAGTATGTTAAGGAGCTTTGTGCTCTTATTAGACATAAAGGAAATACCTCGTTACCATTTAAACTGCAAAAATTAGCGTTCGGATGCCTTCATGCGTTGTTAACTTTTCCTTTTTGTGTTTCAGGATGGAAGATCAGTTTGCTGCAATACACGAGAATCCAGATATGTAAGTCAAACAGGTCATCCTGGAAAAACCAGACCCTAAGACCCTAGAACCCCTGGACCCCTAGGACCCTTAATACTGAATATCAAGAGGACCCTTAACTATGAGAGATGCCACTACTTCGGCACAACTTGGTGCAACTGCTAGAGATGTCACTATTGCATTCGTTTGATTACATGTAGTTTACATAAGTGTATGGGGGCTACTCTGCTTGATTTATGCAGCATGTGAAATTGTGTGCTTCCTCTTTAATTCTAGGAGGCGATTCCTACAAATATGGTCTTTATTCCGACAAACTCTAGGCAGGTCCAAAGAGGTCAATTTTCGGACAATTTCCGACAAACGTACAAAAACAGCAAAACTTTGGTGAAGGCCTATTTTTCGGGAAAATTCATTTTCCGGGCAAATCCAAACAATATAGAGCATGAGGGCGGTGGATCCCTGGCCTCCCGGCCATGACCCCTCTGAAAGAATAGCTTTTATTACATATGATCAGAACTGGTTGTCTCATAGGAACTTGTGAACTGAATGTCAAGTAATCAAAACATAATGGTCCTAGGCCGGGAGTTACCTTTGGGTCAGGAATGTTCAATGGTATGCCAATTCTGTTGAATCGTATATACTCTTCTTTTCAAGCAGAGTAGCCCCCATACATTTATGTAAACTACATGTAATCAAACGAATGCAATAGTGACATCTCTAGCAGTTGCACCAAGCTATGCGGAAGAAGTGACATCTCTCATAGTGTCCTCTTGATATTCAGTACTTAAGGGTACTAGGAGTTCAGGGGTTCAGGGGTCCTAGGGTCTTAGGGCTTGGTTTTTCCAGGATGCCATCAAACAGAGAACTATTTGGGATGTTGAATTATAACAAGTTCAGTATCATGCCAGTTGTCTTGAAAAAGCTTGCTCGTGTTAAAGAATAAATATAGTAGTTCTCAACTACTGAATATTTGATTGGTTCAGGGATAAAATCTTTTGACGTCACAACAACAAGGTAAAAGCTTCAATCAATACCCCTGTCGAGACGTTATTTCTACCTTATATTCAAAAGTTCTATATACTAATTAGTATTCAGAAATTGTCATATTTAGATACGTCAATAAATAGTTTGTTTGCTATTTATCTACAGTAAGGCTTTTGTAGATCAAGGGATGTTGAGGGCTAGATTTTCCTATCTTTTGTCAGCTTCAGTAGCATTTTAGTCCCAGCTATAGTACAATCTTGCAAAATACCTTTCCTTTTTTAGAATAATTGGGACTCCTGGTCGATTTCTACATTTAGCTGTCGAGATGAATCTGAAACTGCAAACGATAGAGTATGTGATTTTCGATGAAGCAGACAGGTAGGTTTTGTTTTTTAGTGCTTAGATGTTTCTTAATGCTTTTTTATGAATCTTTCTTAGATTCGCGTTTTTTAGTGTTCTTTCTGTAGACAATTTTTGCAGTCGTTTGTTAATGTTTGTCGAGAAGTGGTATATTAATCCCTTTTTGTGTGCTGCAAAGAAGCAGGAAAAAGTCGAAACATATCTGTATATTTTGATAAGAAACATTTTTCTTTTGGGTTTTTGCTGCCAGTGCGTTCAGAAGAATCACAGAAATTCTCTTAGACTATAGTAAGTTATTATTTATAGCAAAGAAAAGCTGGAGCATGTTATTCTAAATTACTTTTTGCCCCACAACGCTGGGAGTGTAAAATACCTTTAACTTTAGCCAGGGCAGTAAATGACGAAGTTGCTCCGAAGTTTTTCATTAGGGGTGATACAAACATGTCTCAAAATGAACTGGAAACAAATCATGGCTTGAACTATTTTTGTTTTAGACTGTTTGAAATGGGTTTTGCTGAGCAGCTCCAAGAGATCATTCGGCGTTTACCAGAAGCAAGGTTCGTTGCAAAATTAACTATAAATGTCAATATTGCTTAAAAGTCTTAAAAGTCATTGAACTGGACTAGGAGCTGGAGCTATAGCTGTTAGTCAGACACGTGAATTGACATACTCAACTTTTAAATAGTAACTCAAACGGAACCTTGCATTGATGATTTGGAAATGGGTTTTATGACAGAAGAATACTTTATGAACTGTGTCTGAAGGATTGACAAAGAACTATTAAGAATGCCAATAAATGATAATTTCTTGATGTTTTAGTCACATTATGAATTAGAAGGGATTCTAAGATTTCCTTTTTGACACTCTTAGGAGGATAAAAAAAGAATAAAGATTGAATATGTTCTATTTCCTAACTTAAATTTCTAAAATTTTCGATGACTATACCGACGTTTCATACTCCGAAAGTGTAATGTCAGAAAAACCTTTTGTATGGCTTTTCTTATCTCGATCTAATGAGTAACTAGTATAAATTTTGTTGAATTTTTCTAATTTTTCATCCTTTTTGTTTTTATTTCAAGACAAACGCTTCTGTTCTCGGCAACATTGCCTAAGGTGCTCGTTGAATTTTCAAAAGCTGGGCTAAACGATCCTGCACTTATTCGACTGGACGTTGACACAAAGATCAGTGACCAGTTGAAAGTATGTCCTTGATTTTTGACCCATTTTGTCAAAAGACATTTTAACGTAAAATATTTATATTTTGTCATGTATATTTGCAACCCCTTCTTGTCACAAAATTTTGAATATTTGTAAATATCTTTGCGTTTGGACTTTTGTTGTTTATGGAAAACAATCAACCAGATATTGCATTTTCTTATCTATCGATTTTGGTTCTATTTTAGATGTCATTTTTCTCAGTGCGGAGTGAAGACAAAACAGGTTTGTAGATGTTTTGTGTAGCTGTCTTTTATCTTAGAGTCTGTTCACACTAAATCTTCCAGCCCAGGCTGAGATAAACTCTTTTGGCTGAGTTAAACACTGGCTGAATTCAACACTGGCTGAGTTCAAGACTGCCTTACTTCAGTACGGGCTGAGTTTCAACTCGGCTGACGGTTTAAGTTCTTCGAGTGAAAAAATCTCCACACCGGCTTAACTACCTTAACTACCTGACATCACAGCCTGGTCATGTAAACGACCTGTTGTGCCTGAAATGGATGGCAGAAAATTCCTGTCAGATAAAGACAATAAACAATCTGTTTCCACAATATGTGTCATGTTTTCATTCATATGAAAGATATTCAAAGACATTGAAATACTTCGTTTAAATATCGAAAAGTATTTCTTGCTGCTTAACGCCAGCGGTACCATGATGAATCGGTTCATTAAGTTACTCACTAGCTACTTTCAATCCGCATCTGGCTATAAATTTCCGTTCAGTTTGATAGTTAACGAAATCTGCATTCTCGAAATCTGAAATATCAAACGAAAAATAAATACACATGATTCGTGATTATTTTCCTTTCATGTAATTTTGTATTCTCTTACCCAGCGTTTGGGTCATTAATACCTTCTATTTTACTCGTTACTCATTTCTGCATAACACTTTGATGTCAATCTATATTCAACACAGCCCCCTTTCTTCTTAATTTTGTACTTTTCCATTATGAAAAGTATCATTAAGATCCGTTCTGTTCCTTTACAGCTCTGCTCCTCCACATTTTGCAGTCAGTCACAAAGCCCACAGAACAAACAGTTATTTTCGTTGCAACTAAGCACCATGTCGAGTACATCAAATCGGTAAGAATGAGATGTTCGAATGATAATTTCTACATTTCCATATTCGAAAGGTGGTGAAGCGTTTAAGCACTCGCCACATCGATTTTAAATAATGTGAAGACGAGCTAAGGGCAGGCAAATGGATCTTACCATCGTCTTTAGTAATACAAAAAATTTATTTACGTTTAAATTTTATTTCAGGTTCTTAGTGAAACTGGAATTGACTGTTCCTACATTTATTCTTCCTTGGATCAAACTGGTACGCCATAATTTACTGTTTATAAAAAAAATGATAAAATCACTCTCATAGTGGCAATTATTTGCCGCAACGTGCATTTGAGGCTTGGGAAAAGGGTAAACCGCTGCGAGCAGTCTCTAAAGAAAGAGTTTTGGCACAAAGACAATCAGCATATTTGCCTGTGTAGCTTAAAATATGCAAGTTAGGTTTCATGAAAGGTCGGCACAAAGTTATTTTCCTTTAAAGTTGCAGGCTGTTAGCCTTCAAGCCAGTAAAGATTTTTATCAATGAAACTTTACAGTGGGGTTTTGTTGACTTCGATTGAAGGAAACACAAGTGCCATCATTCTTACTTGTATTTTATTTTTAAATCTATATAATGTTTATAAAATGTTGAAAAGAGAAAAAAGAAAATTGGTATTGCAAAATCTGTATCATTATTGATGCTGGGACAAAACAGTGTGAAACCGGACTGCTTTAGTTTATCCTTTTGAAAAAACACATTTAAAAATTAGTCCCGATACTTCACAGCGGCTCTTAATCGTTCTTGTGGCTTTATTAGTGGCATACTTGAGAATATAATTTGATTTCAGCAAGAAAGATAAACGTGGCAAAATTTCAGAAGAAGAAAACATTGATTCTTGTTGTCACCGATGTTGCAGTGAGTATGATTCACTTTCATTAGATTTTCCCTGAAGGCTGCTCGGACCGACACCCTCTAACAGTTATGTAAGATTTGATCTTACCAGTCGATGTACCAGTCGATTAATGTAGGGCTAGGGTTGAGTATGTATGTAGACTTTAATATCTTTTTCTAATACGTCATCGAAAATTGCAAATTTTAGCATGCTTTTTATCTTGTTTTCTTCACATGATTCTAAATTAAGCTTGTAAATGATGAATTGGACTTTGATTATCATCCGAAACCATGTATCATTTAGTATTGTGGAATTATATAAATTTTGCATCGTTATTATCAGACCAATACTAAGTGTCCCCATGCATTGTGCCCTCAGTCAGACCATCCATACCACGCCTCTGCTATACGCCAATTCTTTTTGATAAACATGCCATTTTAATGCAATAGGTATCCTGCAGTTTTAGTTAATTGCAGCCTAGAGCAACGTTATGGCTTAAATACTCATTTTGAAAGCCTATGTTCTTTTTAAAGGCTAGGGGCATAGATATCCCGATGTTGGATAATGTAATCAATTATGATTTTCCTGCAAAGCCAAAACTGTTTGTGCACCGAGTTGGTAAGTGCAACGTATTATATTAGTCTCTTTCCTGTACTTTTGCTATACCAAAGTTTAAGTTCAAGTTCGTCAGTCTTAAAACTGTCAAAGTCTTCAGAAAGTTCCTACATGCAAGAAGGCTCTTAAAAGAAAGCTTTTGGTGTCATTGATTGCCAATTCTTCGTGAATTTTTCGGTTTTCTGCAAAAACTTGTTTGCCTTTGCCTGGTTTACTGGTATATAAAGTATGTAAACAATGTTACTCAAAGGCTGTTGCGCACTTTGCAACTATTCCAAAGATCCGGCCTAATATCGTATTGCATAAAGCTACAAAACATAGTCGATTTCTCAAGACAACTGCCGCTAAGCATGACGGTTGCGCAAGAGCCTTTAAGGCTTTGACTCATACGAGTTAATTGTAGGCTATACACATTCCCAACAAAGACGATAGCTTCAAATTCTGAATCTGTATAAGCACAAGTTAAATACCAATAATTTTCTTCACTCTTACGTTTTTCTGTAAGAAAGGTTGTGGACAAGCTTTTGTCTCAGATTTCCACATTATAGTCCCACCAGCTTATACTTTACAATAATAAAGTAATGGTTTGGTCCAGACGTCTTTCCTGCCGTAAAAGTCTTTTAGAAATAGCCTCCTGACTAACTCTGTTCCCTCAGTTTCCGGCTGTATGAAGATTTCACTGGACTTTTTACTTAGCCATCGATAAAAGGAAAGGCTTACTATGCTAAAGACGTGTAAAGTTTTTATGTTTATATAATCTTTGACCTCCGTCTTGGTAATGCTCGTCGGTGAAATACAAGACTTAATGCTCATGTCGAGCCAAGAGTTTTTTCAAGGGAAAATGTTTATGTAGTCTGTAATGTATTTAAGATTCCTATCTTTTTATATGTTTTCAAATAGTACTTTTAAAGTTCGGTATATTTTCATACTCGTCTTCCCTTTCGCTCTTTCTCTAACAGTTGAGTTTGTTGAAAATAATACAGACAGCTTCGTTTGTTGGTGTCTAAAATAAACAATGTCACTTAACGTCTCTAATTATATGAATTAAAGCTTTCAGTTGTAAAGTTTGCTTCATTCTCAGGTCGCGTTGCTCGTGCTGGTCGTTCAGGAACTGCTTATTCATTCGTTGCAAATGACGAGGTTTGTTGACTTAACCAACGATCTTTAATTGCTCTTGATATATTTTTGCAAAATTGAGTTACATCCATCGGTTCCTTTTGCTTGTAACCCCAGCAATCTTACATTGCCTCTTTTGCTGCTAAACCTTGGATAGCAACTACACGAAACGCTACTCGTTAATGTTTTGTTGTGAAATTCAATGGCCGATACTTTTCCATTGTACTTTTGTGCTTTGTTAGAAAATCATTCTCGCCTAGTTCTAATTGATACAACGAACCACAGGTTAAGTGGCCACAGACTGGGATGAATCATGTATAGAATTCAGAATTTTATTCATACAGCCGAGTTTGCTCTATCTTTGGAATTCTGTTCTTTCTCAGAACCCCTCTCGCGTGCTTGTCTAAACCGTTAGTTATATTGTGAACCATAATGTTTGTACTTCAAAATTGACATAAAGTTCCCAGATATTTTAAGCAAAGAGTGAAATAGCTATTAGCTTGTCATTCTAGGATATCCAAAAATTGTTGAGAAGTTTGAAGGAATCGGGCATCATATCTTTGTGTATTACATATGTGCCTTTAATCTCTTCGGTTTTTTCTTTATTTGTGATTTTCAAAACTGCTTTGCTTTGTAGCTCCCATACATGCTGGATCTTCATTTATTTTTGGGTAGGCCACTTAAAACTGCAGCAAGAGATTCAAGCCAAGGTAAACGAACTACTCTTTGTTATTTGTTAAGCATTGCAAAGCAGATTGAGAAATTTGATAATCATAGAAACTTGTTGTAGTTTGCAATTACCGGAACTCCGATTTTGCAATCTGGTTTTGTGAATTCGGCAGAGGTATTCGGAAGTTTTACCTGAATTGTTCGATTTGATTTTTTTGAATCAAGTGATCTTTGGAGATATGAGAAAAGCGGTGCTCATTGTCTGATTTATGGTAATATAATGCAAGATGTAGGGATCAGTTTTGCGTTATAATTTCTTTTCTACAACTTGGTACTCACTGAATTGAAGAACTGCAAAGATCTCGATCAAAATAAAGCTAGCCAATAGTCTGGGTTTGTATTAATGAATAAGAATTCTCCAATCTGTCTTTTCACCGAGTTTGGGGCTTTGGCTGCTACAAAAAGCAAAGGCTGACTTTCATCCAATTCGATCGTTTAAGACGAATTTTTTATAAAACTGTGAATGATTTGTAATACTCTTACGAGCTGTGATGTTAAGTTGTATTTGTTAAAGACAGCATTAAACACGTGCCCTGCAATGTTCATATCAATCCAATCCAATTCAGTTCAATTCAATTCAGTTCTATTTGTATACTACAGACGAAGTATACTATATTGATACTGTAATATACACGACCCAAACTACTATGTACTTATCCAGCTACTTTTAAAAAGCTAGGGTATTTTTTTCTGTCTTGAAACTCTTCTGTTATTCAACTTGATATTACTTGATGTTGTGAAACAGTCATTACTTTTGTTTTTTTGTTTGTTTCTCGAAACAAGCGATGAAATAATTGTTACCAGCACCTAAGGCACAAATAGGATAGCCTTTAAGATAAGTTCCATACCAGTGTCGCTTCTGGTAAACCGTAAAACCCACATGAATATCTCGCAGGTTGTCATGGCATTCTTAAATTTGCCTTGTTCAAAACAAGGTTGATTATTTCTTGGAACATGTTACTCGGCACAAAGACGTTCACTGAGTCATGGGTTGAAAAATAAACAGTGTCGCTTAACTTTTTTTATCGAAAAGTGGCCAGTCAAAGCCCCCATAGATAAACAAATTGGTAGCCTTACCAAGATCTCGTTTGTCGCTTCCGTGAATTGTTGCCTTGTATTTCCTAAAAAAGGCTTTGCCAAGAGATTTTACTTGCTTATTTATCGATCTGTAAGAATGTTTTATGCTGACCAACTTCTGAGGTTTGCCATTTTTACAGAAAGTGTCAGACCCCACTTGTAATTCTGATAGATAGACAGAACCATCTTTCACCTTTTCTGCAGTTTGTCTCGTTTCCAGTTCTTTTTCAACTTGATCTCTTTAGTTTAAAGTTTGCAAAATGACCCGTTTGTTTTATGTTAAAAGATCCTTCGAAATTGCATTTGTGTAGATTTTATGTCATTCTTTGGGCTCTATGTTCATGACAGCTTATAAAAGTCTTTGCGAAACAACTCTTTTAAATGCTTGAAATTTTTCAATTTATAGAATATGACTTTGTGCCATAAGCTTCTGATTCTCGTTCTTTTTTCATGTTAACGTTCACCGTCCTTTGTTGCCTTGCATCTTACAATGATCATGACTAGATTTCTTGTCGCATTTCTAGACGAAGATGGCCTACTTGGATCGGTTCCACGAAGTTGCTTAGACGAGGAAGAAGAATATCTGCTCGGAATTCATCAAAAGTCACATGACTTGGTATGTTTACTCTCTTGGATACAGTTTATAACTTAAATTAACAACATTATATTTAAAATTGTCATCATCAGAATTTAAAAGTTATCATAGTGAATTTATACGGCTTCAACTTTCAATTTTGTTGGTGTGAACTTTCTGGCAAAGATTCAAAGATGAACAGTTTAATTCTAGCTTCAAATTTCAATAACTAATATCGTCCAAATTGTTCTCCTTAGACTTGTATCAAGTTGTACATAGTTTAAGCCCTCAGTATATTTTTTCTATTGCTTTGTCTACAGGAAGCTGCGAAAGGAGTAATGACGAACGCTTGCAAACAGTACGTGCGATCGAGGCCACCAGCGGCCTCGGAATCAGTAAAGCGAGCCAAGGAAACCCTGCTTGTTGACATCGCAGTACACCCGTTGCTTGGTATGCTTTTCATTCTTCGAGTTATGAGGACTTTCATATCGTAAATAATTTTAAAATAGAAAATAGTTATTTTTTGTAAATTTCTGTTATTTGATGATTTTAGCAACTGATTGTCTGTGTTCTTTAGATGTTTAGATTCTCAAAACCACTAAAAAGTACTGAAAACGTTTGAATTTTTATAGTAGCCTAAAGAAAGTTTATTGGTCAGATCATTTTCATGGCTAGCACCATGCAGCATGTATCAGAAAAAGTGCTTTGTTTTCGCTTCTAGCTTTGTTTAAGTTAGCAAATATGCTCTTCTGATCTATTAAATGTGTAAGGAAGTCATTTTAAAAAGCTGAAAATATCGAATTTTTGAGTAGGGCCTAAATATGTATATGCAAACTGGAGTCGCTTTTCATAGCCAGTTCTAAATGCGATAACATTTTTAATGAGTTTCAAGAAATCCATCGTTTTTTCTTTTTTTTAGGCATCAAAGTCTAAGCATTAAAAACAGCAATAAATTTGCCTGTTATTCGTGCTTTTTATTATTTCATTTTATCCCTGAATCCCATCCACAATCTCATCTTATCTTAATTCTGTCGTGTATCTTGCCTTTCACGTAACGGGAATCCAGTAATTTTCAAACCAGAAGCCACAATTAATACTTTAGCCACAATATTCAGAGCTTTAGTTTGATTTCCAGGGGAAAAGTTCAAAGCTCAGGATAGTCTGCGGAATACGTTATTAGATGGGTTGAAATCTTTCAAACCCGGGCAGGTAGGCTGTCGATAAATTGTTTTAATCATCTTTTATCCGTTTTGTCATGTAAGGTCCACGTTATATTTGCTCTGTAGTTTTAAGGTTTGGAGTTTGAAGTTTATAATTGATCATATTATAATTAATGTTACCTAAAACAGTAACTGGTGTCTATATGTAAAATCGTGAGAATAAATTTAGCTGTTTCCCCCAACTCACTTTGTCACTTATCTGCAGTAAGCCCATTCTTTCATGACATAAAATACTGTATCTCACATTCGCATAATACCAATATATTTTCTTTTCTGTCGAGACAAACTCTAGCTGTAAATTTTGCCTTTGTCATGATTGTTTGTTTGCATCAAATGAGAAATATAGATTCCCATAGAAAACTGCCATTCAGTAGCAGCGACCATTTTCTTTACTAAAAACTTATAGTTTCTCTGTTTTTTTCACTGTTAAACTTCAATAATTCTGTTGTTGTAGTTTAAAGTTTTCAATTGAGTATTTTGTAATCTATTTGCTACAGGTAACATTAATTTCACCAATTTTCTCTCAGACAATATTTGAAACTCGTGGAACAAAAAAGTCTACTGAATCGTCCCTCATTATGAAAACAAAAAGGTTTTTAATCTTCATTAAATGATGTTTTTAATATAGTTATATTGCATTCTAATTTACGGGTAGCCATTTTATCTAAACCTCCTTCCCCTCCCCCACTCATGTAGTCTGCATGTAGCCCTACTATTTCTGTCACATTGATTCGAATGTTAAACAATGCAGTCGTTTCAGTATGGAAGCCACATTGTTGAACATTCAGTTCAATTGTGAAATGAAATAAGAAGGGCCTGCACGCAGACTACACTCGTGTCTGTCTGCCAGCTTTAACCTAAGTGAATTTTGAAAATATGTTTATTAGTGGTTTTATCAGCTACCTGGGTCATCAATATTATTGACTCCGTATTTGCAATGCAACTCTTTTAGTATATGTTAGTTTTGAATTGTGAACCGTTTCATTTTGTATATTCATACGTCGACCCAAGTGATTTTAAATCAAAATACATTTTCACATTTAGCAGTATCTTCCAGTAAATAATCCCTTTTCTTCATTGTTCTTTTGTCAACGTTTTATTGCAGAAATTATCACGGAGCTGTAATTGAAAAAAACAAAGTGAGAATTTCAGAGTTGAAGGAAAGTAACGAAGCCCTGAACGCAAAAATAAGATCTGATGCGGTGAGCCTTTATCAAATGTTATCAAGAAGCTATTTGTATTGCTTTATGGGTTATAATTGATTCAGTTGTTCCCATTTTTTAATTCATCCAAAAGGAAACGGTTTTAAATTCATCCTAAATGCATCGTGCTTTATGACATATTTTCCACAGTGATAAAATTTTGTCGACTTGTGTGACCTGTATGTGTAAATGGTAACTTAGTTTAAACGCCCTCTTTAACGCACTCTTCCAAAAATGTTGTTTTCAGCTCGAATTATCCAATGGTTTTGTTTTCATAAACCTTATTGGTATGGTGTCGTTCAAGGATACTTGCATTGCACATTTGTATTTAATGTTTTGTGTTGCCCCTTAACCAATTTGTACCGATAAATTTTTTATCAGCATTAATAATAAAAGTCCTTAGATGAAGGTCTTTGCAAATAGGAGTAGTAAAAATAGAAGAAAATAAAAGAATATGATGGTAACCAGAATTTGAATTTGGTAACCAGATAAGTAAAATTGCTGAACAAATTTGAATTTTATGTTACAGAAGGTAATAACCTCTGAAAAGTTTCAGTCTTCAAAAAGGAAAAGGAGTGGTATGTTCAAAGGTTTTTTAAACTGCGTTGTTTTGTTTGTGTCTTTATTAAATCTAATATTTTAATGCTATTTATTTGTGTCTTTACTAAATCTAATATTATGATATTATTTATAAACAATTTGATCTTGAATAGCTGGTGAAATAATTCACAAAATAGTTGCAACGGCCTGGAAATTTATCTTGACCTGAAAATTCCTAAACAAAATTCTATCTTGACTTCCTCTGCACGAATATTTTTGGCTGTTTTGCCACCATATAAACATCTTTAAACTAAAGCAAGAAATTCATCGGTATTATTGCTTTAATAAAGCCTAGAGAAAGCGTCATTTAATATATCTGCTGATTTTTGCTTGTGGTGATCCTGTTATTTCAATGTTCTAGGATACAAAGATGAAAATTATATACCAATGAGGTCATCCGATGGCCACTCAGAAAAGGGGTAATTCAATTTGAATTTCTGTCTGTTCCTAAAAAAAAAGTTTCGGGAATTCAAAGCAACTGATAGTGTTTGTTGTGGTAGCTATAGGACCACCATTGCTAGTTTTGAATGTGTAATAAGTGACTCAAATTCGCCGACTGAGGTGTAAGAATAGCTCAGTGGTTAGGGCCACTGACTACATACCAAAGGGTCGGGGGTTTGTGCCCCTGGCCAACTTTTCAATAAGAGTGAGGATCTATGTGTTTCCAGGCGCAAAAATCACGAGGCATTGTTACATCGAGAGGACGCACATGAGCATTGCACCCCAGCGTCCTTTAACTCACCTCCTGTAGTGACAAATGTAAAAAATTGAGTGGATTCAAACCCATCATTTGAAAACTGGTTTGCTGACTACCTGTAAATCTGCTGTTTTTTCCTTGAATTTTCCACGATCTGGTCCCGCATTTCGCAGTGTCAATTGTTGTCGTTGTGCCAAAGGCAGATAGGCCTGCTGTCAATGAACATTGATTCTGCCCATATTGGCTATATTTGACGTTATTTAAACCTGTCAGGAACTAGACGCATTTAGAAATGAGCCCGATATTCATTTCTGATTTTCTGATTTAACTTTGGGACGTGAATAATTTAACATTTCAATCGTTTGCTGTTATTTTTAGCCTAACTATAAACTCATTTGAGAAAGATGCTAGTGGTGTCTCTGTTGACTTTGTGGGTGATGATACAGACATGATGAAGAAACAAGGCAGTGTCAAGAAATGGTAAGTCTTCTATTTTCTTCAGAACTCTTCCTATCTCCCTTATATTGCTCTCGAATCCTAAGGCCTGATTTGTAATGCTTTCACTTTAATTTCATGTTATTATAGATTAAGAACCTTTGATATCATCATTTTCTTTTTCAAGGCAATTTCTTTGAAGCGTGAATCTTTACCATATCAAACCTAAATAAAGTTTTTATAGTCATTTCTGTTTCAACCACCCATGAAGTTTTTTCGACACGTGTTGTTTTTGATGTTTTCGATGCATGGTGTTTTTTCGACACAGCCTACATGCAAGAAGAATAAGAGTGAGAAATAGCCCCAATATCTTTTGATGACAACTTTCGCCTTTCCACAGACAGTGCTTTAAGGTCATTTTCATTAGTTTTTGCCCCTTCTATCCCGGAATGTTTTCTGTCACCTAAAGGTTTGATTCTTCTGCTTTGGCTGTTTTCATTTACTTGACTGATGTGTGATTATTGATTAAAATCAATATATTTCAAGCTTGTGCTCAAACATAATCTTTAAAAAACAAATAAAATAACATATGAGCTTATTTTCCTTTGATTAGGGATCGGAAGCGAAAGAAATTCGTAGGTTCGCGTCAAGATGGAGCGAAGAAAGTTAAAACCGAGAGTGGATCTTGGATCAAAGCCTCGTACAAAACCAACAAGTATCCTTGCAAAACGTTTTGTCTCAATCGAATTCAGGCCTTCAATTCGTTAAAAGCTTTTGAATCTTTATTACAGTTAAACTGCAATCATTTTTTATAAAAAATATCGATAAGAAACTGAGTCACAAATTGATCAAAAAATAGAAAAGTTGTAGCTCTGGTCAGCCTCTTTTTGAAGAAACTGCTCGAAAATTCTTCTTTGAAAGATGGCGTCGGATTCTTTTCGACGATTAGACAATTGTTTTCTGTTAAATTGACCAAGATAAGTAGCGTGACGAGCTCCTTATGATTTATTAGACCTCCTTTTTTTGTTTTATGAATGTATCTCATAAGCATTTGGTTTTTAAGAAATCTTTATAAAACTTTTTGGCAATGAAATCCACCTAAAAATTTAGAAACTGAGTGCTAACTGCTTAGTTTTTTTATCAACTAAAATAAGTTCATGGGTTTCTGTATATAGAGGACCAAACCAGCGTTCTATTGTCTTTCAATGCTTATGCTACAATATATGATGTTTTATAATTTTTTGTTTTGGTGAAAAGATTTGTCAAACTTTGAGGGAAAGTCATTACAAGCTTAACTCGAAGTCAGATACAAAGACTGGATGGAGAGGAATAGGGTGACTAATATGAACAGAGGGGAAGATTTCGATGAAACCGAGCACCGAGGAAACAAAGGTATTTGGGAAATTTTTGAATACTTTGTTTTCTTATATCTTTTAATTATGGGTAACGAAAGTATGGCTTTCGGCTCGCTCATCGTACCATGATTTCAAAGATTTTTCAGGGAGTCTTTTCATCGTTAATATATGAAAAAGAGGGACTTCATTTCTCTTTGTATTTCTCTTGAAGGTTTCGTAATTCTTAAGCCGCAGGCAAAAAGACTGTTGAAGCCATCGTTGAAGCTGCAAACTTACGGTGGGCCCCCACATTTATGGGAAATCTCTTGGTTTAATGATGAAAATGAATATTCTTCAATGTTTTTAGTGGCAACACAATCGGTTTAGTGTGTAGTTTCTCCTTGCCTGTGTCTGCTAATTCATACCAAACCGCATTTCTTCATCTTTTTCTTCAAAAAAATTTTTAGGTAGTATCGTAAATTTTTGCATCGAAAAAGGTTTTCTCGTTTTGAACAAACCCTATTACTCCGGGTTGTAGTACATTTGCTGTTAACTGAAATTTAGGCAATTCTAGATTTTTGGAGTCAAAATTCTTTTCTTTAATCGCATATTTGCCATTAAGTGAACGACCCTGATAGTTTTTTTATTATTTTTTTTTGTGCAACAAAGTTAGCACTTTTTAAACTTTCATGTATGCTACATCCAAAACAGAATAGGCAGCCTTTATGAAATCTCATTGCCCTTGTTGTTACCTTGTATTTTGGTACAGCGCGCTGTGACGGTATTTTAATACCGACAAATGTGCTTATTTAACGAGATAATGAAGGTATTTCTAATATCGGAGGTTATTTGGTATATCCTGCAAGTCAAATAAGTCAGTCAAGAGTAGAGAAGACTAAATTTTCAATAGGCCTCTCGAAAAAGCCCCCCCCCCCACCCCTCCATCAACGTTTTGAATACCCTCCCTTTTTCAATTTATTGCGATAAATGTTGTCATAGGACAGATTTTCCAAAAAAACTAACCCTGGCAGCAGCTTTCTTGTAAAGCAGAATATTTACTGACATTTTCTATATCTCGTATTGTGCGGAACGATTCCTATTTGGCCTACACGTTCTATGATTTACGTTTGGCTTGTAATATAAATCAAAATATGGCTATTATTTATTGTATGAGAAGAATATGTAAAGAAAATATTACTTTTTCTTTGAAAAGGTTCTCAGAAAAAGAGCAAAGGCGGCGGGAAAAAAAGTTTTAAGGGATCGAAAGGAAAGATGAAGAACGAAATGAAGTCAAAAGACCAGATATTAACAGGAAGAATAAAAGATCAAAGTATTCAGAAAAGACTTCGCGGTAAGGGTAAATTTACGAAAGGTGGATCGTTTAAAGGAAAGAAGAAAAGATAGCGAATGCTGATATTCTACACAAACCATTAATTTCATAAGTAAATCTTATTTGTACCACAGCTGTAGTATAAAATCATTGTTTTTGAGCAGACAGATTTTATTTGTTATCAGTAAATTGAAAGCCTGTTTTTGAATGCACGGAGTTATTTTGTATTTCCTGGAACTGAATACAAATAAAAATATTTGCGTTGTTTCCTCATATGAGGTTGGAATTTCTGCAAAAGTGCAGTTTTTGAATAGTCTCTGGTTAGTGTCACAAATTTGTTGATTTTTGGATGTGACTGCAAAATCAGTCGTTTATTGCAAGACTCATTTATTGCGGCAGTCTCGTCTTCGTCATCATCCTCAACCGTCATCAATCATCAATCATTTCCGTCAATCATCCTCGTGATCACAATCATCACCAGTCATCATGACCATGGACAGACAACATCATAATCATAATCACCATCGTGATAATCCCAATTATCTCTAATCACCATCATCATCATTACTAATCATTATTAGTAAACATCATATTCAATCATTAATCATCATGATAATCATGATCGTCGTCAGTCATTTTAACGTCATACGTCTTTTCCGTCGTTGATATCAAAGCGGCAAATATCCTCATCTTCTCAAATATCCATTCTCTTTTCAAAAAACCCTCCTGGAATAAGTGTGTGTGTGTGGGGGGGGGGAAGGGGGGCTCTAATGGAATCAAGACAAAGCAAATCTTTTCCACGATCAATAAATCCGTTCAGCCAAGAATGAAAATACTAAAATAAACGGGCATTGGCAACAAGACCGCTAAATTCAGTGGAAAAATCAATATTTTCTGCTAAAATACCTATTTGTGATTTGATTTATGCTTATAAATATATTTTAAAGTCTTCGCAATAAAATTCCAAATGAAAATTTTGATCAAGCTACAAATCAAGGCCCCTTCGTATAACCACCCCAAAAAAGCTACCTAAGTTAATAAGCCCTCGTCTGTAGCGGCTCCAAGGGGTACTAGTCCCCTCATTTTTTGGCAGATTAAATTTTTATCTAAGCTGGATGAGAAAATATTGGGGAGGGGAAATATTTTGGCAACGTATTTTTGTGACGCAATCCTATGATTTTGAAACGGACTTTACGTAACCTAAAGTTAGTTTTTGGCGTTCCCTTTTGGTAAAATTGGCATTCCTTGTTGGTAAAGGGGCGTTTTCTGACATTTAAAAGGACGCGGTCTGAAAAACATCTCCCCTCAGTGGCTGGCCCTGGCCCCCATGGGGCTATTTCGAGGAATTACATTGAATAGAGTGGCTGAAAGCTGAACAGGGATAAAGAACTAGTAAATGATATCAGCAGGGTTTTTGGATAAATGTTTGTTTAAAGATAAGCAAAATTATTTGCAAAAAAGAATTAAGTATTTGCAAAAAAGTAGCTATAATTTTTAGTCATAGAACTCGCTTATATATGCACCCTCGTAGCCTGCGTTGTCAGTTTGGCACCAATCTGGGAGAAGCTGTAATGCGAAATGCGAGACATAGCAATGCGCTTCTGTAAACAAGAGCGACCACCTTTGCAAACTAAATTGACTGTCAGACGTGATAAACAGCAGCGAAATCGAATGCCAATTTGTATCAAATACCAAAGTAAAGGTGCTAACATTTCTGATTGCGCATGAAAAGCGATGTACCAAGGTTCAAAAGAAACAGTGAGGAAGTTCGTGAAGAAATTTTGAAACATAACGCGTTGTTGATAACGCCAATGGTATGATATTCGATATCATTGGTAAATCGAATGCCATTATGGAAATTGAGAAATACACGATTAAACCTGTGAATTACTCGCCAGCCTGTTCAAATTTTCAAGCAAGATAAGATGTTATGAGAAAATAGAAGTGTTCACGTCTCGCCGCCATCCGGCCTAAACTGAAGTCAATTTTGGTGAAGAAAATGGCACATTCAATGAAGTCCCCACAAAGTTATTCACAGGATAAGGTTAAAAACGATGGTATCATCCAGATGGGAAGTTTGCGAAAGCTGAAGGTACCCCACTGTTTAATCTGATTATTTTGGTTCAACGCACCACCTGTTAGAAGATCCTCCGAATGAGTTGCCTTGTGTAAAACTTCTATTTTGACTTCATTTAGCACGGGGCATGGGTTCTTCAGGGTTTGGGGGGGGGGTTTATCGATTTCCTGTCCATGGTTTTTACAAAATATTTTGAAATAATTTCTTTTCTTGCCAGGATTAAACAACGTAGCAACGGGGTGGCATTATAAATGTTCCCTGGAGACAAACCCTGCATGCAACAAAGGTATTTTCATCTAGTAGAAAGGGCTTAACCCCACAGCCCCTCTCTGATACGACCCCTAAAAACAAAGAAATATCATAAACTCAATCGCACCTTTACATGAAATGTTCATTTGTAGTTATGTTTGGAGTTTATTTTTAAATGGTCAGCACCATAACATGGACACTATGACCTCATACTCTGAAGGCTTGTGCCTTGCTAAAAAAAATCTATTGCTTCCAAAACAATTCCTGTGTTTCTATTGTTCTTAAACAATGGTGCCCCTCAAATGATCTTTTAATTTTGCTGGTATTGTGGTCTATATATCTTTAATCATTGATGCAGCAAAAGAGGAGACTTTAAAGATTAAGTATGTACATCAATATATGGGTGATTTCCAAAAACAGAAAACCCTGCCACTGAAAATTCAGATTTGTCTTCCATCATTATATTCACAATGAATTTACTTAAAATTACATAGTTGCTATGCAGACAGTTACAAAACGTAGGGCATTGTGGATATTGAAACCTAGCCAAGGGGAGGGGGCTCTCAGACCAATTTTCTTAAAAATTTCAACAAAAGGCGTGGCACAGAAAATGTCAGTAATGGCATATTGTTTTGGAAATTTTTTGACCAAGGAACTCTGTCTACAACTGTATAAATTTACAATATTTGAATAAAGTCCAATCTTGCCTGTGACAGACTGGAATGCTCTAACATACTTCACTGGCTTCTGCCAGCCTCTTATTCATTATATTAAATATAAACAGGGGTGTGTTATCTAAGGACAGTTCCCTTTCAATAAACTGTTCTTAAACCTTTTCACTTTACCTATACCGTGTTTTATATTCTTTAATTTCTAAGTTTCCTAAATAAGTCAAAATTTATTATGGATGGGGAAATGGTTGCTGTGCCCCACCTCTTTTCAAATTCATCCAACCTCATTGATACCATGCTAGTATTAAAGACCCAAAGATAGACAATTTTACTACCATTGCAATCAGAGTCATATCACTGACAGTTCTTTATTATTGTATCCATAGACTTTTTAGTGACAGTTCCCTTTCAACCACAACTCACAGCTCCTTTGCAATCATTAGTGACCTTTAAGCCAATTTAAGAAGTTTCCCAGCCAGCTCTTCATAATAATGTGTATACAATCACAAACGTTAGTTTTCATATAACCAAAGATATTTTGTTAAACACTTGCGTAACAGTAGATGTTAACTTGAAATGTGATGATCTGTACTAAAGTTTTGGTGAAACATTTTACCAAGTGCTCCTCCAAGGATCTTTTATAGCTCCTTAACTATTTAATCCTCTGAAAACCCTGCCTTAATTCTGAAACATGATGTATTTAATATTATATCACCTCAAAGCTGCTTACACATAATTTGTTTATTTAACTACTTGTACTCTCACCAGATCTGGAATCAGACCGCTTATTCGAAAGTGGGCGTGGTCAGTATACTAATGGTCAAGAAACCCCTGGAAGACCGTCCAATGAATCTCAACCTCACTTTCAAATAATGCTTCTAATTTTAAAGTAAAAAAGTAAAATATTTTATTTAAGGAGAAAATATTATATTTCGTAGAACAACAAGTTGAAGTATTTTGTCCTACGGACTATATCGAATTTCGGCAAGGCAAATCTGGAATGCTACCGCTGCGAAGAAAAGTTCAGGGAAGAAGATAGGCCGAGCAGGGTTATACCAATGTCGGATGTTCTCAATGTTGATAAAACTCAAGTTCCGGATCAACAATTCACTTTTGCTATTTTCCTCAAAGATGAAAAATACAGCCTTATTGCAGGGTTTGAAGATGAAAGGGACAATTGGATTGAAGCACTGAAGTTTGTCAAAAAACAAAGCCAGCCTACTGTGTTAGCTTCTGGTATGTATTTTCGGGCTTTGCTTCAATACATCTCAGGTTGGTTGTAACATAAGTGTACTTGACCTTTAACCACAAGAGAGCTTTTGTCAGCCTTTAAGTCTTCAGCATTATGAATAACCAAAGGTTTGAACACAGGATGATTCTTGATCAAATGTCAAATAAAAACATTAACATATATATGCACGTTTACCTTCTTCAGCGTCTCTCGATGGCTGCCTTAAAACCATTTAGAGTTCTTCGTCCAATTGCTTAATTAGACAAATATTTTCGGTGGATTTTAATGTATTTCATGAAATTATCAATTTTATTTTATTGTCTAACAATCGTTACTTCGTTTCGTTACAATATGTTTAGCAGCAGCCACGAAATAATTTTTTGCATGTAATATATACTTTAACAAACGTAAGTATGATGTCTCCGTATGCTGGGTGCGTTATCAAGTTCATTTCTCAAATGTAACGAATCCAGAGACACAGCCAAGTAAACAATGGAAAACTTTTCAACTTTTTCTTTACAATTGGGTTTTTAACTTTTCAATGCTTTCAACCGTGCCGAACTATTCCACCTTCATTATTTCTTTCTTCTGGAAAATTTTTTGAAAAACATTTTTAACCTTCCATTACCCCCAAAGTTACTGCATTCCCATTTTTCAATTACCTTTTTGGAGTCCATGGGCTGAAATGCTTGGGTTGAAATGCTTGGCATGTCTTCGAAGGAAGCAGATCCTTCTAAGCTTTAAGATTTCTTGAAAGGGACTCTGAAGACTTCACACTTTTTACGCAGATTTTGTATGGAGCGTGCGAATAAGAAATGGTGGCCTTGCCAAAAAGACTAAACTTGGAGGCGAATGCAAGCTGCTAAAGAGAGGTAATCGTGTTTTCATATTACAAAAGAACACTGACGAAATAAAGCTTTCGTTTGCATTGGAAAACGTTAAAAGCAGTGGATATTCACATAATTTTGTTCTCTTGGAAATGGGCAGAAGTCACGTCATCGGGCCTGGAGAGATCTGGGTCGAGGCTGATGACGCGTTAACTGCAGCGGATATCCATACAGTGTTGTTTGGGTAAGGAACGTCGCAGTCTTATTAGAGTTTTCATGATACCGTGCTGCTTTTTGTCTTGGTTTCGTCACAGTGTCTCCTTGTTTTTTATATCTTCTACCTGGAAAGTTCGAATGAAATTTTTGCAAAAGGAAATTGACTGGCTAGCGGTACTCCTTTATACGAAAAGTAAGCGAATCCTTTTCATCTCTAGAAAGAATATTTTAACCAAATGGTTACCAAGACAGCCATGATCTAGAGTTTGTTAGTTTAGTACTCTTCTCTCGTGTAAAGTTTCTTAGCCACTAGACTATAGAAAATTCATAGAGTTTTATTTCGATTTCTTTACTTTTCTTTGCTGGTCTGATAACGACAGAAAATGTCGTTACCTTTCGCGATACGAAAACATTTTAACTGCAACTTCGAACCTGTGAAATCAATATCTCGGAAAAGACAATGATATTTTAGAAAGATGTTTTAGAAACTTCTGAATTTTTTCGTTTAAGCAAATATTACTAAGAGTGAAAATATGCATTTCATACGCTTTTGAGAATCATGGAACTTTTGTCGTCTCTTGCATTGTTGAAACAAACGGTCGAAAAGATGTTTTCTTGTGGTGCTGTACACCCATTTACGACTCTGAATGATTTCAGATTAAGATTTACCACCATACTTTCAGTCCAGGTACAATCCTTAAAAATTATTGTGCTTGTATTGTGGGTTTGACGATGATTTTATGTAGATATATTGGGTATATCCCAATCTGGAGTAATTACTAAATCAAGGCCGTGCATTGAATTGGTTTATTGTTAAGCCTATGTTTTAACTGTCTTTTCCTAATTTAGACTGCTCTGTTTTCCGTAACCATACGTTTTGGCGTAACTGTCAAAACTTTGTGCATTCATCCTTGTACAAGTTAGCCATTAGCAGTATCAGGTATTCGGAAAAAATTATGCCCGATAAATGAGTTGATTTGATCAGGGAAGGATGATGAGTCATACGGGGGAGTCGTGTTAGCTACAATCAACGTTTTGTTTTGAAAATGCATAAGCAGTCCTCGAGTGTTGCTCGTGTTTCCGGGGATGTGCTCAGCGGTAGGAGGCTCCTACCGAGGCTATTCTCTTTCAGCTTGATAAGATCGATATTCATGAAACAACTATCTGCATAAAAAACAGTTTCTCATAACGATAATTTAGGAAATATAAATAGCCATTGGGGGTAAAGTCAAAGCAAATCGAGAAAATTGTGAGCTCCGAAGAACTTCCACTTGTTTGCCCATTTGACATCGAAAATGACGTTAACTACGTAAAACATTTATCCAAAGACTTACATAAAGCAGAAAGCCATTTACAAAGCCCAAAAACGTTTAGAACACACCCCCTTTTGTACTCACTTTTTGGCACAGTTTCACAGAGCGATTCGCTTAATATATCCCTGCTCCCATTTGGTGGCTTGGATGGGTTATACAAGAAAAGATGACTGTTTTAATGCATGGTAAGAAGCTCATCAAATTGGCCGCGTATAGAACCTGTACTTTAGGAAGAAGCTGCTAATACGAGGTGCAAATGATTTTGTAGATTGTCGATGCGAAGTCAGTTAGGCTCAAAACAGATGAACTGAACAGTGCAATGAACTTGCCTTCAGACAATTCGCACCATGCTCAGTGCCAAGCCAACATTTTACTGAACATCATCAATTCAAGTCGATCTAAATCTTCAGCTAATCCTGGAAATGCAAACAATCTTAAATGTATGCATTTGTGTATTGGGCCTGCACTGTTCAGTTCAGTGGCAGACTGATCTGAATGTGAAACTGCACATTTATTGATCACTCAGAATTTAAATTCAATTTCATGTAATTTAGTAGTATGTTCTGATAAGGGTTATAACAGGTTGTCCAAGTCACACTGAGAGAACAAAATGGTTTTCGAGCGAGGTCCTCTGTTGCTTAGTCCGTAAAGGGTTTTTGGTTCAAGCTACTTCCAGAGATTGGCTTAGGTTAATCATTTGGGTGTGATTGATTAAGAGACACAGAAAATGTTCAAATAATATTTTTCCAGTTAGACTTTTATAGTTCTGAATAATAAAATAGACTTTCAAGTATCTGATAATAAAAGCTGAGCAAAACTTGAATTTTGTAACATCTAACAAAACAGAAAAGTATAAACACCGAACAATTAGGATTTTTCACTCCGACAAAATGGGTAAATGACCAAAGCTTTTTACTGTTATTCAATGTTGGATGTTTTTCAGAGAGGTTTTCAGTTTATTTGCCCAATGGCAATAGTGCCAATGTCCTCGTGAACGCTGAAGGTAACAAAGGTTGAAATTAAATAGAACGAAGGTGCCAACTGATATGTATATGCTCTTGAGTTGGACACCGCAAAGAAAAGATTGTGGTCAACTTTTACTTACGTCGCAAAAGAAACATCAGAAGTATCAGAACAAAATAACAACTCTAGAAAAGGAACAATTGCAGTACAGTACGACTTTATGAAAGGTTTCAAAGGTTGTAATGGCAACGATAATTTAGCGTAACTTTGAAACTATAATAATGCAAAACCGATGTGAAAATTGCGAAAATTAAGGCTTTTGTGATATAATTTGATTTTAAATATTCCCATTAATTTATAGGCTAAAGATTAGTACATAGGTTCTTAAAAAAGATTCAAAACCTCGGGATTTAAAATCGCTTGATGAAAGATGAAACTGAAGTTTTTCGTTCATTGACATTTACGTTAAAAAATCACTTAAATTAGCCTCTAACTTTGCCACGATTAGATTCAGTAGCTACAAGCACCAGATCTTTCGTATTTGACCTGTAGTTGCCAAAACATTCGCCTTTTCTAAAATTTGAAAGTATTTGAAAATATTCAAAGCTCGATGCTAAAGAGGCAGGAATGGAGGTCTTTTCGAGGGGGCATTTTCAGATCGTCTTTAGGGGGCAGGGTTTATTCGACAAACTGATTTTGCTGATAAAATGATTGTTGACCCAAAAACTGAATATAAAGCTCAGGGTCTTTAGATACTTATATGGAATTATATGTAGCTGTTCTAACTTAAAATCTGATGTTCAAACCAGGGCTGCCAGACTGAGCCATTTTCAAGCTTTGTGTTGTTCCTTATGTGACAACATCTCGAGATTCCTACGCCTGGAAAAAAAAATAGCAGGTGAGATCCCTTACTTTCAGAGAAAGTTTTGGTCTGTCAGGGGCTCAAACCACAGACCCTTGGATCTGCAGTCAGCGACACCCACCATTGAAATGAACCATCCACGCACTTAAAGTTCGTTGATTTCGCCTTTTTAAGCGCATTTTGGTCTAATTTTGTGGTCCGTCTGGCATTCTTTTGCAAACCCCATCTGACAACCCTAGTTAAAATTTAAAGAAGTCGTAATCAGTGTTGTTTTCAAAATCTGACAGCACAATATGAAGGCTTATCTCAGAAGGGTACTTGTTCAAATTATAAAGAGGGGAGATTTTTCGAGAGAGGGGTTGAATTGAATTATTATGGTTCTAGGGACCAGTTTTATAGAAACTCACCAAGGCTCCCTAAAAATAGAAAGGACCAGTCTTCTTGCCTTTTACCTGTACATATCTTTTCTATTTTTGCATTCTTGCTTTACATAGCTTGAAAGTTAGGGGTCTAGAGCACAGGCTGGCTTTACATAATCATTGTTGACCTGGCTCTGCTGGGGGATACTGAATGTGCCTGTAGTAATTGTACCACTACGCGGTACATTCTGTAACCTCAGTTTAAAGAGAAATTCCCCAAGTCGACAGAAATTGCTTTGGTGCACATTTATAATAACAAAAATCGTGGATTTAGAAATAATTATGCTTTGAATTGATAGATTACCTTGTCGCAACGCAGATATTCATCATTCGTGAAGTTAGGTATTGTCAAAGGAAGAAATAAACCATTGAGTGGTATTGATAGGGGGGGGTATTTGTGTTCTAAACGCAGAAAACCCCACGTAATACTTTGTTTTAGGCGGGAAGGGTGTGTCTTTCGAGGAACTAAATATTGTATTGAAGTGACGTTCTCCTTCGCATTGGCTTTCCGATCATCCCAATACATTTGCAATTACGCAAATAAAGGGTCATTAGCAAAGAGATTTGGCTATTCACGTGGTTATTCATAATGCAAATAAACATTGATTCGTGACGAATCTGTTTGTGTCATCTTATGACGCAGTGAATATTGCGTAAAAAGTTTACACACAAATAACCATCTCTTGCACATGGAAATAAACAAGGGTGATTTAACTGTGCGCAGTCGCACATATCTAATTGCTTTTGTGATAGATCGACCCACACAAAGAGTCATAACATTCCGTATTGTCCATTTTGTCTAACTCGGAAAACAAGAATTTGAAGGGAGCACGGAGGCTTGAAAACAACACTGAATTCTTCTACAAACCGCGCAAAATTATTGCAAATACTGTTTGATTGGAGTATGGCTGTTTATAATTGTTCTATCTATTTTGAGTGAACAATCTTTGGTTTTTTGCCAACTTCTAGGTGCAAGCTAGTGCGGCCAAGAACCTGTGTTGGTGCAGATAGAGGAAGGTTGATGTCTGGCAAAATGACGAACAGACGAGGGACAAGTGATGGAAGCGAGAAGACAAAACTTCGAAAAACAAGAACTTTGTTTCCATTTCTGAAGTCAAAGCTCTGTGATATTGTGGGTGAGTTTTCTGCCTTTTATCTGCAGCCTTGCGGGGTTTGGGGTGATTTTATTTAATTTCCTATCATGCCTGCTGTTGCTGACTGGAAAAACTGTTTTTCGATTAAAATGAAGAGGCAACCATTTATGTTCCAGGCCAATGGCAAAATTGAATGGTGAAAATTGAATTTTCATTTTTCTGATAAACGAAAGCAAACAAATTTTAAAGCAAAATAAGGGTTAAATATTTGTTATTTATTTGTCTGGTTTTCCTTGGCTAAACCTATTCACAGTTGTTCTTAAACTTACTTCCCCTTGTATTTTTGTTTGTATTTGAAAAATTTGAATCGAATTTATGGCACCCGCTCAATCTCGCGAGGCAAAACATTTCTTTTGAAAACAAATCGTCATTTATAAACAATTATTGTGAAAGATTTTTTAGGGTATGTTGCTATGCTTTTATAGTAAGAGAAAATTTTGCTAAATAATAATCTTTTGAACATTTTTTGGACTCAAAACCCGGGGCATTCTTTGAAGAACTTCTCCTATCTTTGTCCCGTTAAACCGGATAGAAAGACACTACCATGGTTATTTTGTGTTTCCTATTCTGGTTTCAAACCAAACCACATCCCAATCGACTTTTTTATTGTCAGTGATACTGGCTACGAATTGTGTTTTTTTAATTGTTAAATTAAGTGCCAACTCCTTTTCCAGTAACGTATAAACTGAAATTTATAAATAGAAATATTTCTGAAGATTCGCAGTTTTGTATGTATGTATGTATGTATGTAAAATTTTGCCATCAAATAAATAACAATTTAAAATTAAGGGAAAGAAAAAGATCTAAGTACAGAGATACCAAATTTAAAGATAGAAGTTAAAAGCATAGACTAAAAACACCCCAGGTTAAAAATGGCAGGGATAACATTGAAAAGGTCAATACGATCTTGTTTCCATAATGGTCTCTCCAGAGGTTTTATAAAAAAGAAATGTGTACATGAAAAATTGATTTGTATCCGAAACTAGGAAAAAAGTAATTCTGGAAAAATGTTAACTACGATAAATGTTAACTTAAATGAGCCAGCGATAAAACTGTAAAAATGTTTTTACGTTGGTTCAAAATGACATCTATAACTCAAAATTGCAAGATGCGTGAAATTATCAATTGTTCCTTTTGTCGACATTTCGCTGTCAGATATTATTTAACCCTGCTGCCACGAACCTAAGCTAGAAAAATGTATTGAGATATTACAAAAGATACAAATTTTGGCATTTAATTTCCTTTGCAAGAATCTCGAGTGTTCTGCCGTGACATTTGCTGATGAATCAATTTCATTGGAAACCAAAATAACTTGACTCGTCACATGACTTTGGCAGTGTTCACAAAAGCCCGCTTGTATTTTGTCAGATTATTTCTTGTTACACTTCCTCATCAGTTGTTATTTGATTTTTGTACTACTGTACTGAATAGCTACTACTGTCTAGCTATCGAAAAAGCACACTCTGCTCCAATCATGGCCAAACATCCTATTGTTTTCAAACACGCTGTTGCCGCCGAGTGAAAAAATATTATTTCTCCCCTCTATTGGTGAAATTTTTACTTTTTTGTTTATTTTGTAAAATGTGAAAATAGATGTAACTTCGAAAAAATACTGAGTGACTCACTCCTTAACTGGAATCATCAAAAGCTGGATAGAATTTATCTTAGACTTATTTGCCCACTCAGAACCACTGTTTAGAACCCACTTCGGACGAGCTTGGAATGAGGCTAGTATTGGATCGAGGTTGCCACCCTGTGGCTCTATAGGACCTACTCTAAATGTATCTTTTAGTGAATAATTCGATTGTTATTAACACAATGCTAGGGCATTACTCAAGAGTTGTTATTGGGTGTCAAAGGCGTTATTAGTTATTTTCTCTATTTCAAGTATGAAATTAATTACAGAACATGAAAGAGGTTCACACATGCAAGTTTCCCTTAAAATGTTGCATGCCTCTGTGAAAGATTTTAAAAGTAATTCAAACCCTACAGGTTGCCTTTCAAATTTTCAAGGAGTTTAATTCAATTTGTATAAAATTAGATATGTATTTTGGCAAATTTGACTTTACCTTTGCTGTTGATGGACTTGTAAAACATTTTTGCGGTACAGAACTAAACAATAAATTGGACAATTCTTTTTTGTGTCTTGAAATGTTTGCTTTTCTCAGAGCCATGATACACTTTTATCATATAAAAATATACAAAAATGCAAAAAGTGAACTGATGATGTGGTTATGAGATCTTTAGTAAATGTTAATATATGCTGTATATGTATGTATAATAAGAAAAGCTCCATTAAAAATTACATTATATTGCAAGAAAATAGAATTCCAAGAAAAGTTTGGCTGCTTGTTAACTAGAACATCATTGTTGTTAAAATGAAGGTACCAGTTGTTAGAGAGGCTTGTTTATGTGCCAAAAGTTTGCGTGGTTATCTGTTTGTTAAAACGATATCAACAATGAACAATAACAAACATTGGTCACTTCGTCGGAGGTTACGTCATACAATGAATCCGCCTTACAGAGAACATGTTTAGTGAGTTCAGTGGCGTACGCAGCTCCTGTATAGCGGTCTGGGGGCAGAACCTCTAGAAAAATTAAAAGCACGTCTTACAAAGTTTTAGAAAGGAAATCAACCCTTTTGCATATATTTGAACTCAGGGGCGGACTGATGTGTTCTTGGGCCTTCGCGGCAACAAATAACTGGAAACCAATAGCCAATAGGACCTTACTCTTATACTACCCAGGTCATCAGTTCATGACTGGTCAGTCCACCCCTTCTTTCCGTTTAAACTGCAATCAAACATTTCCCAATTACGTCTAAATTTAATGGATCTGGCAGGCCCCACCAATTTTTTTTGTGTTTTTGAAAACCCCATAGATGCATGTTTTAGAAAAGGAGGGGGTCCAGGCCTTGCATACGCCACTACCTTTATGCTGAAAGATAATGAGTTCCAACAAGCTTTCCATATCTTGTCGTCTTCAATAACTTGATCTCCTTTGTTTTAGCACCGTTTCTACTTTTCTCACTAGCTTTACTAACTTCATCACTCTTAACCCTCTACTACTATCATGCCAAATGTCTTGCTCATCAGAATCCAACTTGATATGTGTTGCAATATCTTCTTCTTTCGCTGCATTGTTGAACTGTGCTGTTATATCATCTATCTTATGGGCTTTCTTTAGACGAAGAAAATAAAACACAATGCAACGAGTGAAATGATACCCCGTACTACAGTCTTTTTCCACTTATGCTCCTAGAACTGTCTTCCCCATCCATTAATCTTTTTCGTCTCCTTACCATCATCTTCTTCCTGCAATGACTGAATCCTAGCAACTTAACAGCATATATAATAACTGTATTTTTACAAAGAGGTTTTTTCTTTTAAGGTGACGCCAACCCAGTGCTGAAATCGAAGCGATCACACTCCGCATCCGACATCAGCCGTATGGGCGTTAACCAGGAAGGTGATTACGAGAAGTTAAAACTATTGCAACAACGCTCATTACCTCATGCGGAGTCGGCTGGTGAAATCAAAGGAGTTTCCAAAGCGAGTAAAAAGAAGAAACGAGCTTCACTTTTTCGAAATATGAAATTTGAAGTCACACAATCTGCTCAGGACATACACAAGCCCTCGTCAGAATCGCGGAATACGTTGCCGCGGGATAACCGCGTGTCCTTGCTAAAATCTAAATATGAAAGAAGCATTTCTAAATCAGAACAGAATATTCATAAAATTGCGAGCCATCCAACTGCAAATGGCTCTAGTGGTCACAGTAGTCGCCTCGCGAATCTGAAGAGTCTGCAGATGATGCATGCAAGTTCGACGTCGAATCTTGCTAGCAGTTCGCCCAGTTTTCGGACAGTGGAAGATGTCGAAAGCGCGAAAGGGAAGACGAGGCCTGTCACAATGTCAGACGATGCCCTTGAAAATGGACTCAAATGTAAGTCTTTATTCCAATCTTTTTCTCTTTTTGAATTTAACTTCTTCGCTATTTAAATTTTGAAACACATTACAAAGATGTTCATTGTACCTCTTATACACTTCTTTATTATAAGAATATAGTCTATAAAAATATTGAGGCTCAAAATCACTGAAATTAAAAATAATTAAAGAATAAAGCAAGGCTTTACCAACAATTAATTTTTTTCGTTTATTTGAGTTTTTTGGAAAACAAAACAAATGCGAGTTTCACGCTAAATGGGGTCATTAAAACGATAATGTAACCCTGTTATACCATATGTCGCTTAAGAATAATTTACGAATAATCTTGGGTTCAAAAAAGGTATTCTTGTGAAAAAGTGTGTAACTGCCTAATGCGCAGTGACAGGGCCCGCGCCACAGAAGGGCTGGGGGCCATGGCCCCCCACTTTTCTTGCTAACTATAGGTATTACATCCTCTTTTTAAGTATTAGATAGGTAATTCCCCTTTTTTGGCCCCCGCACTTAAGAATCGATGGCGCGGGTTGGGTCATTTCAGATCTTCCTGTATAGGGTTGGGTCACCTGGATTGGGGTGGGAAGACATAGATGAAGGAAAAATTTGGGACTCTGGCACCCAGGTTTCGTCAACGGCACTAAAACTCACTTCGCCTGATGGTCCTCGGAAAATAAAACGTCGGAATGATTATGATCTGAAATGATTGAATCAAACCCAAGTGTTGATCAAAATGAGAACTATGCTGTTGTTTCCAGTAGCTAAGGTAGACTGATGCATAATTGCTCAGATATTGAATACACATTAATTGTAGATTCAATCAGAAACAAAGAGGGGTTAACTAACCGTTATTGACTGCAGCGTTATAATGTCATCTCTACTGGCCCTTTCCTGAAAATTAAGTACTAGAAAGGGCAGGGGTCAGCCGGGGTCAGCCGGGGTCAGCCGGGGTCAATGAAAACGCTTTATGAAACATATTTTTTGGCTTTATGAAAAATTTTAAAACAATTATTCTTCATAAGGGGTAATGCACATACCTTGTTTAGATTCCATTCTCCCCAGCCCCCACCTCCAGCAGGGGTGTTGTGAGCCAGCTTGGGCAACAGAGTTCAAATAAGAGATAAATACTAGACGGGTATGAGCTTTTTGTGGGCCTTTAAGAGGCCCAGGCCCTAGGATGTTCACTCCCTGCTTCCTTTTCTCGATACCGATGCCCTCAGTATTGCAGCCATGCCTAGGGTACTGTTTGTTTTTGAATATGATGTAAGTAGTGGTGTTGATATGGAAATCCAAATAAAAGTGGCCCAAAACTTATGAGGAGTGGCTTTTTATGAAAGTAGGTATGCAGATACATGCGGTCGAGTCTGCTATGACGTAATAGAAGGCCTTGCAACTTTCCGCGTTGCTCAATCTCGCAGCTTGGTAATATGTGTTGACAGAATCCATGTTCAAATATGCAGAGTATAAGATTTAATTGTTCTCTGGGCAGCCAAGCTGTATGAAGTGACAATGCATTGAAGTTCGCAAAATGAAAACTGCGGCAACATAATAGGAAGTCTAGTTTTGTTAAACTTAATTCTGCGGATAGCAAATCCAATGTTATTTAATTTGATTCAAATCCAAGTTCATAATGCACCTCATCGACGACGTGAAAAGACCAGCAAATAAGTCGAAAACATTGCCGAGTCAAGTTCGACGCAGGTTCACAGGTGAGGAAGTGTACCTTGCATTTTTTTGGTTACGAAATAGTGTTTGTTGGGGAGGTCTTTTGCGGTGTCCTACATCAACAGTTGCATATTAAAATCGTTCGTAAAGGGTATCCATTTCAATATCAAAACATCCTGATTTTCTTCGCACCATGTCGTGTTTTGAAAAAGATCGTGCAGCTCCAGAGTTTCGCCCTAAGTAAGATGAATGTGCTGTGAGAGCTCTTAGCAGCTGCAAATCTGCGGCATTAACGTACATTGCATATGGATGTCTCTTCATTCCTAGATTAAATATGATGCTGATAAGCCTGCCTCACTGCCAGAAGTAACGAGATGGCCTAATCTGTTGTGTTCCATCTCAGCTGTTTTGCCATGCTGCAGATAACACCTTGTCGTTTGCGCAGACCAGAACAGTTTTGAGACGCCTTGTGTGCAGAGCATGGCGACTGCACACCCAAAATGCTGATACTGAAAATATTTATAGTGCTGAAGCACTTTGCTTTTTCAGATAATTTTCGTGCATCTGCACATGATGTGGGGCTGTTGGGGCATCTTGTGAAAATCGACCATATTTGGCCGATTGGCCAGAGGAAAGGATAATATTTCGGGGAAGGGGGGAGGGTGGGGTCTGGAGGGAAGGGAATTGCTTTGAGAAATTCCAAAAAGAAATGTACACTACAGTTGTCATATTTTCAGAATCTGAATTTCTCTTTGTTTCATGAGAATGAATTTTGTCACAACGTTGGGAGTCGGAATCGGTGTGAAATATGAAATAATTTAGATTAGTGACAAGACTGGATATTTTTATACATAAGTTTTTCTAGCTAAAAATCGAACTAGAATAATTTGACCTTCTTCTCCAAAGTGAATTAGGAATATTTTCGAGTGACATATAAAAAAGTATGTATAAAGGGAAATAAAAAATCCGGCCAGATAGGATAAGGTTTTTGGTGAAAATTTAGCGAATAAGGTTTGTTGGGTCTGCTTGTTTTAAGGAAGGCTTTTGTTCTGTTTAGAACAAAATAAATTATCGGTTAAAAATGACGCCGAAATCTATCTTGATCACTGGTGATTAAACTCGATTTCATCTTAGTCAACTTATAGCCATGTTTCCTCAACCCTCCCACAAACGTTTGCGCGTCACTACTAGTTCCGCTTCAATGTCAGTCATGTTTGGAATAAACAGTCGCTGGCACTACCCAGTGACGTAACACGGCGCTTCGGCCGCTGTTCAAAAGGGACCATTTTTAGGCCATTTTTAAGGGTTGGCTCAAGCTCACACTTTATCAAGAGACGTTTAACTGAGGTAAATAGCCCCTGAGGCCTCTGAGGTTAATACACCTCTGATATGCCTGATACAAACACTTACCAGATCTAATTGTAATTTGCTCCACTTGTAAGGACTTTCTTGCAGTCCGTTCGTAAAGACCCCGTAAAATTGTTTCCTTTGACCCCGAGTCCCCTTTTTACGCCACTGCTTAGGAACGACAGATAACTTGCTAAAGTGGGGGTGAAAAGGCAAAACGATTATCAGGGGCGTTCCGAAGTAGGGGGTGTGGGGGGTCACACCCCCCCCCCACTTTTTGTAGAAGACTTCGGTAATTTTTTGCCTATCGGTAAAATTTGAGACAACTATAACAGAGTGTCGGTATTTCGGGGAAGAATTAGATTACGTCTGCCTTTTCGCATGGAAAGTGTTGTTGACCGTTTTTTTTTTACACATAAATTGTTGCAAACCAAACAGCTTGTTTTGAATTTTAATTGCATAAAAAGATTTTGAAAGCCATTCATCAATGACAGGAAGTGAAATATATTTGTTTGAAAACTTGTCGGTAAATTTCTCATGGTTCACCCCCCCCCCCCCACTCAAAAGCCCTTTGGCACGCCACTGACGAACATTGCCTCCCCCCGCTTCCTCATCTGTTGCCCTATCACCACAACCATCATGATAATCATCACCATTATTATAGACAACCATCATTATCAATCATGGATCGTCATCTTCATCCACTTCATTCCAGAATTTTGTCAAAAATTTGCTGGCTGATTTGAAAATGAACGATTTTTTGTCTGCTTTTAATGTGATATCTAATGGCTAATTTTCTGACAAGAATTCTAAGCACATATGATAACATGATCTTTTGTCATAACAGAGTTATTTCACAATATCCCAATTTCTGGTGATGATTGCATTGTATTGTGTTGTTTCTTATCTATTGAAAAGCATTGATCTTTTTAAATCCTGAATTCGAAAGTCTGCTTTTCTTTATATCGAGAAAAACCCGAAACTTTTTAGTTGAGTCACTGTTTCTTTTAACCAACCAATCTATATATGCCTGTTACCATCACCTTTCAATCCTCATGGCGTCATAAAAACTGCACACAAGTAAATAATCCTCTGTGATCAATTGTTGTGTGGTCATCTTGGCCAACATATGATTAATAATTTCTTTCGCATTACGTTAGTGTTGGGTTTTGAATATTCCTAAAGGACTGCGAGGAAAGGATTAATATTTTAACATTTTGTCCTTGCCTTTTGTTGCTCAGTTTTCTCGAGCATATTTTCTGCTTATATTGTCTCCGTTTGCACGCATTGTACTTTGTTTCTGTATCTCTGGTGAAATTTTCACGAGCAAAAGGAATCACAAATACAGGTATAGTATGAACAAATTTTGCTGTTAGCCCGTCTTGTCAAGAGAAAATGCTTACTTTAAGAAAAAACAAATTACTTTTTAACTCATAAATTGATGCATGTGAAAACTATGTTTCCCCAGTCCTCTAAAACAGACAACTGAGAGCAAAAAAAGGCATTAGACCCACTTTTTTAAATAGAACCCATGTGAGATTATACTCGATGGCTAAACTTTTTCTCCACTGTAGCACCTTTCCTCGAAAGTTCCCTGGCTTGATAATTACCAAATTGCATATTGCATGGTACCTTATCAACCCTATAAAATAAAATGTACAATAAATAAAGCAAATATTTTTTAAAAGGGCCTTTTCTCTTTTCAAAGAACATCTAATCCTTAGGAAAGGGCATTTTTATTGTTTACCCTCACTTCTATACTTGTCATTCAAATGCGTCTTTTCTAATAATTTATTTTTCAACCGCCAGCAATATTTCGAAAGACGAAATGGAGGTCGTTTGATAAAGAGGCTTCAGAGGATTCTCCAGCTGTTTCTTCTGAAGAGTGTAGCAGCATTGGGAGTTTTGGCAGCAATCGAAGTGTGGACAGCAGTGATATTGGTATGACCTGAATTAGCAAGTTCCTTTTTTATTATATCATATAGGGATCATCATGTTTGCAGTTAAAACCGTTTATTCAAGATTAAGGCCTGTTTACTTTTCAAAAACTTTGCTCTCTTTCACCTGTCTCACTTTTAAAAAGAAAACCTAGTCGAATTTGTGTCCCTTTATTGTCAGTATTCAGCAAATATTGAAGTATATAATGATCTTGAAATGTTATGTTTTAAACTAAGAAAGGTAAACTATTTTCTTTAATGGGAATTTATCCTAAGGATCAATGAAGGCTAGGAATACCTTTGCTTTTAAAATCTTATGCAAAATTTTACCAGCACCAAGAATACCCTGCTAGGCAATCATGATAAAGAGGAAACTATCGCCAAACAAAACTACATGAAAAATCTGTGTCATGCATTGTCATTAAAGTATGTGCAAACACGGTGCCATGAGAAACATAATCCTGTCGTCATTCTCCTGTAGCAATATAGGCATGCAATCCCAGCCATCAAATTAGCATGACATGCAATCCCAGCCAATAATACTTCTCTTATAAAATTTTACTTTATAATCAAAATTTTGGCGCTGTCAAGTTTCAGTGACTCAAAATTTCCGGAGTCTTATCCAATATTTCATTTACCTCAATTATCAAATAACATATTTGCCCATTCTTAAAATTTCTATTTGTCCAATATCTCAGTCACTATTAGCCTTGGCTTGGCTGGCTATCCCAAACACTTTCTCATTTCTTGAATAAAATTTCCCAAAAAAGCAAGTTTGAAATGCGCAGAGTAAATCAAAGTTTTCATCTTCAAAATAACCTTTCACGTCACGTTTCACAATCACGTATCACCTACCTTATTCTCTCCAGACGGATCCCAATATTCTTTGTTTGTTATTGTGCAAGACAAGTCATATTGGATAACAGATTGTTAAGAATTTATTGATTTAGAGCAAGTATTATTGGCGGGGCTCGCATGCTATCAATTAGTAGTAGCTTGGTAAAATTTCAAGATCAAGGTTTTTATCTCCTGGTTTTAGAAGACATGTTTTATCGCTCAGTCATTATCGTCAGTTAACTGAATTTTGAATTACGGGAATTTTTAGAGCCATAAAGCACAAAGATGTAAAAGAAAATAATAAATGTATTCAAAGAATAACGAGTCCTTTCACGAGAGGTAGTTCACTCTTGCAAAACTAGATTTTCACGAAAACAAAAGGATTTCCAGGGATTTTGCGATAAAACAATAGGATTTCCACCAAAGGTGTACGAAATTTTCAAAGAGTTATTTGCCCCTCGCCCTTTCATGCCATATTATCACACATCAGACTTCTCTTTCTTATCTTTCTCTATGTCTAGTTCCTTGCTTAGATAAAAGTCACTAAAATCATCAGAAATGATTTCGCAAGTAAACATTATTGCAATGTTTCACTATTTCGATAAGATTTCGCAAATGAAATTGCTTTTTTTTGTTTCGATTAGTACTAGGCCCTGTAGTTTTATTTTGTTTGTACCAGCCGATAGAAATGGCATTGCTTCTCTTAATTCTTATAATAAAAAATAAGTTCTCAAGCTTTATCTGTTATATTTCTTTTGATTCACAAGGTAATGGGCCTACTGCTTCTGTGGAAGGTGCTGAAGGGTGCGTTACCGATGAAGGCTATATTCCGATGAATTTCGGCTGCAATGAAGATAAGCCTTATGCGAGTTTGCATTCTTCCAAGCACAACAGTGTTTATATGCTGATCCGGCCTGATCCTGAAGTCCCGGATTCTCTTGGGGACCTCCCTGACGACCGGGAAACATACATGGACATGACATCAGTTGGATCCTTTGAGCTTGAAGCTTGTCAGACTTGTGCTGCGACCGAGGCAAAAAGTGACCATACAAACGAAGCTGGTTCGCTTGATGCGATGAAAGATACAAGATCTTCGCATAATGAGGACCAAGAAATGAGACCAGATGACTCAGTGGTCTTCCGGGAAACAAAGAGGAGTGACCAGAAGCCGGTTCCCCTTCCGCCCAAAACCTTAAGATACAGCAGTTCTAGCAACGAAGGCAGTGTCTTTGCATCAGGGAGCTGGGAGGATGCTTCTACAAGTAAACTTCAGGATCTTGTTGACAATCCGATCCCTTTGCCACCAAGGTCTAGAAGAGATCAAAGCAGCCACGAGATAAGCGATTGTACGCGTTCTAGCTGCGATTCATCTTCAGATATAGAGAACCCTGTCCCGCTGCCGCCAAAGACGCAGGTGCGGTTGTCAACCCAAATGTCTGTTAGTGAGGATGAAAAGCCTCAAAGAACTTCAGTCAGTGGCGACCGACGCTCGACCTCTGTTCGTAACGCTTCCAGTGGGTCCGAGGACTGGGTTCCACCCCTGCCTAAGCCATATAGTTCCAGCAAGAATCGGAGTTCCCTCGGTGATGAAGAAAAGCTTGTTCGATCATCGAACATGGTCGGTAGACCATTGCCATCGCTTCCGAGGGGTGTAGACTCTAGGGGCGTAAAACCCCGTAGCGAATCAGATAGGGGGCCTTCCTTGTCACCAACAACAGCGGGACATGGGAGTGCTTCAAATGAAAGGAAAGAGAACACCCCGTTATATTCTGTTGTTGACAAGAAGCACAAAGTTTTAACTTCACAAAACTCTGTACCGTTACCTCCTAAACTTGATCGACAGTCGTCACAAAACAGTCCAAAACCAGAAGATGTTCCTTCGAAGATAAAAACACATGGAACCGAGCATTCTCCCCTAGAGTCTCCTTTAAGCAATGCTACTTTCTCGCCTACGACTCCAGAGAAAAAATCTAAGAATCGGTTTAGAGATATTGGTAAAAGAATGACTGTCAATTTTCGACAAAACAAGAAAGGCACGTTGTCACCCAAGAAAAGGTAAGCTTGTTTGTTTGTCTTGTGATATCTTTAAAGATATCACAACTCGGTAGATTTACTCTATTTTTCTGTCCATTGGTTTCTTACTCTGCATTTTATATATGCAGAGACTGGGCTTGGTTTTAAATGATTATCATTTTAATGATCATTCAATGAATGATATGTGAATCAGGTGAAAGGTTTTCTTCATCTTTATGCGTTTAGCAAGAAGCACAACTCAGCTCTGTTATATTCAGTCATTTTTATCGAATGTAGATCATAGTTTGCTTTTGTCCTATGTTTTTCGAGTTGTTTTGGCTGGAAATAAATGTTCTTTACTCGCTTGGAGACATTTACCACGTCTGTTTGGCATTACATTAGCTCGATCACACCATCAAAAAAGCATTTCTCCCTGATACTAGTGATGATGTCGGTATCTCATTGAAGCTATGTGAGTGCAAAAACGATTTTTAAGTTCAACGTTGTCGAAGTTTGTTAGAATTGAAAACATTAGATAGAATAAAGCAGATTTCAATAAAACCAAAATTGTTCCAAACTCTTTGATCTGTTCATTAAAAATTATTCCTGCACTTCTCACCTCAGTAACTATTTTTTTTGTAGTTCTTTACCAGTTAGTTTTGTAGCTGCTTCTGTGACATAAATTTTGAAAAAGGCTCTCTTGCTTTCATTGTTTGTACTGGAAACAAAATGCCCCCACAAAAACCGTTTGTCTCCAATACTTTTCTTAAGTGTATGCAGGGACATTGGTTTTACTGCAAAAGTAGGTATTTTTCGATTGCTGCATGAAGTGGTAGTTTTTCTGCGGTCGAGAAATGAGGTATAATAAGAGTGTTATGGGGATGACGTCACAATGATCTCTATTTTGAATTTTGAATGAGGACCTCATAGCTTGAAAGAAGATCATTGAATTATTAACATACTTAATTGGGAAAACTTTTAAAAAACATATATTTTATGATGTAACACTCTAGAACTGTATTTTACATTTTTACATTTACATTTTTAATTATTCAGGCACGGTAGCCTTGTGAGTCCACGAGAACTGCTTTTCAGGGGGCCGTGACAAAAACATTTATAAGGAAGGAGATAAATACTACGAAATAAGAATGGTCGTTCATAGTTAGTTTTTGATTCTTCTCTTAAAGGTGGCAAGGTAATTGACTCATTAAGACGCTGAATATTATAATTTATGCATAAACGTAATCGAGGCTTTAATGCAAACGACTTGACCCACAACGGTACAAGGTCTAAGGCTTGCAGCTGGTTGCCATGTCTGTTCGCGAGCTATCAGAGCTTTCTATGTTTGCTTTCTTTTTGTTAATTCTTTAAATCCCTCAAAGGGCCTAGACATCAAAATTATCCTTTATGGGTTTCGACTGTCATTTAAAAGTAGTTTTTCCGTCGGCTCGAGGCTTTGTTACAAGAATGTTTCAAGACGGATGGCACTGTTTTTGCACATCTTGCATTTATTCAAGTCTTAGATTTTACATTGAGTATGGATTTTATAAGCAAATGAATGCCACCATTGATAAGGGCATTTATGGGTATTAATCCATTCGACAAACTTGTCAGAAAAAATGTTCCGAAGGTAGGCCATAATTGATTTATAGGTTTTTGTTAAGATTCGTTTTTCTACCTTTTTCATCGCTTCTTGCAAAGATTGTTGTGCTTGTCGGATATTTTATGCGTTCAACTGGGAAGTGAAGGAGGGGAGCTTTAGTAGTATGTTTAGTTTGAGACATTAAACAGTATCTGACCAAAACACATTTAATCATGATCGTAATCACAATCATCAATCACAATCATCAATCAATGATCATTCGTCATTGTGCTGGTAACATGAGCAACGGCCAACTTCCTCTTAATCGATGTTTAAATTATATTTGGAATTTTTTCTGTCATTTCCTTAATTTATACTTTGTTTCTTTGCTGGCAGAATGAGCGAGGCATCGTCTCACTTTTATGTGGACACCAGTGCCACTGGTCATGCGGAGAAAACTTCAGACGTCAAAAAAGGAATGAAAGCTTCAAACAGTGAGCCACACCCGGTGGAGGAACTTGACGACACTTCAACAAACAAATCAGTCAAAAAAGAGCCATTTCCCGTTAGACCAAACTATTTAGAGCTGAATATTGGAGTGGAGAAGAAATCAGAAGGAGCTCGTTTGTCAAAGGAAAACATTTATTCAACGGTTGTCGAGACTGATAGAAACGAGAATCACAGATCTACAGAATGTTCAACTATTCTAACAAACACCACCCAACAGTCAAATATTAGACACATACAGCAAGAGCCTACTAGATTAACGCGCAACTACGAAACAGTCTACACGGAAGTGACCTTGAAGACAAAAACTAGTCCAAGCATGCCGATCAAGGGAATCAAAAGTCTTACTCGTGATAAAAAGAAGAAGGCAAAGAATTTTTCAGAATCTGAGGAGAAGATTGTTGAAGAGTTTGATCTCGAATTAACTGACGTACAGACGGCTCAGGAACCGCAGCGGAGAATAAGCCAGAAAATTCTCTCTTCGCCAACTAAAGATGCGAAAGGGTATGAAAATATATCATTACAAGACGGTATCATAAGAACACCGTTGGAAGAAGTTGAAGGACGGCCGTATATGAACCTAGGATTTCATAAATCAAAGGGAAAATCGCAGGTTGAAAACAGGAAATCGGCCGATGAGGCGGCAATGAGATTGCTCATGAATCTCAACAGTGAAAAGAAAATTAGCGATGAGTTATCGGTGAGAAGAAAAAGCAATGCAGATATTAATTCAAGGCAGGGGAGTCTCGATCTGGAAACTGAGGAAGAGGCCTCGTATGTGAATGTAGGACGAGATAGAAAACTTATAGATAATTCTGGTTGCGTCATATCGCCAGGAGTGAGCGATAAGCTCAGTCGGCAGGCATTGGATCAGATGAATGAGGAAGAAACGGCCTACCAAAATATTCCAGTGTTGTCGTCAAGGCGGCGACAGAGTTCTGCAGATGGTGACTCGTCAAACAAAGGTGATATTGATATTCTGTCCCGTCTTCGTTTGAATACGCCCGCAGAAGAATTCTCAGAAGGCCTGTACTCAAATATCGGTTTCAAAAGCTCTAGCAGCGATGGAAATACTTCACCGAACAAGAAGAGAGAACGGCCTTTGCCAAAACCACGACCGAAGAAACCCGAGAGGCGAAAAATAAGCCAAGTTCCAGCCGAGGATCGTAAAATATCATCGTCTGTTGGCGATTCAGGCAGACAGTACGAAGAAGTTGATATTTCAAAAAAGATTGGGTACACTGCAAATGGAATTCAGAATGTTTCGGATTTTGCTGATTGTTCATACGTGAATGTAGGTAGCTACAAAGACGATTTCGATGTAGGAAGAAATAGTGAGGCCCCAAAACCAATGGCAAAGTGTCAAAGTTACGAGAATCTTATGGACGAGTTCCATCCGCGTGTAAATCGAAAAAAATCGGTTGAATACGGTCTCGCTTATGCTGATGTTCAACTTCGGAATAACAGATTGCAGGATAATGAAAAACAACATGAAAGTTCAGAGAGTAGTTTTGTTAATGCCGGGAAAAAGAACAAAAACAATGTTCCTCTTGGTAAGTCCAAATCTGCCTATACGGAAATTGATTTTATGAAGTCACAGGGGATAAGCGAAGCTGTACGTGAGAGAAGAGTTGAAAGTTTCGAAAGTGAAAACGAACGTGACTAGGGCTTTCTTTAGAATTGTGTTGTTAAGAATCTCTGCATGTTTCAGAGCTTCACAATCGAATTTGCAAGCTTTGTCCAGTCCATTGCTGGTCCCACTTAGAGCTTAGGCAAACCCCTACTTTTATTGCCTTGCAACGTTCTTCCCCCTTGTATTTCAATCATCCCTCCGCATTCAAGGCGAAGCTTTAGCTGTATGCAAACCCTAATAATGCCCCTGCTTACCCCCAAATTAAGGGGTATTAAACCCTCTAGAAAATCCGGTAGCATGGGCACACTGATGCTGTCTTATACAAACGGCCTGCTGGAAAGGCCTTAATTCACGTTTGTTATAATGACATCTCCAGACGGTTTTTCGGCCATTATGACGTCATTTATGTATGATTGAAAAAGATGTTCTTCGTGTGCTGGATCATACGCTGAACATTCGCCTTGTTGCTGTGTTTGCCTGTAATTCCGTAATGAAGACTCAGACGTAGTAATTGATGTTAAGAATAAGAAGTTGTAGCATTTAATGATTCAGGGTTTCACTTCTTTCCAATTGCATGCAATTGCACCTTCAGTATAGACTTAAGAGTGAACGCTTCCTATAGTGTGCTATCCAATACCTGTCAGGCTAAATGGGGGTGTGTTAATGAAAATTGTCCCTTTAAGGTTACACATTGGCCCATCAACAATATAATTTTTGTTCAATATTTTTGACACTCAAGTCATTTTGAAATTTCAGAATTTCGTTGCAGAAATCGCCTTTTAGAATCTCTTGCCTCTGCCACTTACTTCCTTTGTCATAAAACATCCAATCAGGTACCAGCCAAATACCTAACCCGAATTTCGGCTACCAAAATCGCCTTTTAAAAATGTTAACTCTGAAAATAACGCGCCCAGACGCATCCTTCCAACAATCGTGTTCTGCATTAAAAAGTAATTAAAGTTATCTTTTATCCATTGCATGTTCAAGTAAAGTCGTTGAATCTTTATATTTTGGATGCGGATTTTCCATTTATAATGCTGCCGTGCATTTAGCTATTTCTGGTCACGTCATAACTTTGTTGGTGACAACCATCTGCATTTTTTTACCAAAGACTGCCATTCAGAAACTAATGCGTGTGGTCAATTCGCTTCTGAAAGGATGAAGGTTTTCAGAATAGGCTTATAATCGGAAAATGTTGAAAACTATTTCTTGCCTTGAATGTCGTAAAAATAGAGAATGGATGTTTAAAATCTTCGGATGGTTTATTGAAAATTACATATTTTCTCATTGCTCAAAAATATTTTATATTCAGTCGTCTTAAATACAAAATCAATTTTCTCGGTAGGTTGTCTTTAATTTTTTACATTTACATCTCATATTCCCTTGTTCATTTTATGAAATATTAAAAGTCTGCTTTGATGACACGAAGCATTTTTGCAGAGTGTTATGCTTATTTGAAAATTCATAATTATTCTGCAGGTGGTAACTATTGAAAAATTCTAGCAATTTACTAAATTTCAAACTGTCATTAATTTTCAGTTATTTTACATGAAGTGGTTTATTCAATTCTAGTTTGATATTTTGATTTTATGAAATATTTTGCATTAATTCTAGTTCATAGATTATTATATATCATACAACATCAAAATATATTGTCTTAATGTACTGAGTCTGTGTAAGGCCAACGACAAGTTATTAAGAAGGGGGGGGGGGTGGCTTATTTACACAACAGGTTTTATGAGTTAGGATTTACTCAATAGGCTTTTTGCAAGGGGAGGGGCTTTGGTGGAGAAGATCGTTTATGGGGTGGGGTTGGTTCATTCATGAGTTCTCTGATTATGGAATTCACCCAACCAAGTAGAGATACTCCTGGGAAGGACTAAGCCCAAAAACTGTATTTGAAATTTTCTAAGGGCATTGGGCCTCCCTTTTTTAATTTTTGCTTGATTTTAGATTGAATGGAATTTTTTGTGCTCAAGTTTAATCAATTGACTTGTTTAAACTTGAATAAAATCATGTTTTTATGAAGCAATAGGTCCAGTTTTTTCCTTTGCTCGTAGTATAGAACAAGGCGAATGGAACAAAATGACTTTGAGTTCAAACAGCACCTTGTATGCATCGTCACAAAAGTTTCTGAAAGGTTTAAAAATAATAATGACAATATTATAAAATTTATATAGCTCCCTAATGCTATGTTCCTACTTAATATTGTCTTTTTTAAAACCTAAGGAACAACAAGTATGCGTTTTTTGCATTTTTTGGGTTTTTGCAAGAGCAAATGTTGCTACTGGAATGAATTCCCAAAATGGGTATGAATTTTTGTAAGGCAGATAAAAAGGTTCACTCAAGGATAATGCGTAAAATGTTGGTTGGATCTTTCGAGCTCTCAGTAGACCAATCATTTTTGCAATAATGCAGTTTACTTTTTAAGAATCTTTCAGTCATTTGCCCTTGAAATAAGACAACGGTGATATTTTTGCAATCGCAAAAGAATTGGCAACATCTTATATTGTAAACTCTCGAATTAGACCACAAAGGGCTTATAAATTTTGGCAGCTTTTAGATGGTGGTTTATTAGAAGGGGGCTTGTACGAGGGGGGCTTGTACACAGGGAGCTTGCACGTGGGGGGCCTATAAGAATTTTCCACGTTGCAATAGCTCGTTTACATCTTCTTTATAAAGGATGGTGGCTTATATAAGTGTGGGGCTTATAAACATTTTTTTCTTTAAGGTTGAAACAAGAACAATGAGCTTGAACTTATACAAAAATATTATCTGGTTTTTATAAATTATGTAGTGTAAAAATGATTTTCGCACGATGGCAGCTTTCAAAATGAAAATAGACCTTTATGTTACAGGCAACTTAGACAATCTTGTTAAATCCGTCTCTTTACCATCTCTAAGAAATCAGAATTGGATAAATTGGTTTACAACAGCATAGGTAAAAAATTACTAGATATCTACCGAATAAAAAAGAGTGAAGTTTAAAACAATAACTTCGTTTATTATTTCTTGGAAACTCATACTTCGTACAAAGATTAATCAAAGGAGATATAAATAATTGGGACTATTGCTGATAGTTTGCAAAGTAATAACCGGGAGAACGGCAATAGACAATTCAACGACGCTGTGGCAAGTTGAGCATCCGTCAGGCAGACAAGCGATTAGAAGAGAGCCATGTGGGCCCATGAGTGTTTATGTTAACTAGTGGATGGGGGCCACCGATCATTGGAAACAGCCGCAGCGACAAAGTTATAAGAGTACATAAAACCAAAGTCCTAATGAACCCTGTGTGATTTTTTTTAAGAAAAAACCAAAAGATGAAATTTTTAGGAGAAGCAGCGACAGTCCACAAAACACAAAACTACACAAATAAATTTGGACGGTCCTAATGGCGTGGCTAATCAAAATACTTCCAGAAATTGAAAAACATTTTTCCATGTATAGTGCCATCACATACCATGCATAGATTGCTACCTGGAGTTGGGTCTCAACGAGGACAAGTCTTTAAATTGACGATATGTGCTCTCGCTCAAAGTACAAATAAAATGGAAAGTACAAACTCAATGTTACAAGCATAAAAATACAAAAAAGTTTTCTTGTACAAAAAAGGAACTTTACACACAAATTCTTCATTTTCATAATATTACCAAGTTATATGTGTAAGCAAGATAAATTTTTTAAAGCAGATTATATATTCAATCCAACTAACGCTCAAGAAATAATCACCTCCTCGAAAAGCATGCCAAGGCAGTAAGATTTTAAAGCCACAACGACAGTTGCCCACTAATGCAAAATGTGACAGGATTAACATCATTTCGCATCAAAGTCATGTCGCTGAAGCAGGACAAAAGCAAACACCATACAGCACACTAGATATCATTATGTCAGATGGGCAGATAGGTAGCTTGGCAGTTGAGAAGTTGGGAGGTTTGGGCAGTCGGGTTGTATCTAAAATAATGGGTACTATACTTACTTTATAATAAAGGACACCATTTGCACAATAAGCTGATAAAATAACTATAATAACTACACGCTTTTACATGAAACAAAAGGCTTGATATTCCACGGTCTTTTCTAAAATACCGTTTGAAATAAAAATCAGATATTATATATTGTATATTGTTTAATGCTAAAAAGGTAATAATTACGAACCGAATCACAGTTTTCTAGATTTAAAATGAATTAGATTCTATGATTTAATACTACGGCTATATACAAATTCAACACTATACTTTGACTATATATAAATTCGGTAAAAACGGCAGCAATGTCTCTATGCTGTCCAATATATTCACATAGATACTTTTGTATTAATATTTAATTTAAAAAATGTTGATGGGCATCAAAGGCCTGTTTACATGGAGGTAGGGTCGTCAATCTCAGTTTCGCTAGCTTGGCTGATGATCAACGCATGTTTTGTCGCCTAGGGCTGCACCGATGAATCCATATGCAGTACTGTAGCCTCCACAGCGGCAAAAGCAGTATATCTGACGTATTCAACCAATGCAGACATGTCAATTAAAATGTGAAATTTTTCCCAGCAATGGTGTCACGTTGTTGATGAAATAGCTCTTGCGATAGCGCGGCCCTATCTCCAGGTAACCCGGCCCTTCGTGATTCTAGCCCAGAATAATATAAGTCAACTTTATCAAAATAGGTAGACATGATATTTAACAGCAGGTAGTGTAAGAGCAATGGAAATGAGGTTGCAGACCAGAAAGCAGTGGTTATGTGAAATTCATACAACTGTGTCAACGTGGAACTTGTATAAAAAAGGACATTTCCAAAACTGTGCTGGTTCTAAGAATGATGAACGAAAAATGGAAGGAAAAAATATAGTTTGATTAGGCATTGTCTTTCTACCTAAATGCTATTTCAAGAGACAGATCATTAACAGCAAGAACACCTAGCGAAGATACCAATATCATAAATTGTGTAAATGAATTTATACTTGAGAAAACATACAAAAACAATTATCATGGAACACAACAGACTGAAATATATCAACTTAGAGGGATAAAAATGTACCTTTGAACATTAATTGAAAATCTGATAGCAAAATGTATCCTAAACTATTATTTAAGTAGTTTTCATCGTTTTTATTGCTTTCATGCAGATTAAAATAAATTCTGTTCACCATGGTAAAAAGTTGTATAAGAAAGTCGGAGATTGGAAATACGGAACCAAGATAGAACATTGGAGGACTGCACGACTGAGCATTCCGGGCTGCGATGCTCAAAATGTGGGGTTCCATCCCCCCCCCCCATTTAACACTGTTTGCGCACTATGGACATGATTTTGGCCGCAATCTTTGACATGTAGCTAACAGACACTTGTGCCAGTGGTACATTTTTGTCAAATGGGTCCCTGAGTGGCCCATTGCGATTCCAGTTGCCGATTAATGCAGTTCTCCAAGTCGACAACAAATACAGACTTCAATTCCATTTATGGTCATGCATGCTAAACCCTCGGTCCAATCAATGGGAGATTCGCTTGCGACCAAGCCAGTCAATTGATTTGTTTTTACCACATTCTGTTTTAAAATCATTCCAGTTCACGAAGTTGTCTTTTCAACCAGCCAGGTATGGGCATTTTGTATCTTTTGAGCAACAATGCAAAGCGTAAATTTGGCAGTCGGTAAAACTCGCGCAAGTATCTCTCCGAATTCAGGTCCATTCTGGGGTAATTGCGCCCTTTACCAGGGCCTAAGCACCTTTTCTCGACTTTATTTCTCAATGGACAAAAGAATCCCTTTTCTCGGTCGAATCTAGAAAAAACATTTCTCCGTCTTAGCTTAATCGTGAACTTTGAATAGATAGACTAAGAAATACAAGTAAAATATGATGATGATGATTAGAATGCGAAAGTTGAGGCTAGAAGTGATGATTATTATGATGACAGTACAGACCCAGATGTCATAACGCCTTTAAGATACCTAGAGGTAAACTCTAGTGAGAAATTTCATAAAGAAGCCTGTTTCATAGACATACACATAAATAATTAGTTTGCAAATTGAATTATTTGGAAAACCAACAAGATACAATAAATAAATATTCACAGCAAAAGCAGTCAACAGACAACTCGTGAGGTTTTTAAGTAAAAAGTCTGTTTATATATGGTTTATACTCACATTATATGTGCTTTGAAATCAAATGGCTTAATGCGGAGAAACTTCTGTACTGTGGTCAGTGCAGTTGCTGGGTCCTTAGTTATCACTTCGCTGTCCAGTATTAATATCTGCAAAATTAAGTCGATTTCATATATTAACACGAATCGCTAAGAAAATCTGTAGAACTTAGATCACCGGTATAACGAAGAAGGCTGGGGCCCTAGTGAATGAATTTTTCAAGGTTCTCTGAGACAATAACAAACTTTAAGAATTGGATGAAAATCAGTTTCATAGAGGACAATCAGAGACATTGTTAACAGCAATCGAACTCAATCGAAAAAAAAATAAAGATCTTGAGACTTGTGAAGGGGATTATGAAACCCAATGTACGGAGAGAAACAAAATGTTTCTTTCGACACGTTATAGTAACAGGCAAATATGTCGGACTTCGTATTATTCCATCAAACCATGAAGCCGCATATTGTTCGAAACTTTTGGATGGTCAGACAGATTCTGTTGAAAAAACTTAACATCATTGATATAATTTCTCCTACAAGAAATTTAAACAGATATTTTTAACCGAATCCAAAAACAGGCGGTCTATTTTGATATGTCTACGTCATTTTCAACTCAGAGTGATGGTAACTACTTTAAAGAAAAACTCAAGTCGTTGTATTTAGCTCTTGAATTCACTTTTGGAAAGGAGCGAAAGAATTCCTTGTGTTTGGTCGATGTTTTGATACCAACAAAAAAAGCTGGACATTTAGCGGTGTCCAGACAAGCTAACGTTTTCTGATAATGCATTTATTGGAATTCCTTTAGTCCAGAAAAAGGAAAATTTATCTAGCAGAAACCTTGGCACAATGATTTGCTCCAAAACCAAATTGATCCAAAGCTTGACAAAATCGAGGAATTCTTTTGAATAATGGCTAGCCCCAACATGCCAACATGTCTTCACTTGACTAACTATGTTAGAGGTACACAGACGCTGATTGGTCAAGGAACCAATTGGTCAAGGAACCAATCGAACGTATCATTCTTCCACTCACTTCACTATCTATCTGCATCTGAATATAAATTGCTGCTGTACTTATCCCACGTTTACACTCTGAGGCTACGTTTCCTCATTGCGTGCTGTCTCCATTCAATTCATTGAAAGGTGTTATATCAAATCCTATGGGGCCTTCAAACGTATCAACCAAGGGGTAAATTTTTCTTAAATTTACCTGCTCAGGAGGATACACAGACAACCACTTTTCGAGATATTCAGCATAGAAGCCAGGGTGTAAAGTTCTGCGTTGGAATATCTGCAACTTTATATTTTCATGTTTTTTTGAGATGACGTCAAAGAATGAATTTTCTGTAGCAACCCACTTCCTCTTTGCCAGGTGGTGCTGAAGGAACAGGTTTAATATGAAATTAGGATTGACGGCACATTCGTATGATAGCAGAATGATTGCAACCGCAACAAGTGAAGAAGATTGGGGATAAGAAAAGCGTTATTAGAGTGCAAAAGTTGATAGGATTAGAAGCAAAATTTAAGCAATAATCATTAAAAATGCGACGATGTACCAAACATGAAAATATCAGTACAAGGCTGAATAATATAAGCAAAAAGCCCAAAAAATCTTCTACAAAGCTAAATAATCTTAGACTGGTATCATTATTACAAGGCCCAATGACATTAGTAAAAGCCCGAATAATATTGCTAAAAGAATGATACTGATAACATTACTAGCAGTAATATTAGTTCAAAGCTTAAGGCTCAATAATACTAGTGCAAGTCCGGGATTGATAGCATTATTATTTATTACACACTGTGAAATATTTCTACAAAACTAAAAAATACTAGAACAAATTAACGAATATTCACAAGGTAATGACGAACAATGACCATTACGTCAAGGGCTGCATACATGAACTTTGATATGTTTGAATAACAAAATTTTGAAACAATCACCGTAACGACGCCAAATGCACCATGTTATTTTCACCCAGTTTTAATTGCCGCCACATAACTGATCTGTTTTAGCGTGGAATAATGCAAGAACATTTGGATATCCGACTGAGTTTGGCTCACTTTTAAAGAGAGGATACACATAAACTAGGAACTTTCTCTGCATTAGAAATTCAAGTGCAAGAGAACTTGATTAATTTACCCATACATCTATTAGCTGTCCTAAATGGATTGTTACTGATCGAATTATCACGATGAAACGATTGAGTGAATAAAACGATTCTTATTTGCTTACGTAGTGTGTGAAATAAGCAAACAGTTAGTAAGAAACACTTACTTGGTACCAAGAGTAGGCTCGCAAAGCAGGGTCGGCCGCAAGGACAATAATTTTCGCATCAGGAAGAAGGGCTGAAGCTCGATAATAACCGCTAGTGGCGTCGAAGTAATTGGCGGACTTCTCGAAGTAGAGGTCCCGCTTTGAGTTGTTCCTGTCTGGAAAATAGCTCATGTACCTGGAAAAAAGCGAAGACATACAAAACTAGTTTCAATAACACAAAATCATGGCTAGACCAAAACGGGAGAACAGGAAATTGTTGGAGTAAATTAAATATCCTTATAGGTTTGGATACCTTAACAGTATGGCAAAACAACACGGAGTAACAATGTTCATTTTTTTTAATTTTGATGCCTCTATTAGGATTTTTTCCCCTAATATTTTTTACGCTCTCATTAAATCGCTAAATCTGCACTCCATGACTTTCTTGAAGAAATCACCCAAAGTTTTTAAAAAAATTCAAAATTACCTTTTCCTATACTATTTCTGCAAATATTATTTTGCATTATTTCGCGAAATGAGCAATATTTCGATAATGTCAATCAACCGTGGTATTTTCAATAAAATGTAGCATGTGTGCTGTTGAGAAAATGCAGCACAAGTTTTGAAGCAATACAAACTGTCAATCATACAACAGGCCTGGTCATAAGACTTTTAGCAAGGGAGCAGTAAAAATCTCTGCTAGTAATTTCAAGGTAAACTCTTTAAAGGTAAATAAGAATAGAAGCAAAGGAAAACTGATTTCAAGGAGAGCAATTTATTTATAAAAACAATTTTGGCGAGCAATCTGCAGCTTCCCTCCGGCATTTGAGGAGAGCCTGGAGGGGAACAAGAGCTATGGCAAATTGCCAGGCCTGATAAATATAATGTACATTTAAAATTATTTGAGTAGTTAAACGTGATATTAACAAAACTACTTTTTCCCTTTCAGCATAAGCCCAGTAAGGCTTTGGCAAAAACATTCTGCAAAAAAAGACAAAAAGCTTGAAAGCAATACTATGCATACTGTACTATACATACCAATCCAGCCCTTTTGCATAATTTGTAGCGTTATTGAAGAACTGAATCTCTTCATAAAAACGCTGGCTCAGTTTGCTTGTGATCAGGTTGGGATGAAGTCGCATGAAAGCCCTGAGGGCGGTCGTTCCTGTTTTCTGTGGTCCGACAATAAGACATTTCGGAAGACGCTGGCAGCTTTTGTTGGGAGACCAAATTTCAAGATGGCGGGAATCATTGCATGGATTCTGAAAACAAAACCAAATTTTGACTTTGATGTTGACCGGTTTGATTGTGGATTTTCTTACAACGGCTAGAAAACCTATTGACATTTAAGCTGAAAATGCTTTTCAAAAACAAGCAATGCCTGAGGAAGATTGTTATAAGCCACATCTACAAAAACACTTGATGACAAGTCTACAACGTATACGAAAAACTGCTTTCTTTCCAATGATACGTGCCAATAACTGAAACTTTAACCGTAATCGCAATTTGTGTCAATAGTAAACAAGGCTAGCAAATGGGCAAAGCAGGCAGCAAATTTCTGTCTGTGACTGAGCCCACCCTGCCAATATAGACCAACTACCATTGCCCCATGCACACTGAAAGCACATCAGATACAAAGACAGAAATAACCCATACTATTTTTCTACTTCCATTTTTCTTTAGATCCCCAAAAATTTACGTTCAGCTTTTACAAAGGCCACAAACACAAACTTCATTTTTCCACATTTTTCCACATTTTTCCAAACAAAGAAACAATATTATCCTTTGATTCTATTTTTAGATTAGGGCTGTTGCCTCTAGGCCTCTCTGTAAACACTCTTCTACAGGCCATTACTTGCTTTTGACGTAAACATGATAGTATGGCTGTCTACCTTTTTGGTTAACCAAACAGTATTTTTAGAAAAAAGCAGAATATTACCTCTAGATGCTACAAATGATAGACCCACTTTTTAGACTTGTTTCTATTGTAAGTTATTAATCATTACTGCTTTTAACATAAAAAGTCAAGCATTCTATACTTTCTGACGTAGAGATAAAATTCCACCTAGTTTCTCTTCTCTGAATGGGATACTTAGATCCAAGCTCATTCGACTTTTTCATCTATTGTTAAATATCGCTAATTTTGATGTAAATACTTAAGTGTAGCTTCATACAACTTTTCAATCACCGAAAAATATTATGAAAAACGCAGTTAATATATGCATAAAGCGATATGTTTAAGTATGTACGCGTTTCCTGCCTCTGAAGGTCAATGCAATTGATCACATGTTCAGGAAAATGTGACTTTCACATTTCGCTACTTCTGAAAGTCTCATACAATTTGTATAAAATGCTGACTATCCAAAGTAGCAGAAATGTTAAGTACTTTTACTGACCTTTCAAACTCAAACATATTCGGAAGGGCGAAAGTCGTTATAATTATAGGCTACTTTCAAATACGATTGATGTTATATTGGCAGCCAGCGCGAGTAGTTTGTATGACAAAGCTAAACATCCAAGGTACAATCTAATGAAAGGCACTTAGAAACATGTGGAAATTTCACTCCCTTATTGCTTTAACTAGCAACAATAGCATTGACTCTAACAGTAAACCAATAATAGAATTGCACTTATTCTTCTAGCCTGTTGTGTTTTCCAAACTTCAATAGGTAGTTCTTCTATGCTTTTCTTGAAGGCCTCTGAGAGGAGTAGTAGCAATCCAGAGATTTAATCTTCACTTTATTTCACATAATTCACATACCAAAAATAGTAATGATTTTTAAAAGAAAGCTTAATATAGGCCTAGGCTCCAGTAGTCCATTTAAAATATAGCATCAAGGGTAATATTTTAATTATTTCTGTGTTATACTTTTATCGTGTAGAATTGTGCTCAAACCTATACATTCACGCCCATTTTAAACTTTAGTTAACTACGTATGGATGAAATCCGAAATTGAGGACTAGGGTCAAGTACCCCAGTCTAAAAATAGCACTTGGGGGCATTTTTCGGCTTGTGTCTGTTCGGCATCGTCATTAGCATGTAAAATTACCCCAGTTTACCCTTTTTCATGCTGGTATCACAATTTTCACATTCAAGTCAAATACTGTGCTAAGAGCCCAGACTATACTGGCAGTTAATAGCGTTTGGAAAGGAAATTCAAAGAAATTTTACAACGAATAAAAAAGAAAATTTAACAACAGAGAACATTTTGTAAAACTAAATTAACGTTTTACTTATGAAATTCTATGCTAAAAATTGCTATGACTCACACGCCAGACAGGACACGCATCCTCGGGCCAGAATTCAAAATATTTCTTGGCAAGAGCAACTGGCTTCTCTGTTACCATCTTCAGGTTCGTCCATTGTTCAATAAACTCAATTACTGATTCAAACGTGTATAGTGCTAAACGGTCGTTACCATAGTTACCAAAATGCGTCATGAAGAGGGAGATCTGAAATATGACGTCATAATAAATTGAGATAAATTGAGATGCATCCAAAAGCGAAAGATGGTATTTTTTCGAGTTATAAGCTGGCCAGTGATATGGCTGAAATAATCTTATCAGATTGGAAAATACTTGTTTTAATGTTTTGTTACAAAATCGACAAAGTTGTAGTGCTTACAATAATAAAAAAACTAGATAGCATTCAGGTAACATTTCTAAACTATATATCACGATAAATACAAAGTTGAATCCGAAGTACATTTGTTATTATTTTAAGTATCATCAAAGTATTATGATGTATTATAATGAGCATTGTTTAAAATGAGCATTGCTTTCTTAAAAAAGGATCTTGTAAAAACATCTCGTATCTAGCTATAAAGAGGCTTTTAGAACCTTTCTAGAATCTTTTAGAGAAAACAACTTTTCGTACAGAGATAGATGTCATCATGCTGCAGTCATAAATGTTAAATCATTGTCTATTGCGATTTGCGAATCATCATATAACATTCTACCGAAATACTTCAGCATGCTAACATCTTCGTCAGTAAAACATACGTTTAAGTAATTGTACACACTTACTGGATTATTAATGAAAGTCATAAACAATTCTCCGCCATTTATACTTTTCTCCAATCGATGGCGACCTTTTGGGTAGTTTCTGAAGTAAATATTTGCTGTAAACAACCCAGCCGTCTGCCTTGGAAGAACCTTGAAAAAAATTGTTGCAAATGAATTTATTTTGTCTAAAAATTAAATGTCGGTCAAACAGAAATATGTAAATTGAATTAGTTAAGAATCGTGCATTTCGGAAAGGCATAATAAAAAACCACATGAATCGACAAATGAATACGCTTGAAGGTCACAAGTATCATTGCCAGCAGAAAATGTATTCTAGCATTGCTACAATGCCACGCCGATCCTTTTCACTATTTCCTATAAAGTATAATCTGAAACAAAATGATCTTTTAAAGTATAATCTGAAACAAAATGATCGCTCTTTTACATTGAGAATGCAATAATTTGTGGAAATGGCAGGCCTTCATTCATTATATGTTGAAGACACAAAGGGCCTTTCTGATGTTGGGTTCTGAAACTACGTCTCAGTTGGTATGAAAGGGGAGACTCATTTAAGATTAGCACACAACAAGAGGCCTTTGGTACAGGGAAAATACAGACGATGCAAAGTCGTCTACGTTTATCCACAAGTCTCCTCATTCGTATAGAAGAAGCTTACTCTTGAGGCATGCTTCTGATACAGGAAAGAACATAAAGCCTTATAAGAACATACCCTGCTGCACATGGGTAACACAACAGCAAAACATACTAAGAGATGAATATATAGATAAACTAACAATACTGGCAGCCCGTCAACAACATAAGGTAAATTTGGCATTGAGAATACAAGGATCGTGTGCAACATGATCAAACTCACGTTTATTCCTCTGAAGATAAAACCTCTTCTTTCCCAGCTTGGATAAAGATGAGGGTATTCTTCCGTTGTAGTTACTTTGATATCCCAAACTTTCTTCCATGCTTCGTACAATTCTTCGTGAACTGGATACACCCCAGAGTGATGTGGGGCTACAGAATAGCTATTGTTAACTGGAATACCATATTTCTAGAAATAAAATATTTTGAAAACATATTACAGAAGGTGGAATGACATCTACGCCTTATGTACGGCTTCTGGCTATCTTGCCGGTTAGACACAAAGCATTGAGGGTTGTAACAAATATTGGTCAGGAATGTGACACGACAATGCTACGTTTTTTCATTATCCTTGATTTTATTTTTAGTTACTTATACAGGGTAATACATTCAGTAATGAAAAGATAATAACTGATTTACAATGTGCCCTGTCTAAAAACCTAAGCTAATCAACATACAATTCAATAACAAAGATAAACGAAAATTAATATATCCGATATTTTGGTTAGAAAAGAAAAGAAGTTTGATGCTGTACAAGAACTTTCACATCCTTTGATTTTTCAAAGATTGCTTCAGTTGCCTTTCTTTTAAATGATATTTAATCATGTTATCATTGCATACGTAAGGTACTGTCTTCTACCTTACATTTTTGTACTTTCTTTTAAAAAACTTTTTATCAATACGTACCTCTGCGAAAAGTTTGTTTTCATTCATACTACTCACAAGTTCTTCTAAAGACTTCGAGAGATGTGGTTTACGGTGTTTATACATATGTGGAAACCACGAAAATTTATCTGCATGTTTCACCAGCATTTCATCGCCTTCATTCTCCTCCGAAGTTCCATGCTTGAAATAATGGCCGCTAAACCCCAAATTGAAGCGAAAGTTCTTGACCTTCCTTGAAAGACGATCTTGAGATTCCACGAGGGCCTAAAAATGATAACGGTTGACAAATCAATCTTGTTGCGACACATCTTATCTTTATGTTACAAACATAAATACTAAATTGCCAAATTTCTTATTTTCAAAGCCTCGTAAGCAAAGCAGAGAGGCAAAAGCAAAATCTACCCACTTAAGTAATTCAGTCCTATTTCCTGAACATAAAGGTAACAATTACTTAACAAAGAGGTATTAAAGACAGGTATCAAATGTTCAACATCTTGATCTGAATACGGGCATTGTTTAAGGATATCTCAGTAGTGGGGAATTTCTCACAAGGGACCACGGTCGCGACAAAAAAGTTGTTCAGTGCTTCAAACAGTAATATGCTTTGGTTTTCTCTAAAAAAACCTAGGTGTTGTTGCGACAGCTAAATGGGATGTTTCACATTTATCTCTTGAAGGCTTGATGAGCTAAAAAAAGAATTTTTTGGCTTGATGAGCTAAATGAAGACAAGATTTGCTCTTACCAAGGACATTAGCTGAGGGAAGTTAACAATTTGGCTTAGATTGAGGAATAGTAATCTTGGTCTTTGCGTTTTATCACTCTTCAGGGATGACCGTTAGGAAAATATTCATTTTATTCATAATGCGGGCAAGCAGTAAACTTTTGGCAACCATGCCCTTTAGACTGGCTAAAAATACATTTAAAATTTTTTTTAGGACATTTCCTTGCAATTGTTTAAAACGTTGCACAAACGTGGCTCAAAATTGCTAAGGGGGCACCAACCCTTTCTGGCGCGCCCTAAGGTTACGCCCACGGTACAAATCATCAGGGCGGGCGAAATTTGATTGAAAATGGAGGTAGGAACAATGTAATCATTGTTCAGGAGTTTCAGGAAGGCCGACACCATGGTTAGCGGGAAGAAAAGTTTTGAAAAGATAACATTATAGGGACTGCTGGAAACTGCATCTAAAATGATTTCAAAATCGACTGAGATCGAAGAAAGATCCTAGACAGTATTCAAAAACTTTCTTTTATCATTACGGCATAATGTTTAGGTGGTACATGGGTTTAAGAAAGGGCACCACCATGTTTAGCAGCAAGAAAAAAATTAACAAATATGACATTCTTGAAACTCTAAAAAAAATTATCCCAAATATTTACAACATAGATTTAGAAACAAGGAAGATCCATGGAAATGTTCGTAAATTTTTCTTTATCATTACGAAAAAAATCTCAAGAATTTTAAATGGTTTAGTGAAAGCCGTTTCCATGGTTGGCGGCAAAAAAAATTGAAAGTATAACTTTCTAGGGATGACCAAACTATGCAACGTTACATACGTCGCTTTAGGCCCAATGGAGATATAAGAAAATATTCATAGGCTTATTTTTATCATTATGTAAAGACCGCGACATAAAGATGGTAAAGGTATTGCAAAATTTTAGTAAAACGTTTGAAAGATCATCTTTGTAAAGTATAGAGGCGTTGTGGCTAGGCGGGACACCGGGAACTTTCCCGGTGGGCCCCATTAAAATGAGTTTGTAAAACCCCGGAAAATATTTAATGTGAATAAAATCTTTAGTGAGAAAACCTCTCACTTACATGGAGACTCATATACAAACAGACCCCTGCGAAAGAAATGCTTGGAATTTGAACAGGGCCATCGAGAGGGGCACAAGAAGGGGCAAACTGCCCCAGAGCCTCGAGGTCTAGGGGGCCTCTTAAAGCAAGGAATTCCAGTTTAAAAACTGAACTTTAACGAAACGCAAAAAAAGTATGCCGAAAAATTTTCAAAACGTGGAAAACGACTGGAAAAAACATTCTGAATTGTTGTTAAAGCTAATTTGAAGGGTATGGCCGCAAAATTTTCTTGGTCGCGTCTTTGTTGGTGTGAAGTATTTATTTCGGCATTAGATTTGTTCCACATTTTTGCAGTCTTAAAGAGACTATGGTTAGGGAAAAGGCGATACACCTTAACAAATTGGCGACCTATGGTTTGTGATTGGAGGTGAAGAGCGAGCCCCGGTGATCATTTTCTCCCGGCCCTTTTCTAGGAGCCACAACGTCCCTGGTAAAGTTGAAGCTTTATTTTTTTTAAATCTGATCGTTAAAATTTCCCAAAGTATTGATGTCTCATTTCCAACCTCGGTGAGGTCAAGCAAGTCAGTGGGTTGCCTACGGGTGTTTGGTAACTAATAGAAGACTGCCAAGGGATGCTGGGATACCACACTGGGTTCCAGAGCGTCAAGTGATTTAAACGGTTGGCAAAGAAGGCGTATTGGGGCGGGAATGTTCAGGAAGAAAGAAAGAGAAGAGAGATATAAGTCTTCATTTCGAAATATGCGCCTCTTCAAAGCTCGGCTATGTCAAGTGGCCTTCTTTGTTCACATTTTTTTACACGGGATTTTGGCGCCCCTTTGAAGAGTTGGATCGCCTTCTGCGCCCCCTGATTCCTGGTCACTGGAGAGGCACGTGCCCCTTGGCCCCGCCCCCCGACCACCACGCCACAGTTCGTCCTTTTTAAAGGGCCCCACAATGGCCTAGGCATTTGCGGTAAATGGAGCAGTTATGTCGTCGGTAGTTGGGGGAAGTCGGGGGCCTGGTGGGGCAATTCCCCCACCACTGAGTATGTTAAAAATGCCCTGTCTGAATGTTCCCGGGCGAAATAAGTTCAGCAAGTCGATCGCTAGAGCTCCTGAACAGGAGGGGGAAAGCGATGCAAATTTGCCGAGTAATAGACATAACATGAGGCGTGGCAAGAGTATTCCCAAATAGATAATGCCATAATGGTATTAGATGCGTGTAAAAAGTTTTAAATACAGTATACAGTATATCGTATTTCAATCTGTACAATAAATATTGAACTTGTAAGGCTATACCGACTGCTCTTGTGAAATATAACATGCATGTTACTGATCATATGTAACATGGCTTGGGATGTGCAAGGATCCTCATCCTTATCGCGCAGGGAAATTCATAAAAACGCACGTAAACAAATCCTAATTTCCTTAGACTGTTATTTACTGAGTTAATCGCTCTGTATAATCTCAATTTGTGACTTAGCATTCGGTTAATGCGCTGCATTTCCCGCAACTCTACTCAGTTACGGAGCTGGTCCTTGGACACAAATTTTGACAATTTCCCGCAAATGTTTGATACAAAAACCATTTGGAATTCCAGGCGCAAAAAACATGCGAGCGGGAATCAAATGGTCTCGACTTCTTCTGACCTAACACGCTTTTATAGGTATTCCAATTTACGAGCTGTCCAGTCAAAATCGCATGATATTATAGCTGTTTTCAACAGTGTCAACCATACAATTTACGTATCAGGAATGGAAAGAACTTTTTTTTTTCTCGCAGTCCATTGGGCAAAAATAATGTGATATGTATAAAAATGTAGTATGATCTGTTTCCGCTGATTTGTGCTATTCTCAAAATTTGCGGTTTCAAAAGATGATTTAGGAAGACTTATAATTAGCACTAACATCGTATGAATTTTTGAGCAGAAAGATAAGTTGGCTCTGTGACGTACGCACTGACTCACACAGCAATCAGCTCGTAATAGCAGCCCATGTCCAGATTTATCGCGAAACAGCGCCTTTGCTACGAATTTGATGTTATCACCATATCTTATGAGATTTTTTCCTGTTACACAGTCTACCGAACATTGAAGCTTGCCGGTGAGCCGCTGCAGTGGCCGTGAGAAGCTTAAATTTTCTAATGCCTAAATAATATCTAAAGAGCATTATACATCGTAAGGCATGCAGGAGCCCTTCCCTGAATGGCATTCAATTCAAAAGCGATCACCGACACGAACTTGTTAATGAGGGTAGCTTTGTGTGGATTCGTATTTTCACGCAACTTATATTATGCAAGTGATGAACAAACAACAGAAGCCCACCCCCACATTATCTGAAAATTTTGAAGTGTTCAATCACTCACAGTTAAGCGGAATAGTACTGCCCTATTTTGCTCCAACTACTGCAATTTTAGGGTAAAATTAGGAACATAAGTAACTTCGCGAGTTTTCAATCAAAACTATTAGAGATGATAAAAAAGAGGTAGTCATTTGACTTGATGTGCCACAGAGCGATCGACGTTGGTGAAAGGTAAGGAATATTGAGGATCACCTTGTTAGGAAAAGAAGAGACAGAATAGTGTTGCAAATTTTTGGTAAAAGGGTAGAATGAACGGGCAAACAAACAAAAGTGGAGAAGAAAAATGACCTGACCAGAAGTCCTTATTCAATGGTCTCTAGAGTAACAAGATTTAAGAGAAGGAAATGCTTTGCTGGAGCACTCCTTGCAACTAAACTTAAAACCCTTGTTGTTTTGATGAAGATCTGTACATACTGTGACTTTAATCCATACATTTGACAGCATAACAGCAATGATTTGATTTATCATTCTGAATCTTAATCACTGCAGGGTAAAACAAGGGCAAGCTCAATAAAAAATAAATTAGATTATGCCATTGCTCTCTACAAGTGGTCTCAAGATAATAATACTATCAATGAAAAGATCAAAGAAGATTACATTGCATGATACCAGAACTGCGCTCTGCATCAGCATCTACTTTTCCAAAGAAAAATATAAAAACTTATTCAGTAATGTATATTTTTCTAGTGACAGCAAATATTTTACAGAAACCTTTCAACACCACATCAAACTATTTCATTTCTTTGCTTCAGGTAGGAATATTGCAGCTCCAAGCTTTTACTGACTTGAAAGTTTTTGAAAAAAGCAATTGCAAGATCCTTTATTGTTTTTCATGACAATCAAATCAACCTTATGGTTCTGTTATTATCCTGTACACTATTGTTCAGGAGATGAATCATGTCCGTCTTCATGACATGCACTAGCCTCCTGTTTCAGGGACATTGAACATGCACATTACACTTGAAGCCTTGGCACAAAGTTCAAAAGTTGTGTGGTAACAGGCAGAACCGTTGGGTAAAAACTGTTATTAATGCACATGTGCCATGACCCTGCAACACTGATTGGTTTCAGACGGTATTGTTTTGAAAAACAGACTAAATGTTTCTTCTCCCGAACCAACTGAACCTGAATTTTTGGAGCATTTGAAGGAAATCAATCTGCTCAGTGAACAGGCTTGTTTCCAAATTCTTTGTGATCATAAATATAAACTGAACATAAAAGGCGACAGGCGATTAAAAATAAAGTTGAAAATAAAGTTGGATAAATGGACACTTCTGTTTTGATACTTCAATGACAAAATGTCCAAGTAAACTCATAGCAATCATTAACTGTTGTTGATGATGAAAACAAATGTTCCACAACAGTGTTAAAATATGTAAAAAAATCTTGATTCAGTATGGATATTGAATATAAATTTGGTTGAGACTAAAAACAAAAAAGTAACATAAACTTTATTGAATATAATAAGGCTTTTCAAAATAAAAATATCTATCATGAGTGGACCAAATATACCATTACAAAAAGCCGGTAAGTATAAGCTTGGTTTGGAGCAACATCTAGGTGTACTTTTGTGATTTTTTAAAATGTCAATGTCATCTTTTACTAGCAAGCAAACCTGAGATACAGTGAGCTACTAGGTAATGATTATCCTTACATAATCTTTCATACATTAGGAAATATCAAGTTAAAAACCAAGAAAAAGTTGCAGTGTATATTGATAAGAGGGAAAAAGATGAATTCTGCCATGAAAAGCCTCAAAACTCTATAGGAAAGTCTGTCAGGAGCACACCTGAGATGGTAAGGATCACAAAATTCAGCACACCTGGCCTGAACTATTTTTGCTCTTTTCACAAGCACACTTAAAGCTTATGATATTTTAATAGCTCTGCGTGTTTCTGTTTCATTTAGTTGAATAAATCTTTCCAATAGCTGAGTTACTTGAAGTTTATTCTATTTTAAAAATATTCTTATAAACTGTGTAGCACATATTGTGCAGTTTGACTCAAGAGACTCTGCCTCACCTGAGATCGCATCAAAAAGTTCTACACTGGATATTCTGGTCTCAACTCACCTCAACGTCTTCCTTTTTCATTCTTGTTCCAGTGTGTGCTACAAAAATATCATCGATGTCCACCAATATCCACTGTGTTAAAGGTCTTCCAAGCTTCCCTTTTGAAAACACTGTTAAAGCATCAAGCAATAAAAGATGGTACTGCCATAATCCATCTATTCTTCCACCAAAAAATACCTTTTTGATGCCATCAAATTCACCTTTATCATACATAATTGTCACAAATTTTGATCTATTCACTCTATAAATATATTTCTTGGTCTCAGCTACATCGTCTAATACAAAATTCTTCTCAATGGGGGCTGAGTCTCTATATGAATAAGACACTGGTTCAAAACTAGAGTGGTTGGACCAGAACACTGAGTGCTTGAATCTGTGTTGGAATTTCAACACCTGACCCGCCTTCGTCATTCGCAGAATTGGGCTATTAGGGTTCAGTTCGGTGTCATATAAACCCTTCATGCTGAACTTGATCCAAAGTGGTAAACTCTTCAGCTTTATATATTCCGACTCTTTTTTATAATCTATCGCACAAAGCAAAATTATGCCCAAGTTATATTTCTTGCAAAAGTCGTGTAGTTCAGACTTAGTCCATATGTCTAAATTTTCATATACTTGGAAATTGTCAAAAATAAAGCCACTATATTTAATACTGCCATGATTTGTTCGTAGTCGTGGAAGGGACAACTGGTTGTCATTAAACCTGTTCCATGTTACAATATCGAAGGAGATCCTTTGTGACTTGAGGACAACTTTCAATTTGTTCAAAAATTTGGAGCGTGCATACTCTGTAAAAACCAAAACAGAACGCGATTCATTATATCGAAAATCCCAGTCCTTTGATGGTTTTCTTGAAAATTCCTTTTTGTGTTTTTCCTCGACGAACGTTGAAGGTAAATTTCGCGTCGAGACTACTGTAAGTTTCGATGGCTTGGTAGCGGTATTCCGCAAAGGCTTATGGACGGCGAAAAGGTAACATGTTATGATAAAAGAAAACGCAATACACAATACTACCAGTCGTTTGGCAGTTGGAAACCTCATATTCTCCAGTAATGACTTGTCTAGAAGTATTTTTTAGCACCTCTTAACCTTTCCTAGTGCACCAAAACATTACCTATCCACTGTCCATATGATCCATTTTAACTCAGTAAATCTGATCAAAGCGGTTTGTCCTCGTCCTCTTCTTGGAGTAGAGGCTATGTGTATGAAAGTTTTTTAACGCTCCTTCGCTGCTTTGCCAGGCAAGGAATAATTTTGATCCCATAACCATGAAATACCATTAAATACGCTACATCAGTTAAATGTGTTATGAATTGGCTGATATATGGCCACATGAGCACAGTCTTTTGCTCCATCAAACCTTTGTAGTTTGTTTTTAATTCATAACTTTAAGAACCAGGCCACAATAACAGTAATCCGTTAGGAAACTTGAAATTTTTCATTGGCCATATCTCACCAAATTTTGAACATATCTAACTGATTTTTCATGTTGAGAAGCATTTTATGCTGATCTTTCAGATTACGTGGTCTAATTTAAGAAATTCAAAATAGATTTTTAAAGAAGTCATTCTTCGTCAACCTATTATTGATTTGAGTCCTTCGCTTAATGAAAAAATGTCTTGTTTCTTCCTCAAATAAGTGTCAAAGGATCAGAATGTCGAGGCATTTTCCTTTTATTTAGCCCCTTTTCAATGCTTCGATTTTCGTGTTTGGATTTTCTTTACCTGAGAGAACCCTTTTGGTTTTACACTAAAAGTCAAGTTTTGAACAAAGAGAGCCCCTTTCTTTTAAAAAAAAATCAGCATGATTAAAAAGAACCTTAGCATGTAGGAGCAGATCATCCAGAGAGTTTTTCAATAAATTTGAAGCAATCCATCCCTAAAAACTTGGAGTATCCAAAAGTGCAGACTGTGCAAAGTGCACAGTCTGCACTTCTGAAACAGGGAGTCGATGTCGACTTTAAGGTCCTTTGCAAATCCCCTGTGAATGATGCAAGAGGAAAGCTTTTTCAAAGAACATTGGCAAGAGACAAGAAAGTTGCAGATCTATCTCTATGCCTCCAAGCAGTTTCACGCAGAAGCGGACTGGCCCACCGGGACACCGGGAAATTTTCCGGTGCGCCCCTGTCCCAAGTTGCATTTTTCAAAAGCACCGAGAAGGCCTAGTCTCACTACAAACCTGGCTCGCTTGTAATTTTTTCAAGCAAGTGCACAATACTTGCAGTAATTCCATGTCTGTCGAGGGTGAAGAAGGGGTGTTTCTAGATGACTCGCAGACTTTTGCCAACTGAATAATTTATTTGCTAACTGAATAATTTGCTAACTAAAAGGGGTGGTTGGTGCCTTGCTAATAGATCTCTCAAAAGCGTTTGATTGCATAGACCATGAGCTATTAATTGCGAAATTAAATGCCTATGGTTTTTGTAAAGATGCCTATGGTTTAACTATTTATTTATAATTACCTGTCCGGTAGAAAACAAAAGGTAAAATTAAATGGTTCATTCAGCACTTGGCGAGAAACCTTTGCAGGTGTACCACAAGGATCAGTCCTTGGGCCTCTTCTATTTAATTTATACATTAATAATTTATTCTTAATGGTAACTGATACTGCAGTATGTAACTTTGCTGATGATACTATGATTTTTGCAGCTGACTGTCAATTGGATAAAGTTTTAGAACGACTAGAAACCGATGCTCTTGTTTAATCAAAGTGGTTGCCAGAAAACTTTATGATATTGAATGCAGGGAAATGTCATCTTCTTACTTTTTGAACAAACCAAGATGACATTAAGATCAAAATCTGTGAGGCCATTGTTCAAGAAAGCTCTGAAGAAAAACTGCTAGGAGTGATAATAGATAAAAATCTTAATTTCAAAAGTCACGTCTCAAATTTATGCAAAAGAGCCAGCCAAAAACTGCATGCCCTTGCTAGAGTATCGCCATTTATGGGTTCTGATGAACTGCGTCTCCTAATGAACAGCTTCATAAAAGCTCAGTTTAGGTACTGCCCCCTAATTTGGATGTTCCATGACAGATGTCTGAATGCAGGGCCGTAAATCCCGGGGGGACGGGGGGGACTGGACCCCCCCAAAAATCTGGAGCAAAACGATTTTTTTGGAGAATATACCATCATTTTTCTTGAAAGAAAGAAATCCCTGGTAGACAGGTTAGAACCAAACTACGTTTTCTGTGTTATTGCAACAAACATCAACCACTAAGGTTATTTTTGTAAGCAGAGTGGTTTTTATAATTTTTACAAGATAAAAACTTACCGTTTTCTACCGTTTTTTACCGTTTTCTACTGTTTTATTTTTGAAAACAGAGTATGAAATAAAAAGAGAGCAATCTGTCATTTTATTTGACCTATTTACTAACTTATTAACTTATTTACTTTTCCTTATTTGTCTATTTTTTACTTTTATTTAGTAAATCACTTTTTGTGTCATTAAAATGTATTCATTTTTTATGTGTAAACATGGCCTACTGAAATCAGTCAAAATAAGGAAGACGCACATTTCTGTTCAGAAAGTAAATTTCTACCAATCAATACAACAGCGTCTCATAAGTCTGTCACTAAGGTTAAAGTATGACTCTTCCCCTCCAAAATTTCACCCAATAAACAATAATCTGTGTTTTTCTGAGAAACGCCGAACTTTCTATCCTGAGCGATTCTAGTATTTTATTAAATTTAGTCTGGGGATGCTTTTTTAGCCTTTCTAGAAGGTAAAATTTCAAAAATTTTCTTCCGCGTCGGACCCAACCATGGTGGCTCCTCATACGACAGTAAACTTGATTCTTAGCTCTCAAGGTTCAATTTCTTGGGGCCGTCTCTAAAAAATGTTATCCATCCAATCATACACACAAGTCAATGTACTAAGGAATATCTGTAAATACCTTCTATAGAGCAGAAAGTCTTGAGAAATCCAAAAATATTGACTTTTGTTTTTAAAGTAATTTGCCCCTCAACTGTTTCCATAACACATACCATAAATCCCTTGTGGTGCCATGACCCACTGCATTCATTCGCTCTGCTGACCCCCCCAATTCACATGACAGATTTACGGCCCTGTCTGAATGCTAAAGTGAATAAAATCCACTAAAGAGCACTAAGAATTGCTTATAAAGTCAGTCATGCTGACTACGAAGCATTGTTGACATTGGATAATGCAGTATCGATTCACCAACGCAATCTACAGTACTTGATGATAGAAATATGCAAAACCAAACATAACCTGAACCCTAATTTCATGAGTGAGATTTTTGAAACAAGAAATGTACATTATGATTTGCGAACTAAAAATAATCTTTGCATTCCAAAAGCCAGGACAACTTCTTATGGTATAGAAACTGTGAGATATTTAGGTCAGAAACTGTGGCAAACACTACCTCACAGTATAAGAGAGTCCCAATCTTTGGCAACATTCAAAAAAGAATTAAGAGCAGACCCTGTATAATGCGACTGTAGATTGCGTAAAATATTTATTGCTTGGTTAGGTTTTATTTAGAATATTATACCTTAAACATTTTTAACATTGTACCATATATTTACTTTGTACCAATTCTTTATAGATAGTTGGCTTTAAATAGCTTCTTTATAGCTATTAGCCGTTCATTTAGAACGCCAACTTTAAACAAATTATTTATTGTTATTATTATATTATTATTATTACTATTCAGTTGAATAATGACTTATGACTAACCATATTGGTTTTTTGACTTATGACTAATGCGAATTCTTTCAAGTGCCTGATATCAAAAAACTGAGAGGGTTCACACTTTGGAAAAATTAATTTAGCGTTGGATAAAATGATCGATGTGTTGGCAATTGTGCATGGGAACGTTCACATATTTTGTACTCAAAGATGGCTGGATTAACATAAACGTTTACGGTCATTATTATGGCCAATTTTTAAATTTTGTTAACATGATAATAATTTCAGGAGAAGGAGATTTTTCCATATTGCCTATTTTTGATTGCATATTCCCTGTGTTGACTCCACATTAAAATGCTTCAGGTTTGGGTGTACGAATTACGAGAATGATTTCCAGAAAATCGATAAAAACCTCAGTGGCAGACTGGCTACCTTTCAGCCCACCAGGAAAAGCAACCAAAAGGGCGCCAATAAGTAATGGTTGTGCGTCCATGATTTCTCTCTAACTGTCTAGCACCCTGTCGGAAGGTCAAGCCCCTCCGTCGGAGAACTTCTAGCGCCACCACTTATTGGCGCCCTTTTGGTTGCTTTTCCCGGTGGGCTGAAAGGTAGCCAGTACGCCACTGAGTTTCAGCATTAGGAAACTCGTCCGCCTCCAACTATTCTGAGTGCCTTTGGAAACAGGATTAAAGCCATATCAGGAAACAAAAGAACTATTGATTAAGACAGATTATAGTCAAGAAAGTTCAGATGATGAAGATGATGCGGACACTGAACAATTCAGTGACAACTTATGACCTTGAATTTACAAGATGTACAATGGGAGCTAATGCAAGTCTCTTATGGCTTCAGCTTAGAACGTTCTGAGACAAATCACGGATCAAACTGATTAACCAATTTCTTTTTTCAAACAAAATGACCCTAGTCCACTGGTGATGATATTTTTGCGAAACATCTTAATCTATTCATAGGATTCAGAGGCTCTATTCCAGTTTTTGGAGAAAGCCCCCCATATCTCGGAAAAGCATCATTTCTCAACTGATCAACATTAAGTTCTTAATTCTACACTAAACACTGGTCTGGAAAAAGTTAGTCTGGTAAAGTTCCTCGTCGGGTGATCATTGATAGCACATTCACAAGCTGCGTCCCAGTTTTGGACGAAACCCCTCTGTATCTCAGAAAAGCGTCCACTCCCACCCGATCAACATCCAGATCCATTGGTGTACCCAGGGATGTAGCGGTGGGGGGGGGGTCTGGGGCGTAACCCCCATAAATTTTTTGGGCCACGCCCTTCAAACACTCGCAAATGGGGGAAACGCCCTTTTTGCAAAATTTTCCACCATTATTTGATTCATTTTAGCTACGGTAAATAGCAAAGTATTTTACAATTGTTATTGATACAAGCATACAGTATACTACCCCCCTCCTTCCCAATGAGTTTTACATCGTTTTTGGACAATTCTCGAGGACCATATTTTAGAAAACTGGGGGGTCTGGACCTCCCTATTACCCCCCTGGGTACGCCATTTTCCAGATTCGAATTCCATACCAAAAACTCATCTAGAAAAAGTTGATCTGGTAAAGTCCCTCATCGGGTGGCAACGCTCCTCCTTGTGCTTCTGGACTCTCTGGACTAATCTGGTAGTATAACAAAGAAACTCAACTCAC